CATTCGCGATTCGACAAGATTTAACAGAAGATATAATTTACGAAAGAATTCAAGGTATTTCGATTGTGAAATCTTCCAAATAATACAAAGAATTGAAAGGAAAGAATTATGAATGAATTGAAAGACTTTAAAAGAATTGAATTTAAATCTGGATTTTCAAATATCTTTTAAAATCCCTTCTCTTTCTGAATTTGTCGTATTGTTTGAAAATTTATAAATGGGAAAATTGTGTGGTGAAAATTTTTTGATAAAGTCACCGTTATCTGAAAAGAATTTTTAAAATTGTTCGGGAGAGACGAAAAATTGAAAAGGGATATCGAAAAAAATGGAGATATCTCGCGCGTCCTTTTAATATCACTCGAAAAAAAGATGAATTTGATGAATGTCGATTGAGATCTTTACGAATGCGATCGCAATTAAAAGCACAATGACGAGGCTGTAAAGCACACGAGTATCTCGGAACTGAAACAATTAGTATCATTCTTTGATTCAAAGACGAAGAAAATAATACGTAATATTAGCAAAATATATTAGCTTGGAAACAAGAAAAATATTGATTGTTCCAGTTTCGAAATATCGGATTATATCTCGCGAAAACTATCGACACTATTGCAACATTATGCACCGAGTGGCCGTAAATCCGCGTGTGTGTATAATGTGGAAATTTGCAATCAAATTTTTGATCGAATTGATCATGATTGAATTATGATAAATTAAAAATTAAAAGCAAACTAAACTTTTAAATAAACGAATAATAAAGCTTGTTTCTTAACGCGGAGAATTTATTTAAAGAAAATTATAATTATCATTTCAATTAATTCTCTCTGCCCCTAATAAAAGAAACTTTTATTAAAGATAGAGAATTAATTAAAAAAGATAGAGAATTAATTAAAAAATTTCCGTAAGTTCGTGAATTTGCGGTCTGTCCCTGTCTAATATACGACGTGTAGTAATCTCGAGAAATTTAATTAACTCTTCACCTTTATGATTTTTATTTGAACTTATATCTGGTTTTCTATATTATATCGTACTTAGTATGTGTTCTCCTGTCATCAGGTCGCCATCACGTAATTACCTCCTTCGATTTCAATCCGACATCGATCGAATATTAACATCTCATGTTCGATATGCCCTCCATTCGAGATACATCTTTTTTCCATCATCAATCTCACTTTGCTCTTTCTATGTTTTTCACTCTGTCTCTCTTTCTCTCACTCTTTCTATTGTGTATATGTATATTTACCCCAATATCGAAGACACACATTGATCAATATATATATGTATTATACGTATATACGTTCCTCTTCTCTTTCTCTTCCTTCCCCTTTTCTACCTCTGATCTGTCTTTCTTTCTCTTTCTCTGTCTTTCTCTCTCTCTCTTTCTCTTTCTATATATCTCTCTCTCTATCTATCTATATGAGTCTGAGTCCGTACTATACTTATATTGCCTTACTATAAGGATTGGACTGAAGGTTCTCTCTGTGTACTTTTTGACTGATATTTTTTTTCTTTCTCGTATTTATAATATGTACATATCATTTTGTACATTGTTTCCGTTTTCTTGTATTGGATTTTCTTTTATTAGACCAATATTAATTAGGCACGTTCTATACATACGTGTAGCATGCCGGCATGTATATGTGTGCATGTTATATATACATAAATTATGTACATATATATATATGTATATATGTATATATATGTATGTATGTATGTATGTATGTATATCTGTATGTATATATGTATGTATCTATGTATGTATGTATGTATGTATGTATGTATGTATGTATGTATGTATGTATGTATGTATGTATGTATGTATGTATGTATGTATGTATGTATGTATGTACGTACGTACGTATGTATCTGTATGTGTGTATTCTTGCGCGTAAACACGCATGCAGTTTTCTACTGAGAGAAAGCATCCCCACCGCGTTTTCTTTCTTTTTTTTTACCCACGCCTTCAAAGTGCATGTTATTATTATATTTTGCGTGGGGTCTTCCGTTACTTTGAAAACCCAAAAGGGGTCGGCGTCATTTGTGCGGGCATCGACGAGCGTACTCGTTTACACTAATTCGTAAACCGACAAATCGGTAAGAAAACGATTTTATTCCTCTCTATGTAATTGCGTTATATACATTTTGGTGCACCTCGATCATTGGCATGGGCACAATAATCTCCATCTTTTATATTTTATTATAAATGAAACGATTTATATTAAACATGATGGATCACATATACATAAAGTGATCGCTTTTTGTACGAATGTGGCGATATTTTGTCGGAAATTGGAAATAATACTTCGCGTCGACGAAAGTGAGATGCGAATAATTTTTTAATTGATTAGAGGTCGAAAAATTTGGATAAATTCACTCCTCCAAGAATGCGAAATAACAAAATCATTACTTCCAGATAATATTGAACTCTGTTGAAATCTGTTTCAAAACAAAATATTAAAATTCAAAAATTGCCACAGGAAATATGCCATTGAATTAAATTCCAGTAGAAAAATAAAAATTTCAATTTTTCAACAAAAATATCGCCGTGTTCACCAAACGCTCCAATAAACTCCGAACACCGTGTATGCACTTTCTAATTCATCTATCTGAATATCATAAAAAAATATGACGACTTTTTTGCATTTTTCATGATGATCATATCGTTTCTATCTATTCTACAAGAATAGAATATTTCTCAATTAGTTGCAAATTTACTGCGATACAAATTACAATAGACTCTCGCATGCTCGAAATTCTTACAAGGTCTAGCGCATTTAAAATTTAAATCGCGATTATTTTTCGCGCTGCAGGATGATCGACGTAAGATCTTTAAATTCGGAATGACGAGTCGATGCCCGAGCGATGCGTCATGCGTTCTCCATTGCTTTTTCGCATGCAAATTCGCGAGACTAGATGTCGATCACAAACGACACGCGAATATCATATGTAATGTAAATGAAAGATCGATTGTGGGATAAAATAATTCCGACTATTATAAATGAATATTATAATATATTATAATAATCTCTCTCTTTACGATATCAAGAATAATTAATAATATATATATATGTATATGTACATAAAAAATATCGATATAAATTAATTCTTCAAGTTTATAAAAATCATCAAATGAATAAAGATATTATTTTCAACAATTATAGAAAATTGTAAAGAAATCTCGCGTTGTCGTGTACCACTTTTACGACGCTTCTCGGGCAGCGCGTTGTCCGAAAAGCATCATAAAAGGTCGTTTTCAAAAAGATTTTTCTAATCTTTCAAACAGCTTTTCAGATGTGTTTTGGATGCTTTTGCGCTCTTGCAATTTACCCTGATTTATCGCGCCTTCGCGTGCAAACGTTCGCGAAAACGACGACTTTGCGAAGCGAAAAAAATCGAGGAGAGCGACAAGGAATTTTTTTTTCTTCCACGCGCGGTCCACAATATGACCTCTGACCTCGAATTTTTGATTTTTGGTTTCTCTGTTTTTTTTTTTAAGTTGACTAATACCGGACAGCAATCGATGCCAAATGTAAAAGAGCCCCAAACGAGTACTGACTTGTAACACGCACAACGCACGCACAAAACGTATAACTGACCGCAGGTAACTATCTAACGGAATTAATCATATTTATGTATTATGTCTTACGATTGTGTGCCTTTTTTTTTCGTTCACTTATTACGATTCACGACTCATCATTGCGCTCTCTCTTTTTCTCTCTCTCTCTCTCTCTCTCTTTTTCTCGCTCTTTCTCTCTCTCTCTCTTTCTCTCCTTCTCTCTCTCTTTCTCTCTTTCTCGTCCATCTCTCTTTCGTGCCTCTTGTCTTTCACTTTACTTTCTTCATTCATCATATTCTACATTTCCATAATATATGCTCATTCATGCCTATTATCATTCGTCATTGTCTTATTCACGCTTTCCGTTTCATCACAAATCGTCTCTCCTCACCGTACTCTGCATGCATATTATTCGCACATATCACGCACACGCATGACATAGAAGAAGAAAGACGAAGTTTGACTTCGCGATCCTCCGATCGTACGATCATGGCGTGTCGAAATGCGTCCTCCTGCTGATTATTTTCATTTGATTGTCGCTCATTTCTTCGCGCTTGATTAAACGTTTTGCGGTAAAAACAACACAAAACGCAAAGTGTCTTTCTCTCTCTCTCTCTCTTTCTTTCTCTCGAATTGCAAATTTAATTTATTTCAAATTTAAGAATTAAATAAAATTAATAAATTAATCGTTACATTAAAGTATAAAATATATAATTGACACGTGGAAAATTTTAATCGTATAAAATACCTCACAGACAGCCATTGTCAAAGTGGACTTTACACGATCCGTATTTCGAATATCATCTCTGTCTCTTCTTCGCATCTCATCCTCTTCTCAATCTCATTATTCGGATCTTTGCATCGAGACGCCACTTTCTACGATCATCGCTCTCGTTGTCAGAAAAAGCATCCGCAGCGACAGCACACACTAAGTGAATGTATTGCAATAATATGCTGTACGAAATGTACCATATACTTCCGGTATTCGTCTGCACCGTCTTCGTTCTAATGTAAAAATGTATCTCTGTACATACATCAGTCAGGTGTACATACATGATCGATGTGCAATCTTACGAAATTCTCTTTTAACGTTTCCACACACTTATACATCTTTGTGTCTACATGTTTATCATCTCTACACGTGTAAGTATCTGTATATGTATATCGCTGTATACTTTATACACGTTCACTCGCTTGTACCGGTGATGGTCACGGCACTGTAAAGGTACGAGAGCAAGTCCCATGATCGCGTTCAGGATGCTTCTTCTGACAGCTTACCGGCAACGAGAGCGTAAAAAAAAAAGCACGATACTTCTCCGATGAGCATCGAGGAGCGTCGCGCCAGCTTGAGAAGAGAGATCGTCCTCGCGAGGAGACCCTGGCGCGACGTCTCCTCAGAGGTAAATCTGGCCCGACTGTTGATTCGACATATCTGAACGAACAGGCAGCTGCCCCTGTGCCAGCGGAACGCACTGTCGTGGGGTCAGCGAGCGTCCTCGGGGGAGGGAGCCACCCTCACGAGTCACCCGCCGACCCTCAGCAGCGTCCGGAGAACGCACTCGACGCTCTGCTAGATGAACTGCAGACCTTCTCGCGACCTGGCTCCCAAATGGGCCACGTGTCTAGCAGTCTGTCGGTGCACCCGGGTCCGAACGTGCTCCTGGCCGACATCGGCCGCGCTTCCAGCCTACGAGAATCGAGTGTCACGGCAACCACCGGCGGCGGCGGCGGCGGTACCCGCGCGCCCAGTATCAGCGACATCGGTCGAAAGGGCAGCGTGGACTCGTCGAGCGGTACCCTGACCGCGGTGCCCGCCTCCGCCGTCATGGTGGGTCTGCCCGGGATGGCGCCGGGTGCCAGCGGCACTCTGCGTCGCCTACATTCGTATCCGTCGAGCTCGGACACCGACACTTCGCCGCCCATCGCCAGGCTACAGGCGTTGTCGCTGCAGGAGCAACAACCATCGCAGCAGCAGCCCGCAGGAGTACCGATACTGCCGCAGGCTTTCCTACCCGGACAGAAGCCGCCGGTTCCGGAGCGAAACGTCGAGCTACTGCAGCTGGCGAGCGCTAGGAGAGTACCGCCGCCACCGCCGCCACGCACTAGCTCCCGATCACCTCTGGCGAGTCCGACCAGCCCCCAACTGCCACCCAGGAATCATCCGTGCAGTCTGCAGAGCGGCAACGCGACTTTACGTCGACCGGCAACGCGCGGCGGCAAGCCGCCCATGGCCCTACCGCCGGACACTACCGCGACGATTCTGTCCACGACGGAACAGGTCGGCGGGGACCGGTCGGCGCCGTCGAGCGTCGCTGCTCCGATACACAATTCGTCGTCCTCGCAATCCTCCGCGGTGCTGTCGACCAGCAACTCGAGCTCCTGCGAGAGCGTCAACTCGCAGGAAGGTCTCCAGAGCAAGCGCGGCAGGCAGGAGCAATTGGAGCAACGGCATCAGGAACTCCTGAGGAAACAGAAAGCCCTGCAAGAACAGTACGCCAGGTTGCAACAGCTACAAAGAAACGCGGCCGGTCTCACCACTGTACCTCCGGCGCCACCCGATCTCCTCAAGAAAACCGGCTCCGAAAGCAATCTCCTGGCAAAGATGGGTCTCGGTTTAAGCGCCGCGAGTTCTGGATCCCTCACCAGTCTCAGTATCAAGCCGCAGATGGTGTCGCAAGAGACTATCAGCAACGGCCAAAATCAAACGACCAAGATAGAGATCACCAATGGACAGATACTCCCGATGACCTCCGCGGCAACGACGACGACTACGACGACGACCGGCAATCAGATCGTCCCTGTTAGCGTCGCCACCTCCATGACGGTGGTATCGGCTTCGACAACCACCGGCTCGGCCACAACTGTCACCACAACGTCCACTACGACTACCAGCAAGGTTTATGAAACGGACATTCTGTGACCGAGAAGCCGCTCGATGATCGGTTGCTCGACTGTCAAAATCGCCGCTGAAATCGCACTGGCGAGTAGTTAACACAGCCGGCGAGATTGCGAGGCCACTAGATCGCGTGGTCCTTGATCTCTTTAAAAAGTTGCAGTCAAATGAGAGGAACGGAAAAAGCAGGAAGAACGAACGAGAATAGACTGGATGAAGAATATAATGGAAGGAAAACAAGAATTGGTAGAATGAAGTAGATCAAGTGGAAGGCTGACAAAGAGACGCGGACGAAAAGACAAGAGAGAAGAACACAGAGAAGAGATAAGAAGATTATTTCTACAATCTTCGCCATTTACGCGTAACATCTAACTTGCGAAAGTAGAATAAAGCGTAGAAACTTAGCGCGGGACCCGCGTAAGAACATAATATCGCACTAATTACTATGGCTAACGATAGCATTAATAATTGTAAAACGATGCGCGAGGAAAATCTCGATATACGCGGACACGTAAACGGAACGATCAACATTTTTGAAAAAGAGAAGAGAATACGCAGCGTTCACTGGGGTTCATTGAATTTTGCACTTTTACACGAGCATATTCAATGCGCCCAGCTAGATAGATGGGTCATAATCCGAGTGCTCCATCGCACTATCGTCGGACGCGTCGTCTTGCTCTCTCTCTCTCTCTCTCTCTCGCTTGGTCTCTTGAGATCTTTCCCTTCGAATCTCAAAATTGATCCTTGTATACACCTCGTACATATCCGGCATGCTCTTCGTAACACGTTTCTGTGCCAAAATACGAGAAGAACGCGATATGTACTTGCGTACTTTTTTTAAGATTATACACAGCCGTCACCCATAATTAGCCGGCTCTTCGTTCTTTCTTCATCGTAGTAGGGCGAGCGTAAAACACCGTCAAGATTCTACGTAGGCGAATCATCATATAAATATTATACATAATATACAAATACGTATATATTATACATATAAATATATACATACTATATGTACGCGTGCGGACGGGGAGATTTATATAAATATATACACCTAAGTGGAAAAAAATAGATAAATAGTATATGTATACACGAGATATACTGTGCGATCTTCTCTCATGCACATGTGCGCATATACAACACATACGTATACATTCACACGTTGTTAATGCCAAAACGAAACGGCGACGACGATGTCGGCGAAATCACGCGCCTTTCGTACACGATGACGACGGTCCTAACGTGACTTTTATCGTGCTTAGAATAATTGCTACCGTACGTGTGTGTATACACGTATATATACACACACATCCAGCCGCATTTACACATATATAAATACACATATACAGGATGCGTAGCGATATAGGCGATCGACGTTGATTATTCCTCGTTACCGGCAAGGTATTTACGGGTGGCGCTTCAATTACGCGAGAAAAATATTCCGAGGGTATACAAGGAGTCTGCGAAGGGACGTCTCACAAAACGTACAAGACACGGTTGACAGAAAACTTGAGAGATCCAGAAAACAGCAGTCGGATGCAAATGCGAGTATATAGAAGTTTAAACGTCAGTTTACCGTGTAATCCATGTAACATCTGCTAACAAGACGCAGAATATTGAAAAAGAATATTTGCATAATCCCTCTCGCGGTTGAGTTGTATCAACGATATATATATTTCTAAATTAATTCTAAATTAATTCTATTACAAATACTATATTTTCGTTAAGAGTATATCTTATTATTTATAATACGCAGGATTTAGATTTTATATAATCATTAGTAAAAGCGAGATTTAATAAACGTTTCTTGTTTCGGAAACGGAATTAAAAAAGAACAAAAAGTATCAATTTATGGATAATTCATAGGATTCATAGGATTCATAGGATTCAAATTTTAAATATGACTTTGCATATTTAATTTTTAAACTTTAAGTAAATTATAAATGCATACATCCATGTATGTTTGCAATCTAAAGTCTGCAGAATCATAATCATACACGATCCATAAAGATAGAAAATTAATTGATTCTAAAAGAGAAGAGTTAATTCGCATCGATGCAACTGAAGGACGTTTTCTATCTCTCTCTTTCGAAAAACACAGTTAAACAGAATCAAGAGGCAAGACGCGCGCGAAAGACCTGTCGATAAATCTTTTGGCGGCCAAAGAAACGTCGTGCGTTAGAAAGGGAATATTGCTCAATATTTACCAACCCAAATAACGCGGCAGCGCTGCTAAATTTTGCAATTAACGCCGCAACAACGTGCACCTTGCGGATTGGATTACTTGGACACGATTGCACGATTATTAGCTAATTATCACGTTGCGCGTCACAGAAAGGCATCGTCGAGTCGCTTCATCCTTTTCATTTCCACCATTGCGGGCGAAAAATCGAATGTGTTTACGATCAAGTTGGCGGATCGTCGATCCTTTAACGATATTCTCCTTTGTCATTTAGATAAAAACTCAAATAAATTACGATGCGACGAAACTTTTGCGAGAACCTTGCACGTCACTTTGATCGTTTCTCGTAAGCGTGATTCGCACTATTTTATCGCAGCTTATTGCACAAAAGGCACTCGTCGTCGCGCCTTCCAAACGAAAATCATAAGTGTCCAAGATGCGAAACGTCTGAAATGTCTGTAAGTAAAATTACAGACGCGTCTTTCAGATGTCCTTTGGACTTTTAGCGTCGTCGATTGGATTATCGGTGCTCGATGCAGTGCGTATACCATGCTTCGAAGGGCCTAACAGCTGACACATTCGCGTATTTATTTTGTATGCTTCATCCTTCCATTTCGTTAGAGCAGATGTTCACCGAAATTTTCGTCGTAATCCTCGGATGCGTTTGCGGACTTTTAATTTTAATTCGATGGCGTATGGATTCTTCTGGAACGAGAATCGACTTTCTGTATTTGTGTTATTCTCTCTCTCGTAGATTACGAAAAATTCCTCTCGCGTGTTATATTAGTGTCGAGAAGAAAATTAATTAAAAAGTATTAATATGTTGTTAGGAATTTAGAAATTATGCATGCTTTACTGTATGACATTGTCTCCATACGGAATCGCAAGTGTCGCTAAAATTGCGACGGAATAAGATTAAGAATTGAAAAATATGGACATAAGAATATTTTACGTATTAAGTACATATGTTTTAATCCTATAATTTACTACTATAATTTAGTAATGAACGATATAGATAAATTTATATAATCATGGGATTAATATTTATTTCATGATAAGCGAGACAGATTGTCGCTTACGACGCGGTGAAATAAACGCATCCGGGGGATTTGAACGCACAGTTTGCGGCGAGATGTATAAAGACTTTATTTATTTTCCACTGTCACACAAGCATACGTCTTTATAGGAAAATTATAATTACAATAAGAGCACATACATTAAAGATAAGGCGAACGATAAGGAGCATTTGCTTGCGAGGGCTTATCAAGTATTAACACAACGCGAGATCCCAGCGGGAAGAAGAAGAGAAAAAAAAAGGATTTCCTTTTCTCGTTTTTTTTTTTCAATTTTATTTCTATCTTTCAGATTTGTATATTGTTCCGCGCGCGCTTATTGTAGGTACTTACGCCACAATTATATATTGCATTTACGAAAGCTACTTTAAACAGTGCATTTTCGTTCGCGGCGATACACCTGAGTGTATCGCAATAGTATTAGAATATTATATTTGTTATCGAGGGATATACGTTTAATGCACGCACGCACGCGTGAGCTAAGTATAATCAATTTTTAGGTCCCCCATCCCGCCCTTTCCTCCCTTCTAATCGTAAACGAGGCGTTTCGGATCGAAGATGCGCGCTATCGATCCGCGCGAATCAAGCGCGGACCATTCGTGATCGATTTGCGTTTTTTTTTATCCTTCGTTTTCTCTCCCATAACGCGATTAGCGAGAATCATTAGTGTAATGTTTTCTGATGATCCTGTACGCCAAATCGAATTGACTTGTTACATTTGTAAATGTTTGTAAGTACCGTACGTATAATAAAATAATCGAGTAATAATCATCGAATTATCCTGACGATCACCGTTTATCTCTGTTATCCATCGATTAATTCAACCTTACAAACAACGAATAAAAAGTAAATCATAATATACCGTGTAATACAGTCCCACTCTTCTTCTATAGGGTATTCTAAAGGGAACAGCGTAGCGAATTTTTTTTCTTAATAAAGATTAAAACTGGATATAAGTAAACGACTTTCGATATTAGATTGTCTTCTCTTATTAAAAGCCTTTGTAATTTGTTATCGATTTAATTTACAAGCATCTTTAATCTTCTCATCTTTAAACAAGCTACATTATTTTCATTAATAAAATTTATTGTTTTTAAACACATTGCTAGGTAGTTTATTTTTCGAGAAAAATTATATCATCAGGATATTTCGAATAAACGAATTCTTATATTATTACATAGATAGAATTACAAAGATAATTATACAGTTCTAGATTTTTTTATTGATTTATATTTACATTTATTGATTTATATTTACCTTTTCAGTTTCTGAATTCAGGTTCTGAATACTATGTTCTTGTTCTTGTTCTTGTTTAATATCTTCCTGTACGATTTGATGGACTTGTTGCAATTCTTTATATGATTGCAAAAGTTTCTCAACTATACTTTTCTCTTCGAGGTGCGCATAGTGCATGATAAATTCTACATTGTCCCTAACATTGCACTTCTCGATCACTGATTTCATCGAGGGATAAATCAAATGAACGAGACGAATCAGTATCGCGGCGTGTTCAATCCGTCCAGTCTCAATCATCTCGCACAGTAAGTTGTCGATATTTCTCGTCCACGCTAGATGAAATACCATCGGTCCGAAATGACGCGTAGATCTTAAAATATCGAAATGTTTCTCTCTGTTTATATGTTCGTAGACTTCTCGGGTGACTGCTTGATAATCCGGATCGTCTGGCTCAAATTGCACGCACGCTCTATCTAATATGAATATATATTCGTTGCGATCTAATAAGTCCTGTAAAGAAAATTGGAATATTAATAACAATAGTATTTGAGAGTTTTTCTTTTTCTTTTAAAGTTATTCTTAAACATATAAATGTCAGCAAACGTAATATTACAATGAAGCTTCATTATAGTGTCATGTTTGCTGACATTTTCTTACTTTCAAATATTCAGCTTCAAACATTTTTGGTTTTTCTATCTCCCTTGCTGGTTTTGGAAAATAAATTTGTATAATCCTATCTCGCTCTTGCCAAGTGGCATGCCTCAATGTGCCCTCGGGTTCTCTAACCACTATAGGTCTTTCCTTGTCATTAAGATCATATGTGATATCAGTAAAAACATATTTAGCAGTATCATGACCCTTTAATGCAGGATCTTCGCATAACAGCACAGATGGGTCTACTCTTTTCTTCACCACTGGTGGCATTTGCAAATATTTATGTGCTCTACGCTTTGCTGCTTCTGTAGCTTCCTGAAGTTCCTCGTCTGTTAAAAATTTATACTCTGGTGCTTTGAGTCTGTGTCCATCTTTGCGAGTTCTGAAGATTTTTGCATAATCTACTGTTGTCAATCTTTTGAGATACGACTGAACATTTCTATTAAAGAAATATGGTGCAGGATTTCTTTCTTCTAGACCTATATCTATGAAAATTATATGCAAAAATATTTGATAAATATATATTAATTCGCTTTAAAAAAAAGCAAAGAAACTTGGATACTTCTATCAACAATAATAATACCTGTTTCAACGCTTGTTGACGCAAAACTACGGCAATTGGAAATTGTACAAGCATACGTATGCCGCAGAAAGTTGTTTATACGATACGAAAGCATGATGATCCACTCAATAAATTACAAATACTATAATATAATCCATATACAAAATTTAACCTCTCGCCTCTCGCTTGTTGCTCTTCTTCTTCTTCTTTTTCTGTTAATGGCACCGGGCAATTTAAACGCTTGTTGCTCGATTTTGAAGCAATTTAAACTAGTTCGCTATAAAGATTCATGTGTCATACGATAAAATTTGTCAGACGTCTGATTGGTTGTCGGATAGAAACTTCCTAGGTTATTCTAGTTTTTTACAATTGTAGCCAATCAGATTGTACGACGAGACTTGTCATGTGATAAATGAAAATTTACCCTTAAGGTGCAATTTCATTGACGCTACTTTTTAGCGTCAATGTAATTGCACCTTAACAGTTGGCAGCCCTACGAGATAGGCTGTGCAGCACTGCGCGTACATAAAATAAATTTGAAATCGCTTCTAGCCTAACCATCTTCACGCGATCGACTTTATTTGAATTGCACGGCATCGCATCGAATTATGATGCGGCGCCGATTTATTCGTACGTAATTCGGGACATCGCGATGCTGTATAAGCGTCGATTGAGCACGAATTGTCTCGCAAATATGATAAATCACATCTACTCACCGTTCACCGGCTGTTCCACAGGCCGCTCCACTCGCTCGCCTCGGGACGTCCCATTCCGATCTTGATGCACACGATATCATCAACGCGAACGCGCGACACTTTATTCGGCACTCCCGATATTCGCTCGCATCCGATAATCATCATCAAGGGCGCAAATAACGCGACGCGACTTCGCTCCATCTTCACGATGACGCCATCACTGAATATCGTCAAAAATCGCTGTCGCGCGTTTCCATCGACACACTATGAAAGTCGCGCGATCATCCTTGGACACTTTCGACGCTCGTTCACTCGCGATATTCGTTTAAAAACGGTTAAAAGACGCGAAAAATGCGGACGTTCGACGATCCATGTAACTGCGTATGACTCCGAGTCATGTATGACGCGTATGACGTAGCTATGACGCGTATGACGTAGCAGTCACGCGCCAAGATGGCGGCCGAACCAGTGCGCATTCGTTTCTGCGCACTGGTTCGGCCGCCATCTTGGCGCGTGACTGCTACGTCATACGCGTCATAGCTACGTCATACGCGTCATACATGACTCGGAGTCATACGCAGTTACACGGATCGTCGAACGTCCGCATTTTTCGCGTCTTTTAACCGTTTTTAAACGAATATCGCGAGTGAACGAGCGTCGAAAGTGTCCAAGGATGATCGCGCGACTTTCATAGTGTGTCGATGGAAACGCGCGACAGCGATTTTTGACGATATTCAGTGATGGCGTCATCGCGAAGATGGAGCGAAGTCGCGTCGCGTTATTTGCGCCCTTGATGATGATTATCGGATGCGAGCGAATATCGGGAGTGCCGAATAAAGTGTCGCGCGTTCGCGTTGATGATATCGTGTGCATCAAGATCGGAATGGGACGTCCCGAGGCGAGCGAGTGGAGCGGCCTGTGGAACAGCCGGTGAACGGTGAGTAGATGTGATTTATCATATTTGCGAGACAATTCGTGCTCAATCGACGCTTATACAGCATCGCGATGTCCCGAATTACGTTCGAATAAATCGGCGCCGCATCATAATTCGATGCGATGCCGTGCAATTCAAATAAAGTCGATCGCGTGAAGATGGTTAGGCTAGAAGCGATTTCAAATTTATTTTATATACGCGCAGTGCTGCACAGCCTATCTCGTAGGGCTGCCAACTGTTAAGGTGCGGCCTCATTGACGCTAAAAAGTAGCGTCAATGAAAAGGCCGCTTTACACACTGAGAAAGTTGAAACTGTTTGAACTTTATTTTATTGGCGCCAAATCTAGAGAAAGTCTAGTGATTTTAATTTGCCGCTGGTTTCTAGCATCAATGAAATTGCACCTTTAGATCAAAATCGTAGGTCGCCAGATCCACGTGAGAGTCAACGGATACAAATTCAATAAACACGCGACTTCTTATTTTTTTATTGTTATAAATTGCACAGTAAGTATGGGATACAATTGCAATATAAAATATACAATATAACGATTTTTTAAATATACAATTCGTGCGAGCTTTAATAAATTCAATATCTCAACATAAGCTAATATTTAATCAGTATTGTTGTTAACCTAATATTTTTTATCTTATAATATTTAATTAATTATTGTTATTCTTAGATGGAGAGTTTTCCTAGAGGCGGAAAGAAACGCGAAATTAAGAGATCGTCAAATATGGTAAATATATAATTTTATTCTTTTTAATTATTTCTACATATAAAAGTTTAGTTAAATTTATAAAATTTAAAGACATAGCGTTTTTGTTTAAAATTTTTGTTTTCTAGTTATCTATTGTATCAGATATGTATATGTATTTTTTGAACATATACCTGAAATTCTCTATAAAGTATTCATGTATAGATGTTTTTTAAAATTAAATTTTGTACATGTATAGAAATTTATTTGTGTATTCCTAAATCAAATTAATAATATAATATTTTATTTTAGTTGTTTGATGAGCAATCTAAATTGAAGAAGAAACGTAAAACTCGAATAAAAAAAGGAGATAATGTAAGAAATGAGAAAGGAATAAGTCTTATTGCTACTGCAGAACGCTTATCCAATATAACATTACGTGAAGGAATGACAGTACTCGGCCGAATTTCTCGAGTATCAGAGTATGACTTAATTATATCTATACCAGGTGGAATTTTAGGGCATGTAGAAATCACAAATCTAAGCGAATCATATACAAATCTATTGCAAAATATAATCAGCACAAAAGCCATCCAATCAAATGAATTTAAACCTTTGCCAGATTTATATAATCCTGGGGATTATGTAATATGTTATGTTAAGAATATAAATCCCCAAGGAAAATGGTTGTACAACTTATCTTTAGAGCCACAATTAATAAATCAAAATGTACATAATAGTTATCTTGTAAAAAATGCAAAGATAGTTTGTACTATTAAAAGTATAGAAGATCATGGCTATGTAGTTGATACAGGCATAGCTAGTGTTAGAGCATTTCTTGCTACCAAGGATGTTGATAAAGAAAAGAAATATTGTAAGTATAATTTTATATTGAATTAGTATTCTACTTATAAAACAATTTATTAACATTACAAATTATTTAGTTCCAGGTAATCAACTTTTGTGCATAATTAATGAGGTAGAAACTGCAAATTACTCATCTGTCATCAAACTGTCAGCTAAAAGAAAAAAGATTAATAACGTTAGTATACATGATATAGCCTCTTTAGATGTTCTAGCACCAGGAACAAAATTGTCTCTTTGTGTGGCAAAGATACTCTCCAATGGTCTGCAAGTTACATTTGGGAAAAATAATATTGGATACATAAATCAAATTTATCTAGACAATCCTTTGTCCATGTATATAGAAAATATGGAAGTGACTGGTACATTGTTATATATATTACCAACTGTAAAGTTGGCTTACTTTAGTCTACTAACTGACAAATCTGAAAAAGAGAAATTGAGTAAAGGTGATATTATAAAAAAGGCCAAAGTTTTGTACAAGGAATCCAATGGGATAATTTTAAACATATCTGAATCTGGACTCCGTGGATTTGTTTCTTTAGTAAAAACCAATGTATCGTTTGACAAAATCCCGACCGAGTTTAAACAAGGTTCCACACATAAGTGCAGGATACTCGCATATAATTGGATGGAACATCTTTATGTTTGTACAATGGAGGATGAAATTTTAAAACAGAAATACTTTTCATCTTCTGATTTAAACTGTGGTGATATCATTACTGTAACTATTACATCTATTGATAAAGGTAGTGGTTATATGCATGTACAAGCAGGAAATATTTTGGGATTTGTTTCACCGATGCATGTATCTGATAGTGGTTTAAGTGCATTAAATAAAATGAAAATCGGAGATAGCATCGAAGCAAGAGTCTTGGATCTCAAAACTTCTAATGACAATAATGTGAATGTAATATTTACTTTGAAACAGTCGCTAATAAAAAGCAAACTACCAGTTTTACATGATATTCATAAGGCACAATGCGGATTGGAATATCATGGTACAATCACTAAAATAGATAAGAATGGTTTATTGGTGAGATTTTATGGGAATATAAGAGGATGGGTGTCACGCTCTACGTTAAACAGTAAGACACACAATATGAATTGGAATTACTCCATTGGTCAAACTATTACTGTATGCATCGAATCTATTGAAAAGTATGAAATAAAACTAAAGATTGTTACTGAAAAACAGAAACAGCAGACTGAGAATTTTTCGATTGGAGAAATGATTGAAGGAACAGTTATAGAATCGTCCATCAAGGGTGTATACTTAAGAATTCATAGAGGAAATGATGAAAACGTCACAACAGCGTTCTTACCAGCGGGTCATATAGCTCCGTGTATCGAAATTGGCAGTTTATTGGCATCAAAATATAATCCTGGAGATGTAATTTCAGCTTTAGTTTTCGCTACAAAGCCAAGTATAATACTTTCACGTACTTTTGTGACACAAGAACGATATAGGAGCTTTGATTTATTAAAAATAGGTGATTGTATTCCATGTACAATCGCAGATATGTCTCAAGATGGTATGAGAGTTGTCTTACCTATTGAAAATTATTCGAAATTGGGATTTGTATCTTATAAAAATGTCAGCAATTTTGAACTATTGCATGTGAATCAAATATTATTCGTTAAAATCACGGCTATCAATATGCGAGAGAAATATTTAACTCTGACAATGGCGTTGAAAGATGTATGGGATAGTATGTCGGAAAACGAAGTTAAAATGATGACTGCGGTGGATGTTCTGAGTTTATACCTCAACAGATTATCGGAACTAGCGAACAATACGTTTTACAAGAACATTCCGATTTCATCGGCAATTTTGGGTCAAAAGATTACTGGCATTATCGAGAAGATTACTGAACACGGTCTTGTGCTTCGAGTTAATGATTATTTGACCGGTACAGTACGCAAAGATCATTATTCTGGCGAGTTTAAGATTGGGGACAAGGTGTCCGGTACAATCTTATGGAAGAATTATGTCCACGAACTCGTCGATATATCATTATTACCGAGAATAATAAACGGCATTAGTTCGAAGCAAAAATTATTACCGGAACTTCCTACCGGTGTTGCACTAAGAGCCGAGATTTTATTGATTACCAAATGGTTGATACTTCTTCTCATAAAACGCAATGGTTCAGGATATCTGGCAGCATTACCCGTTCGCCGACACATTAATGACGTCTCTCCTGATTTAACGCCTTACACGATTCACGCCAAGATTCGAGTGTATGTTATAATGACGGGAAAGGAGTCTGATATTGTTCCCGTCTGTATGTTAAAGTCTGCATTTGAAACCAAAATCCCAAAGGATGCAACTGCAACTACGAAGAAAAATTTGAAAAGAAAAAAAATACCCGAACAACACAATGTAATAACTTTTACAAATTCATCGGAGCAAAAGAGAACGCCAGAGAAAAAGAGTAAGAAGAAATATGAAATCAAAGAAAAGGAAACTGAAATCGAAGAAGATGAAACCGAAATCAATGAAGAGAAAACTGAAATCAATGAAGAGGAAACCGAAATCAATGAAGAGAATGTAGATAGAATAAAGGATGTAGATGAGTATTCTGAGTTGAGTAAAGATTCATCCGATGAGAGTGAAAAAGAAGAAGATACACCGAATGCGGATAGATTACATATTCAAGAGTGTGGATTTTCCTGGGACGATAAAGCAAACTTAGCTGTTTCTGCCGAAACATCTAGCGATGATGAGGAGGAACCTGAGGAAGAACCTAAGCGAAAAAAGAAGAAATTGAGCGCAGCCGAGCGTCGAGAGCAGGAACGCGAAAAAGAACGCAAGATCCGTCAACGAGAGGAAGCTCTAGCGAGTAATGAAATACCCAATTCGATAGATCAATTTGATAAATTGGTCTTATCCAGCCCCGACAGTTCCTTGGTGTGGTTGCAGTATATGGCATATCATTTGCAAGCCACGGAAATTGATAAAGCGAGAGCGGTCGTGAAACGAGCCATCAAAACGATTAATTTCAGGGAAGAAAACGAACGGTTAAACGTATGGAACGCTTGGCTAAATCTGGAATCTAGATTCGGCACTCTGGAATCTCTGAACGACGTGTTTCGGGAAGCTGTGCAGAACAATGACGCATTTAAAATATATACACACATGTTGACTGTACATGCGGATGCTAGTAGAATGATTGAATTACAAAAATTGGTCGCCACTATAATCGGCAAATTCAAACAGGATCCTGAAACATGGATAAGCTGTGGCGCTGCATTCCTGAAGATTGGTTTGAAAGAAAAATCACGATACATTATGCAACGAGCATTGCAATCATTGCCTGCATCTCAACGTAAGCATATATTGCATATTTAATATTTTATATATTTAATATTTTATTTATTTGTAGAAAAAACATAACTTGTTTTAACTGTTTGCATATTTTTTACAGATGTGAATTTATTAGTAAGATTTGCGAATTTGGAAAACAAACTGGGAGATAAGGAACGAGCACAGACGTTATTCGAAAATATCCTATGCTCTTATCCAAAACGTGTCGATGTATGGTCATGTTACATAGACTGCTTGATAAAATCTAAAAACATTGATATAGCCAGGTATAGATATTTTAATATATTTCAAGCATGAGAAAAGGATATATATCATTTTAATAAATATAATTTTTTGCGTTTACAGGAAAGTATTGGAACGGGCCTGCTTTCAAACACTTCCAGTAAGAAAAATGAAGACTTTATTTACAAAATTTAAAAATTTCGAAGAAAAATATGGTACGCCCGAGACTGTAGCTCGTATAGTACAAATGGCTGCTGATTATGTCGAGAAACAATGTAACAAGGAATAAATATAAAACTTTATCCAAAATTAATATTTGAAAAAGATATTAAGAGAATATAAATATTAAAAAAGTTACAATGAATTGTAATTCTAAACAAAAATTAGAACATAATAGAAGAATATGTATAATTAGTTAAACAATATAATACCAAGAAGTTAAACAATATAATATCAAGAATATGTATAATTAGTTAAACAATATAATATCAAGGCGCAAGTTTGCAAAAATTTTCATGTCTATGTTATTAAGAGAATATAATTTGTAAAGAGGTTGTCAGTACATATATATATATATATATATATATATATATATATATATATATGTTTATATATATTTATATTATAGTTATCGACCTCTTCGCAAAATATATTCTCCTGATAACTGAGACGCTAATTTTTCAGGATATATAAAGACATAATATTACTGCGTTAATAATATTATTACTATTAGCATATCTCTATAATTATTTTATTGTCAGATGTTCGATCATTAAAAAATTCATTATTACTCGCAAACTGCTGTACTTGTTTATCTCTTTTTAAAAGACATGTATTATATTAATTATGAATTATATTATTTACTTCTCTCTCTCTCTCTCGAATTTTTGAGATTATTAAAAAAAATATATATATATATATATATATATATATATATATATGTTATAGATGCAAAAGTGCTTCGAATCTTTGTCAAACTCTGTTTTATGAGTGATTAATTATACATGCGTTACTCCGATTTAGAAATTATACATATATGGTAATCGAACATTACGACTGTGATCGATTTATTTATTTATCGCATTTTTTTTTACAAATTTTAAATAGCAATTTATTTTGTAATTTAATTATTTAAATCGAGGCGTCGTCTATCTCTTTTTTTTTTGGAATATTTTCTTTAAAAAACCTACATAAAATGCACCAAAATTCAAATACTTTTCCCAGATATGATCATATTCAATGTTGCATAAGTGTTTCATGAATTTGCACCTTTATGTATAAAAGTTAGCAATCTAATATATATAACTCTGTGACCGGAAGACGTCAGCACGAGTCGTACCGAGGTGCACTTATCAATATTTGTGCATACATGAATCAGCTAATAAATCGCATTCTTTCCGTTAACGGACAACGGTTAACATTCAATTGTTTTGCACGAAGCTTTCACGTATCGTTGTCAAAAATGGTTATCGCTGTGAGTATCGATTTAATTATTTTAATAGACAAAATATCTACTATATAAATGAGTTTTCTTGGTGTAACAATGTATATAACAATGTGTAGAACTTTTCATCAATTAATTCTGATTACTTGTCTATTACATCATCATCAGCAATAATTGCAATCTGCGACATAAATTGAAAAAAGTAGCAAATTATGTTAATGTCAATATATATTAAGCAAACAAAATGCATTTGTGTAATTAATAGTATACGTGACGTATAAATTTTATTTTAAAATATAAATGATTTTTAATAAAATTTCTCAAATTTAAATTAAACTTAAATAAAATATTATTATCAATCTAAAATCACCAAATATCAATGGAAAATATGACATCTCTTATTTGAAAAAACGAAATTATACATATGTATGATTATAAATATTTTATTTGATATATGTACATGAATATACATATAAAATATTTGATTTTATATATATACAACTTTTAAGGTTGGAGATGAATTGCCCAGCGTGGATCTCTTCGAGAACACACCAGCGGATAAAGTAAATCTAGCACAGGCTGCAGCTGGGAAAAAAATCATTATATTTGGTGTACCGGGTGCATTCACACCTGGCTGCTCAAAAGTAAGAAATTATTTCTAAAAATGAATTGGATATTTTTTCTTTAATAATTAAAAAATCACAATATATATATCACTATTTTAATATATAATAATAAAAATATAAATTATTTCTCTGTATTTTTAATTTCAATTAAATAAATACATAGAATTTATAAAATATATAAATAAATTAATTTAGTAGATAAAATGTATAGAATTTATCTCAAAAAGTTTATGAAATTTATATATATATTATAAAATATGAATTACAAACATATACACGATAAAATAATAAGCTTTTTGATTGATACATACATTAATTTTTTCTAGTATTTCTATGTTGTATAATTTATTACTTATTAACCTGAATTTTCAGACTCATCTTCCTGGTTATGTTACAAAAGCTGATGATTTAAAATCCAAGGGAATTTCCGAAATCTTTTGTATTAGCGTTAATGATCCATTTGTTATGGCAGCTTGGGGAAAGGAACATAATGCTACAGGAAAGGTGTGTTTACTTGTAAAACTTATTAAATGAAGAAAATTAATTTAATTATTACATTATAATATTTAATCTTTCAATTAATCTTTTAATTTTCTCTCTTTCTCAGTCTATCTGTTTTTTAAATGAAATTATTTCTATTGTCAGGTACGAATGTTAGCTGATCCTAAAGGAGATTTTACAGATGCTGCAGATCTTAGTGTGGATCTACAGGTTTTAGGAGGTAAACGCAGCAAACGTTATTCCATGGTTGTTGATAATGGGATAGTAAAGGAACTCAATGTTGAACCAGATAATACTGGTTTATCCTGCTCTCTGGCAGATCGTATAAAAGTTTAAAGGATGTTATTTTTTTCTTCCAATTCTTTTTACTTTTCCTGATTCTTTAATATTTATATTGTTAATTTCAATAACTGCTTCTTTATAATGAGGAAACTATTGTGTTGTTATTTTTAGTTTGAATCTTTTATAATTTATCATTAAATTATTATTTGTCATTAATTTGCAATGTTCCTAAAATGCATTTTTAATTTTGTTATATAATAGTACAACTTACTAGACATCACCTACTAGACAAATATAAGAAACTTTATAAAAGTAGTTGCATAATATAAATGTTTAAATATAACTAAAAGTAATATTTATTTCAAAATCTTTTACATAATTTGCATTTTTTCTGTAATTAATGAATACGTCTATATTTTGGTAACAAAAATAGATTTTTCTTATTAAAAAGCTATTTCCTGATTATAATTGAATTACGACATTAAAGATATAAGATGATAAAAAATTGTTTTTTTGTAGAATATGTTGAAAGGAATTTCCTTTAGGCCATTTGCATTCAGTGATATTGAATAATATAAAGGTAAAATATATACTGAAAATTTTTATCTTGTATCAATAAATATAATGGTATCTTATCTATTTCTTATCAATGTTTTTTATTTATTTTCAATGAAAACAAATAACTAGTAAAATATATTTTACCTATATAATGTATGTTAGAGGCTTTAAAACAATTTTTCTTAAACTTTGTATCAAACTATTTATATTTTCAAGATTATTGGAGAGATTGAAATTTATACCCAATTAGAATAAAGACATTTTCGGTTCTTTTATTTCGATCAATCAAATTGCATTCTTTAATCTTCAATCTCCAATTTTAAAATACGTATGTGATGCGAGCTATAAATGTGGCGATCTTCATTAAGATGATTCGAAGCATTGTCTTGAGAATTGACTATAAATACCGTCCAATGAACACGATCAGGAGTATAACGCGCGATCAAATTATGCGAGCCAATCGGAGCATCGCATACAATGGCTGGAAACCCATGATTCTTTGCGCATCGCTAACGTCGCGAGGTGAGGCTTTCTTATCCCAGCTGTCGTTATTATGTAGCGCATAGTTTGTGGTGGAAAAAAAGCTGCGGCGGCGGCGTCTGGGTTTGCGTTAAATTTTATGATCTTTTACAACTGATCCATCGGCTCGAATCTGATTTCACAGCCGTAAGTATAAACGTGCGACGATTGCATTAGCGATTCGTGCTCGTGGATACGCAACGCGACATATGCGCGACGCGTCCAAGGGAGTAGACAGGATTCCAGGCCCAATGTCACAGTCCACGGTCGCGCGAGTGCCAAAATGTCCAAGTGGCTGATCGTGTGGTGAAAATCGGTGGTCGCGATGGCACCGACACGCGATCGTCCATCTTGGTGCGGTCGCGCGTACGAGATAATATCTTCGCAGCCTCGACAAATTTTCCCGACGATTCTGCTGATTAACTCCTAACCCTCATGCGGAACCCATTGTCAGGTTCCATGCTAGTTGAAATCTAAAAGTGACATAGGGTAATGAGGAAAGGATTGCTTGGTATATTAGAAGCTTGAACTGTTTTCTTTCTTTCTGAAATTCTTTTTTTTTTCCTCTTCTTAACGAAACATCTTGTTTATATTTTTTTATAATTTTTGCATTCTTGCGTGTGCACGTATTTATACGACAAGTGCATTCCTATCTCTATATATGTACACACACACATACACGTGCATATGAGAAAATATAGATATTAGATACAGAATGGGCATTCGTGTAATTAATTAGGATATTTTGAGGAGAAGAAAGAAAGCGCGCGAAATGAGGCTTCCTTTTTCTTCTAAATAATTTCTGAATATTATGTTCAACACATAAAATGCCTTGGGAAAATGCAAAATTCTTTCTTTACGAATACTGAGAACAATAAAGTAGCAATCTCTATAGTAAGACCTGTACAAATTCTTCTGTAGCAACTATTATATTTTTTGTTGAGTTATGAAATGTATTAGTATCAAAAATTGAAAATACTCTAATATTTTAATATTACATATTTTTTATCTTTCTATTATTGAGAGAAAAGATTTACAGATAATATTTTTACAGGGATTTTTGATATAATATTATTTTTTCCAATATTCATGGCAGAAAATTATTATAACTTCAAAAATGTAACTTTTTAGAAGAACTCTGCACATTTTTAGAAAGATATAGATTTCTAAAATATAAATTTTTTCTCAAGTTTTATATGTGTATAAGTTAAAATATAAGTATATAAGTAAAATAATAAATTTAAAACAATGTACAGATTAGTCAGTTTCTTAATATGATAAATATAATGAAAGCATTAAAATAACTTGTTTAAAAATTAAAAAAGTGTTGATATAATATTTATTGATATATTTTATATATATATTAATCTATATATATAAGAATAAGTCAATACACACATAAATAGATGGATAATTTCTCTCAATCTTTTATAAGTGGATATGTTTCAAAAAGCTTTATTTTTAGTGCTATATGAGGTTTAATGTTATCTGAAAATGACTTCTACATTTATAACTTGTGACAATAAAACTGTGATAATTAGAATATTATAAATTATTTTTTGTATATTTTTATAATGTACATTTTGAAAATTAATTGAGATTGTACTATGTTAAACCTGTGAATTGTAGTTTTTCTTTATATTATATTCTAGTTTAATAAAAGGAAAGACATTTTTAATATCATACATATAATATTGAGTTTATTATTCATATTTTTAGATGTCAACTGGACCTACACATAAACATCGTTATAAAAATGTAGGATTAGATTCACAAGAATTACGGAGACGCAGAGAAGAGGAAGGAGTTCAATTAAGAAAGCAAAAACGTGAGCAGCAGTTATCAAAACGTCGCAATGTCCCTAACATTGTTGCGGATGAAGATAATGTTACAACTACGGATGAATATTCACTTCCTACAGCACAATCGGTAAAATAATCACCATTATATTGCATTTTACTTGTAAATACATAATAATCTATGTCGCGATATCATTTTTAATATAAAAAAATTTTCTATTTCAGCAATCTCCTGGTATTATAACAACTGAAATGGTAGATGCGTTATATAGTCCTAACATACAAGATCAATTGAATGCAACACAGAAATTTAGAAAATTATTATCAAGAGAGCCAAATCCTCCTATAGATGAAGTGATACAAACGGGAATTGTGCCACAATTTGTTCAATTTCTTAAAAATAATACAAATTGCACTCTGCAGGTTAGAATACTAAACTAAAATAAATATAAAACGAAAGGCATATATAAATGATAATATTAATTGTTAGTTTGAAGCAGCATGGGCTTTGACAAATATAGCAAGTGGTACGTCACAGCAAACACGTATTGTAATAGATGCAGGAGCTGTTCCTACTTTCATTTCTTTACTTGGTTCTGAATATGAAGATGTTCAAGAACAAGCTGTCTGGGCATTGGGCAATATTGCAGGGGATAGTCCCGAATGTAGAGATCATGTATTAGCCAACGGTATCCTCACTCCACTGTTGCAGTATGTTTTCGTATCTTTACGATTTTCATGTAAATTATTATCAGTTAGTATCATATACAGTGCACAAAAATTTAATGCAAAAGTGACAGAAAATAAAAAGACACTATGACAGAACCTAGACAATATCTTTATAACAAATTTTTAGAACAAGTGAAAATTGTTGGTTAATCAAAAGTAATAAAATTAATTGTAATATAAAAATAATATATATTTATATATATATTGAAGAAAATTAGCACTTACACTTTGCGCAACAAATCATATTTCAAGATATATCACATCATTTTTTTTAGAGTACTTTCGAAAGCAACGCGTCTCTCTATGACCCGCAATGCGGTATGGGCATTATCAAATTTATGTCGGGGAAAAAATCCAGCACCGGCTTTCGCAAAAGTCGCGCCATGTCTACCAGTGTTAGCACATCTTCTTAATCATACTGATTACGATGTACTCGCTGATGCTTGTTGGGCGCTTTCTTATTTGAGCGATGGTCCAAATGATAAGATACAAGCCGTTATCGATGCCGGTGTTTGCAGGCGCCTCGTAGAACTTCTTATGTATGTTAAAATTTATATAAAATGCACATTATATACAAAATTAATTTCAATTAATTATACTACTAATAAAAAACTTATTTTCTAGGCATGAACAGAATAACGTAATAAGCGCAGCTCTTCGTGCTGTAGGAAATATAGTTACTGGAGATGATGTGCAAACTCAAGTTGTATTAAATTGTTCAGCATTACCATGTCTATTGCATCTTTTAAGTTCACCGAGAGAAAGTATTCGTAAAGAAGCTTGTTGGACAGTTTCTAATATCACCGCCGGCAATCCGCAGCAGATACAAGTATGTTAAATGTTATACATTTCAGACATAATAGTATATAACTTGTTTATATGTTATTAATCTTTTTGTAAAAAGTACAAATATAATCTCTTCATGTAAATATTATTTTAGGCAGTGATCGATACCAATATTTTTCCGGTTTTAATTGAAATTTTGAGTAAAGCTGAATTTAAAACACGTAAAGAAGCAGCATGGGCAATTACAAATGCTACTAGCGGTGGAACAGCCGATCAAATTCGATATCTCGCAATGCAGGGATGTATTCCACCATTATGCGATCTACTTACAGTTATGGATGCCAAAATTGTTCAGGTCGCGTTAAATGGATTAGAAAATATTTTGCGTTTGGGAGAAAAAGATGCACCTATGCATAATGGTCTTAATCCTTATGCAGTTCTTATCGAAGAATGTTATGGTAAAGTATTAATAGAGAGAGATTTTATGTATAATAAATAAATATCTCGCTTAATTTATTAATATCTTTTTTCTAATGTTTCTTAGGCCTAGATAAAATAGAATTCTTGCAATCTCACCAAAATATGGATATTTATCAAAAGGCCTTTGATATTATCGAACGATTCTTTGGGTCTGAAGAAGAAGATACTAGACTTGTGCCCTCTATCGATTCACAAGGACAGGAATATCAATTTACTGCACCAGATTCTTCCCAATTACCTGTGCAAGGCTTTGAATTTTAATCAACTATATTTAAATTCTAAATATAATCTTATTTCATTAAGTGTTATTTGTTCTATGGGGTTTATAGTATCTCTAAAATCGATACATTGACATAAAACATGATTTTACATATTTGCCCATATAACTTCAATTTATTTGTATCAAAAATACTAATGAAATAACGCAAAATTATCTATTTTTTTTTTTTCATTGAATTAAAAAACAGTAAAATCTGAATTTTTTAAATGATTTTTTTGTCATATTTCTGGATAAACTAAATGCGCTGTGTTATGATCTAAAATCTATTGTTTTTAAACCTGTTTTTACCTATGTCAAATTGTGACAATGTTTACATTAAAACTTTGAAACAATTTGTACAGGAACACTTATAGACTCATACCTGCATGTATTTAGTGTATGAGACGTTCAGTTTACGAGGCATAAACGTTTAGTGCTTAAGAGTAGAAGAGAAGACAAAATGGAGACAATTATCGAGGCAGATTCATATCTCGTCCGACTTTGACTGACCCACAATTACGAAAAAAATAAAACTAGCATTATATTCTGCGAGATACTAACTGAATGACTGAAGTACGCGACTATATAGCCAACACGGACAACATTACGCAACGCGGTACTCATCTTATTATACTAGATAGAAACATGACCAATTAAACTTTTTTACTGTAAATACGTATCTCGTAATTTTAAGGCTATTCTATACAGAGTGCCCTTAAGAGATAAAATAATAGACGTATCTGCCCATTAATGCAATATCGCATATACTTTAAAATTAATTAAAATGTTTCTTATATTTTATATAATAAGCATGATTTGTATCAAGGTGCATACAATACAATGCTTTGGTTTTTTTCTATTAATAATCATGCAAGAGAGAAAATGACTTCCAATTAATGTATAAATTAATGTTTTTGTTTAGTATCACAATCAATTGGATTGTCTTAATTATAAACATCTGTAGAAATTAAATAATTGAATAAATAATTTTTTTTATTATATAGTTTCACAATTAAATATTTTAAGAACATTACATATTTTTCAATTCTTTTTGTATATGATATAAAGGTGATAAAAATAAATAACATTGGATTTGTACAGCACATTATTAGATTTTGGACATTCTGTATGAAAAGTCTATGACTGTATATATATATAAAACATATTTATTATTTAGGTTTGACGATACTATACTTATATTATATAAATTATATATACCATTTCGACATTTAGTTACCGATTTGAATTACGACAGAAAATGACTGTACTATAATTCAATAATTGAAACTGCTAATTTATCATTTTGACCGATTATGCAACTATTAGATACTTATTGCCAATTTATGAAATTACTTACAAAATAGTATGTAAACATAGTAAAAAGAATTATCGTTAACATATTATGCGTGTCATTTCTAATTAAAATGTGAGAAAGAAAATTCTATAAAACTATTGCTTGATGAAGCATATAAGGACTAGCCTTTTTGATATTTTTATTCACTTGAATTTCAACAGTCTTACATTACATTTGTGAAATGTATACTAAAGCTTACAAAAAACTTTTTATAATTAAAATTATTTTAAAACAAATTTTGATATGTTAATAAAACAAATACTTTTATATCCTATCATTTAAAATGCATGTAGATTGAATTAAATAAATTGATCTAAATTTAATTCACTAATTGATTTTATTTAAAAATATATCTTATTGTTTAAAGAAAATTGAAAAAAACGCTAGTCAAAAAATGAACGTTATGAATAAATTTTATTTTCCCAAAGGATCTTATATATTATAAGTTGATAAATTTTATCAATGAAAATATATATAAATAAACTTCGTTAAAGAGATTTTTTTAAATTTATTTTTACATAATTTTTTAAAAGAATAACTTTCGAGAAAAATATTTCATGAATTTGACGTTTTTGAAATTTATAAAAACACAAAAGATAAACAATCTTTTATACAAATCATATAAAAAAATTGACAAAAATCACGACAGTCAAACTTATACATGAAAATATACGTATACGTATTTAAAGTATACTTATACGTAATCATTCTTTCACACATTTAACGTATTGTGTGTACTACTAAATATTTGTCCATTTTTTGAATAAATTTGCAAATTAATAGGAGCTAATAAATACTTGTTTATATGTTATTTATTATAAATATATAAATTTCACAATTTATAAAAAAAGTTTTGTTATTTCTATATATTAATTATAATAATAGTAATTTTTTATATTAATATTTTGCAATTTTCATATAACTATCTCGCGCAAATTATTTTACTTACTAAATTATAATTATAATAAAAAAAAGCTAAATTGGCAATAAGTATGATATTAGACATTATTCAAATACTGTACAGACTGCCGACTGACATTAATACGAAAATCGAAATATACACATAAAATAATCCTAATTGTATTTTATTTTAAAGCTAAATATATTATTTGAAAATATACATTAAATCATTAGATACACAACAGTATCATATTTTTCGAAAATACATAGAAGTATGAAACGATTAGAAAGATTCATTGAAAATAAAATTTATTTCATGTAATATTGGCATAATAAAATAAAATAAAATTAACACAGCTAAATTTTATATTTCTTTAATTTACAATCAGAGAGAAACTTGATCATGACTGCCAGCCATCATGTAGTTTCTTACAGATGCAAAAAACATTAAGGCTCCCAATTCGATATTGTAGTTATTTTAAGATATTAAAGAAAAAAAATAAATAATTCTTGTGCGGAATAAGTTATAGAATTTAATCAATAAAAAAAAGTGATAAAAATATAAATGATGACGTGCCAAAAAAACTCATTTTTTACGATTCAGAAAAAAGAAATTTAAGAAAATTCTTGAATTTCTCCATTCTGATAATCTTAATCTAACATAGCTGTAATAACAATTTAGGAGCCTTATGTTGCAACATATTAAATATATTATATATCTTTTAAATAAATATCAATTCATATTTTATTAAACATTGTTGCTATATGTAATCTTATTAATTGCAGAATTATATTATTACTAAGTGCCTTTAGAATATTTTTACAACTTAGCTTAAGTTACAATATCTTAAGTGTGGCTCGGGTTGTACCGATATAATTGCAGCATCTGTAATCCGCGTTACAAGTGCTCCTAAAGTATCTCGATCAATATTTTTTGACAATTTATGGTAAAACTGATCTTCTACAAACTTCAGTTTCTGTTGTGATGATTGATTATTGTTAGTTTGCATAGTAAAAATGTAAAGAACTTCCTTAATTAAAGGGTTTTCTTTATCACACAAATTATGTAAGGCTTGTATCGCCTCTGCATTGATATTCAATATGTTGCTAATTCTCTGCAACAAAATCGTTTATATATAATCTAGCTGAAGAATAAGCAAATTATACTTGAAATGTATATATACGTACCACAATTTTTTTTACTTCAGAATATTGTTTTAGTTTTTCAATGATCTCGCCAGCATCATTTCCAAAATTTTCTGGATTTAAATGTAAGGGATCGTTTATACCTAAAACAATGCTGCTTACATCTGCCAAGGCTGTAGCTAAACAATTCATTGTGGTTGTTTCATTTGCAAATAATAAAATAATTTGAGGTATCTTAGGATTTCTTGATTCTATTTCATTTATTGCAGATGAAATATCATTCCAAATATCTGATTCTTGATTATAAAATTTTGCTTTAATTTCTTCAATGGATTTAAATTGTGAGATAGAATGGGCTGCATTAGTTTTATTGTTGAAATTTGACCATATCATAGCACAGAGAACAAAACTTATTACTAGTATTAACATGAAAAAATTTGAACAAATTTTATTATTTATCTTTGTATCTTGTTTATTTATCTTTTCACTTGTCTTTGTATCTTGTTTATATATCTTTTCACTTGTCTTTGTATCTTGTTTATTTATAGATAGATGAGGGCTGTTTTCATGTTTGAATTCCTCAGAAGAAGTATCATTTTGAAAAGCGAATTCCTCCTTATTCTCCTTAATATGTTCATCAAAACTTTCTTTTATTTGTTTATCATTAATGCTATCATCTTTAAGTAATATATCATTTTCAGATAAATTTGATGTTTCTTTTCTAAATTTGTTATCCATAGATTTGGAGGAATTATACATATATGAAAAATTTTTTTCTTCGGGTTTTTTAGTTTGATAAGATTTTCGACCTTTAGGTATGGGTGGTTTATATTCTGCTGAGTTATGAATCTATGAAATAATAATATATTATTTGTTTTATAAGTAAACTAGAGATGGTTTGTATAACTGTAGTTATTACAATTTTAAGATAAAATGTTTCAATTAATGTTTGATTATGTATAGTTACTATATATATAGTTTGGCTACATATTTATCAAATTGATAGTATTTTAAAAATGAATGTCGCATACAATATCAGTGGCATATGAATAAGGAAAATGAAAGAAAAATTACAATTTGTAATTTAAAGTATTAGGATGGATCAAAAATAAGGTTCTTTTGATACGGTAATCTTTAAGAAGATTAATGTATTTGTTCTAGCTTGGGATGAATTTGCAGATTCTTTCTCAGTAAAAATCTAGCTTTTAAGTTTTAAACTGTTCTTAGACAGCATTCTGTACAATTATATCATTTGGAAATTGCTCAAACATGTTTCTTTAATGGCCTAAAGAAATAAAAATTAGATGCCAGATTCAGGCTGTATAATGATGCTTTATAATATTTCAATCAAATAATGAATATAATTCAATAAATAAATAGAAATATAATAAATATTCCCGAGTTCAATATTCAGAATGAGATGACATTATCGTAAGAAAAAAAAATTTCTCTCTAAAGAAGAGAAGAGCCTCTTTCTTTGAATTACTTCATTGATACAGCTGTACAGAATTGTTCAAGAATAATTTAATCAAGAGTTAAATTGTTATCGGACGAAAATCTTGAAATTTGTCCCATGATGAAACTAGTGGATCAATCTTCTCGAAGACTATATTGAAATGTAGTCATAAGCTTTTAACATAGTAATGTCCAATTTGTACATAAATTATAAATAAAAGTAATAAAATCTTACTTGTTGATTCATCCTATTATACACACTGTGTTCGTCTTGACACTGTAAGTTGCTGAAGCTTTCAATTAGCTAACGAAAATAAAGAAATCCTTGTCTCGAATGATCAAATAACTTTCACAGCTGTTACGGTATCAAAAACGTTACGAATGTAACCATAATATGCATGATAAAAATTTTTCTTTCCTTCGACATCGTTTAATAAAGCTACGGAAATTTTAAGGAAGTTAACGAAACGAAATACTAATGTTTCGCAAAACGATACCTTGTCATTCATTTCATATTAATAAGTTCATTACTTATCGTCACATAAAAATAACGGATATGATGGAATCAGCCATTAAATATCATTGATTTCTAGACGAATGTCACACCTCATGATACAGTACATATCGAGAGAAAGGCTGATACAAGCCGAAATGTATTTAAATATCAATAGTCAGCAGAAATCTCAGATGACAAATATAAACATATGCGGTGCAGAGAGAAGACTGAGAGATGTCACGGCTTGCTTTTAGTTGACCCCGAAAGTGATACTCCCTCTATGGACATTGAGAACATGGACATGAACTACAAAGTCAATGTCCATGAATGTTCTCAGAAGGTAATATATAATTGCATAATTTCTGGTTTTGTTCCGTGCTATGTGCACGAAATGCCGGTAGCACCAGTGCTATATAACAATTAGATACTTATGTGTGTAAATTGATAATAAATAAATTATTCAATCGCGAAAGATACTGTAATATTCAAAGATGAAATAAATATTTTTCAAAATAAATTGGTAAATAATACGGCTCTATGTATTTAACAACATGATAATTAAGTAAAGAGCATTAAGAGCTCACAAAACGCGGATGGCAATGCGTAAATTATTTCGAACATTAATTGTTCGCGAAATTTTTTTTTTTTTTTTTTTTTAAATGCGTTATTAGGAGAACATGATTTGTAAAGAGGTCATCAACGCATTATCGACCTCCTCGCAAAATATATTCTCCTGATAATATAAAATAATAAGAAACGAATTTTCGAAAATTTTTACGCTTGCGTTATTAGGAGAACATGATTTGTAAAGAGGTCATCAACGCATTATCGACCTCCTCGCAAAATATATTCTCCTGATAATATAAAATAATAAGAAACGAATTTTCGAAAATTTTCACGCTTGCGTTATTAGGAGAACATAATTTGTAAAGAGGTCATCAACGCATCATCGACCTCCTCGCAAAATATATTCTCCTGATAATATAAAATAATAAGAAACGAATTTTCGAAAATTTTCACGTTTGCGTTATGAGGAGAACATGATTTGTAAAGAGGTCATCAACGCATCATCGACCTCCTCGCAAATATATTTCCTGATAATATAAATATAAAAACGAATTTTCGAAAATTTTCACGTTTGCGTTATTAGGAGAACATGATTTGTAAAGAGGTCATCAACGCATCATCGACCTCCTCGCAAAATATATTCTCCTGATAATATAAATTATAAGAAACAAATTTTCGAAAATTTTCACGTTTGCGTTATTAGGAGAACATGATTTGTAAAGAGGTCATCAACGCATCATCGACCTCCTCGCAAAATATATTCTCCTGATAATATAAAATAATAAGAAACAAATTTTCGAAAATTTTCACGCTTGCGTTATTAGGAGAACATGATTTGTAAAGAGGTCATCAACGCATCATCGACCTCCTCGCAAAATATATTCTCCTGATAATATAAAATAATAAGAAACGAATTTTCGAAAATTTTTACGCTTGCGTTATTAGGAGAACATGATTTGTGAAGAGGTCATCAACGCATCATCGACCTCCTCGCAAAATATATTCTCCTGATAATATAAAATAATAAGAAACGAATTTTCGAAAATTTTCACGTTTGCGTTATTAGGAGAACATGATTTGTGAAGAGGTCATCAACGCATCATCGACCTCCTCGCAAAATATATTCTCCTGATAATATAAATTATAAGAAACAAATTTTCGAAAATTTTCACGTTTGCGTTATTAGGAGAACATGATTTGTAAAGAGGTCATCAACGCATCATCGACCTCCTCGCAAAATATATTCTCCTGATAATATAAATTATAAGAAACGAATTTTCGAAAATTTTCACGTTTGCGTTATTAGGAGAACATGATTTGTGAAGAGGTCATCAACGCATCATCGACCTCCTCGCAAAATATATTCTCCTGATAATATAAATTATAAGAAACAAATTTTCGAAAATTTTCACGTTTGCGTTATTAGGAGAACATGATTTGTAAAGAGGTCATCAACGCATCATCGACCTCCTCGCAAAATATATTCTCCTGATAATATAAATTATAAGAAACGAATTTTCGAAAATTTTCACGTTTGCGTTATTAGGAGAACATGATTTGTAAAGAGGTCATCAACGCATCATCGACCTCCTCGCAAAATATATTCTCCTGATAATATAAATTATAAGAAACGAATTTTCGAAAATTTTCACGTTTGCGTTATTAGGAGAACATGATTTGTAAAGAGGTCATCAACGCATCATCGACCTCCTCGCAATATATATTCTCCTGATAATATAAATTATAAGAAACGAATTTTCGAAAATTTTCACGTTTGCGTTATTAGGAGAACATGATTTGTAAAGAGGTCATCAACGCATCATCGACCTCCTCGCAAAATATATTCTCCTGATAATATAAATTATAAGAAACGAATTTTCGAAAATTTTCACGTTTGCGTTATTAGGAGAACATGATTTGAAAAGAGGTCATCAACGCATCATCGACCTCCTCGCAAAATATATTCTCCTGATAATATAAATTATAAGAAACAAATTTTCGAAAATTTTCACGTTTGCGTTATTAGAAGAACATGATTTGTAAAGAGGTCATCAACGCATCATCGACCTCCTCGCAAAATATATTCTCCTGATAATATAAAATAATAAGAAACGAATTTTCGAAAATTTTCACATTTGCGTTATTAGGAGAACATGATTTGTAAAGAGGTCATCAACGCATCATCGACCTCCTCGCAAAATATATTCTCCTGATAATATAAAATAATAAGAAACGAATTTTCGAAAATTTTCACGTTTGCGTTATTAGGAGAACATGATTTGTAAAGAAGTCATCAACGCATCATCGACCTCCTCGCAAAATATATTCTCCTGATAATATAAATTATAAGAAACGAATTTTCGAAAATTTTCACGTTTGCGTTATTAGGAGAACATGATTTGAAAAGAGGTCATCAACGCATCATCGACCTCCTCGCAAAATATATTCTCCTGATAATATAAATTATAAAAAACGAATTTTCGAAAATTTTCACGTTTGCGTTATTAGGAGAACATGATTTGAAAAGGGGTCATCAACGCATCATCGGCCTCCTCGCAAAATATATTCTCCTGATAATATAGATTATAAGAAACGAATTTTCGAAAATTTTCACGTTTGCGTTATTAGGAGAACATGATTTGAAAAGAGGTCATCAACGCATCATCGACCTCCTCGCAAAATATATTCTCCTGATAATATAGATTATAAGAAACGAATTTTCGAAAATTTTCACGTTTGCGTTATTAGAAGAACATGATTTGTAAAGAGGTCATTAACGCATCATCGACCTCCTCGCAAAATATATTCTCCTGATAATATAAATTATAAGAAACGAATTGGTTTGTGGGCTCTTAATGCTCTTTACTTAATTATCATGTTGTTAAATATTTTTCTATATTCGAGTGTCACCGTGTGAATGATGGCAAAGCCATGACATGTATAGCCGCTTGCTATACGTCGTCAAGGCCAAACGTATGATATTAATTGATAATTCTCTGCCGAAATATTTTGCGTACTATATATACACGCGACATTTTAAATTATAGAAGTATATTTTATTTTAAATTAATTAATTATGAACGATTGATGTATCACGGAACAATCGCGATATATCGCAAACCACCATCATGTTTCGGAGAGCGACCCGCCCACCGCTTCGCCACGATCGTAGTATCTATATTTAATTAATTAATCGAACGATTGCATTCCGATTCATCTTTTCGTTCTGTATATATAAGTATTTAATCAATTAATCGAACGATTACATTCGGCTTGCCATTTTACTCGCCGCATTACAGTGAATATCGCGCGAGAGAGGCAGGCAACATGCGCGGCGTCGTGCACGATTTCGACCGTCCGCGCGCAGACGAAAAACAGCGAATTTATATCTCGACTTCCAGACGCGATAGCGATTTCGTTCTTTTTGCATAAAATTCTACACCATTTCGCGGCACTACCGTTTAAATCTCGTCCCGATCGCCCGAAGAGCGGCTGACTTACAGTGAATATCCGAAATTTGCTTCTTGGACTCACACTTAAATGTAATATTTATACATTTAATATAAATATATAATATAATTATATAATATAAATAATAGCAAGGAAAAGAGAGAACATATTAATATTTTTATATAATAAATTATTATTAATTAAATTATTTATATTTTTATTTATATTATTTATATTATCAGAGGGACACATATATGTTATCCTCTGAGAACATTCGTGGACATTTGTTTTGTAGTTCATATTTTGTTGTTAATGTTCATAGAGGGAGTATCACTTCCAGGGATAAAGCGAGCCACGACATCTCTCAGTCTCTCTGTGCACGCTCGGTCGGCTTCGGTCAGCTCCGATCAGCGTTGAGCGCATGCGCATCGCATCGCCTCCACGCGCTGTTGACAGATATGACAGATAACAGATGCAACGTAAGCGTGCTGTCAAAAAGTTGTACCGTGACAACAAAATAATAATGTAGGACGCTAGCAAGGATCTAATCGAGTAAAATCATTTATGGCAATGAGATTGAAGTTTACTTTGTCCAAGAGCACCAACCAAAACAGAAAAAGAAGGAAAAATCAAGAATAAAGTCCGATTTAAACCGACCGCGATCAAACTCACTGATAGCACGCCGGTTGTGTAGGAGTCGAATTCGCGAAACATTTTTCAGCCGAGTTTTATGGTGATAACATGTGTATTAGTCCTCTGAAGAAGATATGTCATTGGGGACCGCTCTCTGCTCTCGGTGAGTGATTTTTACTAACCGACTTTTCGTCACGTCAATCGACCGTTATTAAGGTTAATCGATGATGCAATGCAATTGACATTTATTTATCAGCTGCATTCGCTAATATTTGGGAATTATACGTTATCGATCTTAAATCTCTATGTAAAATATATGAATTTTCAAAATGAAGATATTTGATAAGATTGCAACTTTTATCAGATTAATTTGTGTTGCAGGAATAATAAAGATAATTACGTTAATGACGATACATTGTAGTAAACAATGGTGGTCACCGCAAGAAAGTATTCCAGCAGCCACCAGTTTCTTACTGTTTTTCACTCTGAGTGGATTAACTTTATTTCATTTTATCAGCGCAATCTTTGAAGGACCAGGATATCTTAAGTTAAAATGGATGCCGGTAATATATTATATATTTTTATTTAAAACTCTTCTATCCTTAATTCTCTATTTCCAGAGATCGAGTTTTTTAAATTTAAAGTTATCTGTTGCACTGATCTAACTTATATTTGTTACTTGACAACATATGGCAAATTTGCATCATGCTAAGTAATGATAAATTATATTATTATTTAAAAGTAGCTCCTTATCATATCTTAATATAAAATTATAAATTTTATTCATAATTTTATAATAAGCAATAAAGCATAAAATAAGCAGTTAAAAGAAATTATAAATTGTTTTACATTGTTATTATTATTTATCAATGTCATTTGCTTTTAGGAAAATGTTACAGATAAACAATACTTACAATATTGTATTATCTGTCAAGGATATAAGGCACCAAGATCGCATCATTGTAGAAAATGTAAGATTTAATATAATATAAACTTTTTTTTAATATTTTAGAGAGAATTATAAATTTTTACTCATTAGAAACAATATTATTTAAGAATAATGATATCCTTTAATTATAGATAATTGAAGGATAATTCCTTTTTTTTATATTGAAGAATATATTGAAAAATTATGATATAAACAAAATAGAGATGATTTCTCATGCAAATGCAAGTTGAAAATATAAAACAAAATGTTTTTATATAAGTTATATTTTTAAAGAAATTGTCTGAATGTTATATTTTTTAAAGAAATTGACTGAAGTCTTTGTTTTTGAATACTTAATGATTTGACGAAAATCAGTTCAACAGATTTTATTACACGCAATTATTTCTGTTTATATTTAGAAATAATTATAAACTATCAATTCATTTTTATTTGAACTACTTTGTATGACAAGAAAAGTGACATTTTTAGTAATTTAATGAAATAAATGCATTGGCTATTGTATTGGCTTATTGTATGCAATAAGATCTGATGCATAAACTCCAAAATCAATTGAAGACACACTAGACAGATCTTTAAAATCGATTTTTTTCAAAAATCTTTTACAGAAATCACCATTTCATTTATATCACAATTTTCGATATTGTATATTTTATTGTTTATCTATAAATGTATTTTATTGATGAAAAAAAGTAATATATTGAGCAATACATACACAGTGTTAAAAATATTATTATACTTTTATAATTCAAGAAACTCTTAAATATTTTACTAAAAATAATATGAATATTTATCAATGTATTGTCATTGCAAAATGCTAATATAGCATATAGAATTTTATATCAATGATTATGCATCTATCACTATTATAAAACTCAGTATTATAATCTGTATTTCTTTAACAGAATTTTGAAGGTTCATGCTTGAACATAATTGCAGAGTCATGTTCTTGCTCGGCTCGTGCAAATAAAATCTAAATGCAACTTTGCAACATGATATGTGATGTGATTGCCAATTATTTACTACTTTAGTACAAATGGTAAAACGCTGATAAATGTAATGTTTATTTTTAATAAAAATTTGGAGTTTCTTGGATTATAACATATTATTTTACATATTAATTTTGTTTTTTTTTTAATAATTCTTTTCTTATTTATTTTTTAGGTAATCGTTGTGTGTTGAAAATGGACCATCATTGTCCATGGATAAATACATGCGTTGGACATTATAATCATGGTCATTTTACAGCATTTTTAGCAAGTGCAGTTGGTGGTTGTTGCGTCTCTACTGTTATATTAATTTCCTGGGTTACAACTGTATTATCTCTGAAACAATTGCCATTCCCACCACCATCAGTCTGTACACTAATATTAGTAGTATTTAGTATTGGTTTATCAATTGGTGTGGTACTTGCAGTAGGAATGTTGCTGTATTTTCAGGTAAATAATCTTGCATGGAATCTCACTGTATGTTCACATTTTAAATTTTATTATGTTCAATTTTTATATATTCTTTAAATTGTTTATATAGATGTCAGCCATTGTGAGAAATCGAACAGAAATAGAAGATTGGATTTTGGAAAAGGCACGATACCGGCGAGATGATACAGATGTTGAATATGTACATCCATATTCGAAAGGATGGCGTTTCAATATTAGTCAGGTTTTTACATTGGATTGCACTCCAGTCGGTGATGGCATTACATGGCCTGTTATCGATGGCTGTGATCAATATACATTAACGGTGATTTTATTATCAAAATAATAATACCCTTTTTTAATTCACATAATAATTATCAATTATATATGACATATCTAAAATTTATAAAATTATTATATATTAGTTTCCAACACATATACATGCACATTACACATTACATAATACCATTAGTTTACAGAAAACATTGTAATCATATGTTACACTATAGAATGTCACCCAATTGTTCTCAATTGGATACAATATTTCTTGATATTAATTGTGCATGTTGAAATGAAAATCTCTAAGCACAAGTTCATGAACTATTGTGCACTAACAAGATTCTCTCTATAAATATAATATTACATTATATACTGTGTAATTTATACTATTTATCACATCACTTTGTAGAGGGAGCAGCTCGCACAAAAACTAGATAAACGGAAAAGAGCGCGCAAATATAGAGTTGTAAAAACTGCTTCAGGATCAAGATTTCCAATTAGGCATGGTTGTGGTGTATTCTGTCATCCTCCTTGTACTGATGAACCTCGCATCAAATTGGATATAGATGATATTGTGATTGCAACGCGTTGGAAAAAGTATGTTTTGATTTGTTAATATTGTGTATTTTTGATGGTAAATTATTTATTTTTATTTATATGTGAATACACATATGTACATGTGTATATAAATCTATTGTGTGATAAAAATAGTCTTAATTTTTTACAGATATTGGTTATTTGGAGAAAAAGAGCAAAAAAAAGGAGACAATAATGTTGGATCGAAACGTATTAGAGGATGGTTGCCACGTCCTTGTGTGATTGAAGTAATAGAAAACGATTTATATGATTCAAATAACTTATTTAAGGAGAATTAAACTTTAAAGTTACGTAATAATATTTATATATGCCTGAAGATGTGTGAACAACTGAATACCAAAATATTAGCAACATGCTAACAATACAACAGTAAATTCACTCATGAGTTTGCGCAACAGATTTCGATATATGTATACCTTCATTAAATTAAGTTTAATTTTTCTGTTCCAGTATCTTAGATACTCAAGCGTTATTAATCATATTGATTAATCATATTACTATCATATTACCGATAATTATATTATCGACAGCAATTTGACAGACTCTGGGATTTTATCGATATATAGTGTAGCCTAAAAATGAAGCATTTATCTTTTATCATATCGAGACAGCAAATTTCGAGTAGTATTATCGTATCGGACATTGATGACAGAGAAACAGAAGAAATAAAATATAATCTACTCACATAACAAAAACGCGGAAAAAATACAATCTATTATTAAGAGATTAAGAGATTTACGATAGCCATGCGTCAAATCACGCGCAGCAACAATAAGATGTACATGAACTAGTAGCTTAAGTTTACATTTTATATAATAAAATTTTTTTTATCTTTATTCTACGTATTCTATATCAGAGATGTTATTAAGTGCAATATATTAAAATCTTTAGTAAGAAATGGTCACATACATCATTCTCTTATTATCCTTATTATTGTTTAAATTTCAATATATTTTTTATATCTATACAAATTGCATCCGGACGTTGTACTATTGGAGCAATATATATAATATATATAATATATATAAAATATAATATTATATATAATATTATATTATATATAATATAATATTATATATATAATATTATATATATATATATATATATATATATATATATATAATATTTTTAAGATAAACAGAAGATGGGACCAAGTTGCATATTAGCCAATATAGCTGTTTCTTCCGAAAAACATACAGTATGTTAATCTGTAATTAGCTTATGAACTTTTATTCAATAATTTATCTACATTTAAAGTTTCTAAAATATTGTAAATCTATATTTTCTTCTTTATTTTGCAACAATAATTTGTTTTTTTTTATTCTTTCTATTTTTTTATCTGTTTCTCTCTCATACCACAATTCTGTTTTCCAAGATATTTGCAATATGTTAAAAAATGTTTTTCTTGTCTTTGAATTATTTTTTTGCTAATTATTTAATATGTAATAAGCGAACACAATTATGTATTCAATTACTGCATATTAATGATATTGATGAAATAATTTAAAAATTAAGAATATTTCATCTAAAACAAAAAAAATAGTTCATTATCACCTTTTCCTCTGTAATATTTAATGAATGATTTTCATAAAAGAAAAGAAAATATAAAGATCAAGACTATTATCTTTGATATGATGCAAGGATAACGGTGATGCAATTTATGACATTACGCGTAACATATATTTGATGATCGATAGTGAAAGGATTGTACTAAGCTTGCGAAATATAGAATGTAATGTTTAATAACTCAATTTATTGTTTATGCTTACTATCTGATAAATATTATATATACAAGTTGTATAAGGATTTAAATTTCATTAACAATTGATAACAATTTAGTGCTGTAATATCTATAATATGCTGTAATATGACATTTATAAATAAGTATGTTATGTATCACATAATAAACTTATTTATAAATCATCGAATTATTACACGTATTGAGAAATATTATTACGCTTTAATTTAAAAATATTACATACGTAATATTACGTAAATATTACATACGTAATATTACGTAATATTACGTAAAGAAATTATTTTACTACTGATATTCTATTAATATATTTTATATTGAATTTTTATTAAAATATTTAATCTTTAATTCATAAAATTTGAATGACTGATCGTTAAAAGAAACGCAACAAGGAATTTTTTATTCGGTCAGAAGTAGAAATAAAATCCTTTAAAATATTGTTTTACGTTTGTAATTATATGTCAACTCTTATATTAACATTCTATATATAATTTCTAAATTGTTTTTTTATTAAATATTTAGTTTCCAAAATAACAAAAATAATTATAGTAAAAAGTTATGTAATTCTGATAAATAAAAACTTATTAACATTTTTCTTACAAGTAATCAAGATTTATGTTTGTCAATAATATAATGAAATTATTATACATTATTACATTATTACATTACGTGTTTTATGACGTATAAAAAGTAATTCATTTTTAACGACAAACACAACATAGTTTTTGTACAGAATAGAATTTGTAGATATGTTTCTAAACGAATAAGGCGGAACCGGTTACATTGACGAAGGAACCGAGTGAAAGTAATCAATTAGCAAAAGCGAATTGAGTACAGTTTTGCAATTCTACGGTAAGATCTCCCCATTTGACTTACCGGCAAGTGATCGTGCACTAGTGCATAGTTTCTTACATGCGTCTCTATCACGAGCATCTCTTTTCTTTATCTTTGCACGATTTTCATATGTAATAACAACCTGTTTCAAGTAAGTTCTTATAATATATTCCATTATCCATAAATTATTCAAGTTATTGTTAATGTAAAAAAATGGCAAAATAAATTTTTCGCATCATTAATTTATCAATAAATCTCTATGATATCGCTACTTATCTTAAATAGTATCTTTTTAATAAAGATAGTTATATTAATGTTATAAAAGTGAAACAAAATTAAATTTTACAGGTAACATTGGAAGGTGATCAATTATATATTGACCAATTATAATTTTCCATTCATAAATATATTAAAATTTTTTTGATAAAAGTAATGATATCAGAAATATGTGTCAAATAAATATTATAAAATTTTCTCTCTCTTTTATTTATTATATTTTAATATTAAAAGTGTTATTTTTTAATGAAATGCAATATATTGTGTGTATATTTGATTTTATTTCTGTATATAATATTTTAATATGATATATAGAGTATTACATATTATGCATAATTATATAATTACTTTGAATATATCTCATTTTGTTTCTTCTATTATACCATGTTTGTTATATATTATTAATAAAATTTGATTACATGTACATATTTTTTTATTATCGAAATGAAGCAAGAAAAATGCATCCCGTCAGATACATCACCATTTTATTCGCATTCGTCGTCTTTTCTTCAATTTCCGTTTATGGCTTTCCGGACGGTGCTCCGGTGGATGCTTGCGTAAAACCACGACCTAATCAACCTTATCACGGCGAAGCTCGTTCGCAGCCTTTAAATACGAGTCCTTATAAAATATTGTCCTCATCGTCGCAGTATGTACCAGGTTCCCAAATCACAGGTAAGTCTATAAATATGTCAGAACTCATCTTATCAGAGTGGACACACTTTGATAATAAAAAAAAAACTGGACACACCTTGACTTTAGAACAAATAGAGATAGGTAGATGGATAGGTAAAAGGTTGAAATTTTGAAAAATTTTATGAGCTATTTTTTTTTGACTAAAGTGGCACTTTTAATTGTAGACCAAAGAAGTAGGGGTAACTTTAAAATCTTAAATAACATAAAAAGTTGAATAGATTCTCATTTGAAAGTACTTTTAAGGATGAGAAAAAAAAATCAATATCATGGAAAAGAGGCAATAATCTATTATTTTATAGGTTTCGAGATGATACATTCAAGAGTCAATAACATATGCATTTTTTTAAGAATTAATTATTTATTCTTAAATTTTGATTTATAAGAAATCTTGACAATATTATAATAGAGAGATATTAACTTTATACTTGTTCAAAATTTACATATGTCAAACAAATATGCGCTACAAATGTGAACAAATATCGATGATAAAAAATAAACTAAATTTGATTTGAATAAATAGTGTCGATTTTTATTGAAATCTTGTCTCGTTTATTTTTTAGTTTCTATAAGAGGAGCCTCATTCCAGGGATTTTTCATACAGGCACGCGATTCTAATACAAACAAATGGATCGGATCATGGGAACAAACACCCAATACAAAAATACATGCTGAATGCAGTGCTGTGACACATGCGGATCCACGTGAAAAAGAACAAGCCACTTTTATTTGGAATGCACCGCCGAATGCACGTGGCAGTGTTTACTTCACGTAAGTGTAATATTTTCGAACAATGGAAATTCTAGAAAAGAAATGCATTATTCATGTGTTTCATGCAATGAATCACTGCAATTACATTACACACAATAGTCTCTTAAAATTTATATTTTCTAAATAATTATCGATTTCCTCTTTATACTTCCTCTTTTTCTAAGTACAATATTACTCCTATATTATAATTTATTGCAAATGCATATATATTTACGTAATTGAAATAATTATTATTTAAGAATTATGTAATATCACCATAGTAACTTCTATTTCATGGTAATTGTGAGCAATATATAATTCAATATATAATTCAATATATAATCAATAATTCAATATATATTCAATAATTTATATGTAATTTATATTACATGTGTCCAAACTTAGATGGTAGAAAATATACATGTATAGTTACATTAAAACGTTTCAATAAATTTATTACAACAATATCTTGTTATTGTTTTCAGTGGGACTGTATTGAAGGACTATGCAACATTCTGGTCTGATCTTGTTTCACAGGTAACGCAATAATAATTCGTTAGCATTTTATCTATCAGCATTCTTAGATGTCGACAAAGTGCATTCCCCAAAAGGATAGATTTCTATCTGTATACTTATATTCAAAAATTCTTTATTATGTACCTTTGTATACATACAATATGTTCAATATATATTTTATATGGATTTTATATTTTTTTACATTATGTGTAATCGCAAAAATGTAATATATTGAAAATGTTTCAAATAAACTACCGCTAAAAGAAATATATTGTGTGTTTATTGCGTGATAATAATTATATATTAAGAGACTTTTTATCATTATTAATTTTGTTATAATAAAAATTATTATGTGACATTTATATATTGAACATGTTTAGTTTCTTTTGTATATGATTTATTTCTCAACAAGTGAAGGAAGTTCTATGATCATAAATTATATGACTTATTTCTTTACACCGTATTTTAAAAAGTAAATTTTTTACAAGTATTGCACGATAATACATAAAAAATGCTAAGTAACGGTTACTAACGATGATAAATAAACGATAATGCATAACGATAATGCATAAATGATAATACATATAACGATAATACATAAAAAATGCTAAGTTACTAACAAAATATGAAACATTCATGAAAATGCATGTCAAATGCGTTCTTCTTACACAACTCGTATTTCAATACTTCTTTCGATAACATTTGCAGCTTCCTTCCACAAACTACCTAATTATTTTAATTATTTTAACACAAGACTTTAGTGACCTTCCTATATTGTCTCCTGCATTTACGTGAATTAATTATGCAGATTATTTCCTTTACATATGTTATCATCTTTAATGAGGTGGTTCCTTGATGATAATCCGGCATTTACCGACATCTATAATTCAAATTGTTTAGATTTCTTTTAATGCAACATTATCTAATACAATGTTCTATACTACATGAGAGGAATCTGTGTACTTACAATTATAGCATCTCTTATCTTATCCGTTGTAATGATAATTATACACAATATCGTCACGTACTAATGGTTTTAAACGCAGTTAATTATGTGTAAAAAAGATTCTGCTTCGAACTTCATTTACAATACAAAATTTGTGATGATGATACTGTAATATTAGCATTAATATTCGTACGATGTAGCTAGAATTTTTAGGAACAGAAAAGTTTAAAAAAAAAAGCTTTTCTATATATGTGCAGAAATAAAATATTCTTAAATAAAAATTATACTTTTTCCCCCTTTCTTTTTTATATTTTTATATCCTTTTTATCTGTTTTATATCTTTTATATTTATATATGTTATATATATTATATATATATATATATATATATATATATATATATAACATATATAAATATAAAAGATATAAAATTTAGAGATATGTATGTATAAGATATTTTTAAAATTGATATGTTAAAATAATATACCATTCAATTAAAATCGAGAAAGTATGTGACTTATTGTAAAAATATCGAATTTTGGAATACTTTTACTTGATGAATCGAGAATTATTATTTCCTTTTTTTTAATAATGTTGTTTACATTTATTTACATTTGTTCAATATTTTATATGATATAAAAAAATTAACATATCTTATATATAATTTATTAATGTAGATTTTGATGCATCAATTTATTCTAAAAAAAAACTGGTTTAAATAATTTACAGTTCACAATTTTCCCTCTCTCTCTTTCTCTCATGAATTCAATTAAATGCATTCCGTCAGAAATAGACATTGAATGGAATTCACAACGCAGTTATTAAATTCTTGATCCTCGAAATGAAAATTTCACTTAGAGATCTTTTTAATTTTTTTGTTCAAGATTTTTAAAAAATATAAAAATATAAAAAAATATTTTGACAATCATGTACATCGCATTACACAGAATTTTGCCTTATATCGGAATAAATCTATCCACGTATGAATTTAATTATCTATTTTTTCCGCAAAACAGGAAAGATTTAAAAGCGTAAAAAATCATTAATGATCTAATTTACAAAAGACTCGCTCTTTGCGTTTTCTTTTATGATTTCCCGGGCTGATCAGCAGTCCGCCGAACCGTTCCTGATGTCACGACCGAGTCTAAGCTCTAAACTCAATTCACGAAGTTTCGGCTCAGAAACGATCGAACCATCATGCGGAGCGTGCGCGAGACGTTGGACTGATAAAGAAGAGTATTTTATCACGATACGTTCTTTTGCGCTTGGTAATCGATCGGAGACAGTCGGATAGAACGTGACTTGGATTTCTATCGAGCGGTAAGTCGTTGATGATTTTGTGACGCGCTAATCATTATTTAAAAAATTTTCAACTCTATATTTCGCGTATATCATGACGTCATGGACCATGTGCTTAAACTCTGTGCATACAAGTAAAGTCGATATCACATATGTGTGACAAATTTTTTAGACACGTTGATTGGCTGCGGGATAAAAAGTTTCTAGATTCAAAAAATTATTATCCCGCAGCCAATCAATGTGAAAAATTTGTCGTACGACAAATGTAATATTGGCCTAGTGCCATAATTATATGTCAAGGGAGATAACAAATTTTGTGGTCTTTTATCCTTTTCGGAACATACTGCGCATCGTCAATTCTACAAGTACGTCAGCAAAAATTTATCCTCGAGAAATCAGTGAAATGTATACGTTGTTTGCTGAATCGGTTTAAAATAATCTTTCCGGATTAAAAACGCAAAGGTAGATAGCTTCGGACTGTACAAAACAAGGATAGATTAACCTCTCTCGATGCGCTGCATTATTGTGGCACTCGTTCCAATGTGTATAGAGCTCAATAACCGCGTGGTATATTGATGTTCTTCAAGAATCGGTGTGATCGATTAATGACGGCCTTTTGTGATTAATGACAGCTGACGCGATTAATGGCAGCTGACGCGATCGAGCGGCGAAGTGGACGGACACGAGGCGCGACTCACGTGTGCGAGATACTCTCGTTTTCTTGACATTTTCTGTCATCAAATGAGACGACAAAAATCATTGATATCGTTGCGTCATCATTTACGAGCAATCGTGCGTAAATTGTTTGCGATGCGCGAATATGATACGGGTCAATAAAAACACGTGTAGCGAGCTAGTAACTTAAAGTAGCGACGTGACTTACTTGTTACTACTCCTTGCGTCTCTTCTATGTCCTACGTGTATTATGAGAGAAAAAAAAGGTATATCGCAAAAGTGTTAGCTAGATTAGCTAGATTATCGCGGGGGAGAGGGGAGTATCAATTGAAAAAGTCAATAATTAAAGAAGAGATAATTTAGCATGATTGTGGGATAACGGTAAATTTGATAAAGTGCCTTGTTTTGCAAGCTGATCGTCTAAATTGAACCAAAGATTATATCTAAAAATATCTTCCAGGTAATAAATATATGTATGCATTTGTATTACTTTAATTTTCTATGCTGAGTATGTTTTCCTGGAATAAAGCATTCAGCTTTTATAAGTATTATTTCAGTCTGGATATAAATATAAATTGGAAGATATTGTCCGTAGCATTACATAAACTAAACATATACGCAACTTGCTGCCAATTTTATATATAAGTTAACACACTTTACAAAAACATGCTACAAATAACTTTATGGAAGAATTTTCAAATTAAGATTCTTTTAATTTTTATTTTATACGTCTAATAAGTCATTTTTATTTCATAAGATGTAATTGAATTTTTATTTCATATAGATGTAATTGAAGAAAGAAAAAGGTTATATATTCTTTTTTTTTTTAATTAAACAATGAGAATTATAACTTTAATTTGGTAATTTACAGATCATGGCAGATATAAATATCTTAGGATGGGCAGATTATCTTGTTATAGCAGTTATGCTATTCATAAGTATTGGAATTGGTATTTATTATAGATTCAGTGGAGGACGTCAGAAAACTATGGAGGTATGCAGTTATCGAGTATTATTGATTCTTTTTCGAAGAAAGTTTTTTAAAAATAAAGTTATTTTTTCTTCAGATATTTTGTTATATCGCAATAATATTTTTTTATAGGAATATTTTATTGCAAGTCGATCAATGAGCATTATACCTGTTGCTGTTGCTTTAGTGGTATCTTTCATGTCTGCTATTACATTGCTTGGTGTATCCGCTGAGAATTACACATATGGGACACAATTTGTTGTAATAAATATATCATATTTAATAGGCACTCCATTTGTATGCTATGGATTCTTACCAGTATTCTTCAAATTACAAGCAACCAGTGCCTATGAGGTCAGTTATGTGAAATTCAATAAATATTGTAACAATTATTAATTGTTATAACATATTTGAAAGTATTATTTATTTTAGTACTTAGAAAAGCGTTTTGGAGTAAAAACTAGGATGATGGCTAGTTTTGTTTACTGGATTCAACTACTTTTATATTCAGGAGTAGTACTTTATGCTCCTTCTTTAGCGTTGGAAGCAACAACGGGAATTTCTAAAACTGCCAGTATTATTATTATTGGTCTCGTCTGTGCTTTTTATTCGAGTATAGGCGGCATTAAGGCTGTGCTGATAACCGACGTATTTCAAGCTTTACTTATGTTTGCTGCGGTATTTGTTATTATTGGCATAGCCGCGACTGAGGTAGGAGGTTTAGAACAGATATGGGAAATAGCGAAGCAGGGACAACGTATCGAATTTGATAGGTATTAAATTTACTGTTCTATTAAGTATAAATGTATTGTTGGATTGTAATACTCTTTATTACATCTGTATATATTTATAGCATTTATATTGTTGCAGCATTTCTCCGGATCCAACAGTAAGACATACCTGGTGGTCTCTTATCATTGGTGGTTTATGTACATTCTTATCGATTTATGGAGTGAACCAAGTACAAGTACAACGTTCGTTAACTGTAAAGTAAGTTCTTTAATATGTAATTTAAGCAGCAGATATTAATAATTATATTAAAGTTTTATAATTTATAATGTATGTGAAATATTAATATACAACATATTAAGTAATTTTTGTTTTTATTTTGTTAATATATTTGACTAAATAATTATTTTTATAACACCTCATTTATTAATGAAATTAAAATTTTTAAAAATATTGCATCGAATAAATTTTGTTCTAGAAATATCCAGGCTGCACAAAAAGCTTTATGGTTGTCTTGGCCTATTCTGTCAATTCTTTCGATCACAACTTGTTTCTCAGGATTAGCAATATATAGTAAATATCATAATTGTGATCCACTTCTCCAGAAAAGGATTTCTTCACCTGATATGCTCATGCCATTATATGTCATGGACACAATGTCCACTCTACCTGGTTTGCCAGGTCTTTTTATTGCAGGTAATATATTTCGGATATATTTTTATCAAGTATTCTATTTTAAACTTCTAGAAACTTGTAGAAATTATACTTACACAAAAATGATTATAAAAATAGAAACATTTAAGAGCACAAATGTCTAAATAACTTTATATAAATATAATTTTATGTAATATAATTTACAATTTATCAATCTTAAGTTACTCTCTTTTTCTCTATAGTATATAATTAGTAATAAGTAAAATAGTATATAATTTTGAAACAACTATATAGATATATTTACAATGTTAATCTGAAATATTTAATTCTAGGTATTTTCAGTGCAGGACTCAGTACAATTTCTGCAGCATTAAATTCTCTGGCAGCAGTAACATTAGAAGATTACATGAAACCTATATATAGAAAGTATACAAGGAGAGAATTTTCTCCTACAAGGTCAACCACCATTGCTAAAATACTTGCTTTTGTGTTTGGCATTATTTCTATTGCTTTGGCATTTTTAGCGCAGTTATTAGGCGGAGTACTTCAAGTAAGTCGAGAAAAATCATGAAATTATCAAGAAAATCTTCTAGAGATAAATCAAGATAATAAGTCTAATTCATTATTATTGTTTATGTATAAATGCGTTTAAATTTGTCATTAACGAAATGTATTTTATCATAGGCTGGCTTAACCATTTTTGGAGTAGTCGGTGGTCCATTATTAGGTGTTTTCACACTTGGCATGGGCACCGAATCAGCGACAGAAGAAGGCGTAGTAATAAGTACTCTCACGGCACTTACGTTTTTATTTTGGATGGCTTTCGGTCAACCGCGTCCAATGCCACCTATGTTACCAACGACTATTAAAGGCTGTGATATGAATAATACGCTCACGAATGCAACAGTATTCGTTTCACAAAATGTTACAAATGTTTTCAAGTGAGTAATTCACTGAATAATCGCTAAATTAATGTATGTAAGATATCAACATTTAAAGCGTTACCATATTTTTTTTCAGAAGCACTGGCGATAGTTCCTACTTTTATTTGTATCGTATTTCATACATGTGGTATGCTCCTCTTGGATTTTTAATAACGTTTATTCTTGGTCTATTTATCAGTGGCCTGTTTCGTTTGTTTATCAAAGATCAAAATGATAAATTAGATCCTAATTTATTCTTTCCTGTGATAGCGCGACGTATATATTATAGGCGACGTAAAGATATAGCGATCGATGATACAGCAAGTTATGCATTAGAAAGTAAATATTCTTTTAACAATACGATTCAGAAGAATGACAGTGTAGTGGTAAAAGTATAAAAATTTAACAATGCATCATTTACAAAGATTAATAGGTATTAGACATTCCATATCAGAAAAATATGCGAGAAAATAACATAGAAATGAAAAGATTACATGAGATATTATGAAGGGATATTTTTTATTATATTTGTAATAAAAAAATAAGATCTATTGTGCAAAAGTATAAGTAATTCAGTATGTGAGAGAATTTTCATAAATGTGTATTAATCACATTTATTTCTAACATAACACTTTTACATAAAATTAAATAATTTTGTGTATTGCAACAAATTTCTTCCATGTTGCATTTGCACTGCCGGTTTCTGCTGACTATAAATATAATTTTTATAAGTACAATTGCATTATACAGTGAAACATATCTGTTCGTCTGCTTGAATTATAATAGCTTAGTTCTTTTTATATATATTTATAAATATACTTAAAGGAGAATTAGGGAATTAGGGAAATGTTGACAATATATTAGATAATAGAAAGAAGGCTATTTTTTTAAAACATTATATATGTAATGGCGGCTGTAACTAACAAAATTTCCGAAAGAAAAAAAATAAATTATATATTTGATGTGTGTTGTGTTTAAGTATAGCTGTTAAACATTTTAACAAGAATTAATATATATTAATATGTATGTGTATATATATATATACTATGTATATATACATACATATATATATATATATATATATATATATATATATATATATATATTCATGATAGAATTGTTAAGCTAAGACATTGTTATTTCTACAAAATAATTGCAAGAGTTGTTTATTTATATTTTTTATTGTTAAATATTTAAAATATTATTTTAAAATATTATTTTAAATATTCAAAATATTGAATCAAGTATTAATTTTGCAAACATTTTGAAGAAAGAGGAGAGAAAATTTACAAGTTTCTGAAATGATGTTTTATGATTTAAAAGTGATATCTATAAATGTTGTTATACAATATACTATGTTTGTTCATATATATATTGTAAAATTTCAGAGAGATACATAACGAAATATTTTATAGGTACTTAAAAAAATAATGAAACAATTATATATATAATGATATGTATGTCAAGAGTGCAGTATTTATTTAAATAAATAATTTTTATTATATTAAAAGTACTATCGCTGAACTGTAAAGGTATTCATTTTACTTATTTAATTAAATATAAAAAATATAAAAAGAACGTGAACTATATTATTTCATATGTTATTTTATGTATTTTATTCAACTTTTAGCATTTACCAAGCGAGATCATCTAATTACTTAATATTTATATATAATAATTTTAATTGCAAATTTTTTCAAAAATTTATATTTGATATTTTATTGTATTAAATAAAGGTCCTAAAATATTCGATAATACTAATTAAATTTATTATTCCAATTTCGTTATAAAATCCATGGATAAGAGAATATTCATTTTGAAATATTTAATGAAAATAGAAAAAATTCTATTTCTCAAGTGTCTTGAGAACTTTAATTTTAAAATTGGCGACTTTATCATATTTATAATGTATAACTTCCTTTTAAGGTTCTCTCCACTATACTTAAGTGGATGAAAGAAAAAAATCCGAGATTGTATTAAAAAAAAGAGAAGGGGGAGAGGAAGAAACCAAGGTGGCCACGCAAAAGCTTCTGGTTCGTTTGGATTGATACGCCAGATTGAACCAACGACGGTCAGTTGAAACCAGTTTCAATTTATGCGACTCCGTTGGATCGCTGAGATCTCTCGGAGCTCTCTCTGTAGGTCCTTTTTAATTGTTTTTCCACTGAGATACGCGTCTTGTGCGCGGGTCTGTAGTACAACGCCTAATATCTTCTTTTCCTAGATGGAATGGCTGGGGACTATTCGTTAATGATCAATTAAGTCATCAGTGGGGGTATTGCAAGGTCCATGCCGCTTCATCATTGTTTTCTGTCAAAAAATATCAAACATCTAATGATTATCCTTGATGTGCACTCCTGAAGCACTCTCTCTTTGATTTGGCAATGCGTTCGGTTTTGCAATTTTTTTCATTGCAGTATTATAATTTAAAAAATATGAAAACTAATAAATAAATTTTTCTTATTACATTTTACATACTCGCAGCATGTGAAATAATCTAATTCTCATACTCATTTTACAAAATTAAAAAGCTAAAAGAGATATTTCTGAAACTGGATTTCTTAATTATACTATCAAGATCATAAATAAGAATCCTAAATAAGAATAATTTAAATTTTTTTCTTAAATCCTAAGTATTATCTAAAAATTGAAAATACACATAAATATATTGTAATATGAATACCCAGGTAGCAGAGTGACGTTAAATGACATCTTAATAACGTTTTAATGACGTCATTGTACGTCATTAAGACGTCTGGAGACGTCATCTTGCTACCTGGGTATGTATATATACATGTATATATTGTAAATTGAAAATACACATATATATTGTAAAATAAATTACACTAATTGAAATATGTGTCATTATTTAAAAACAAAATATACATCGAGCTCTTTTTCTCTTTTGCTCAGTTTTCTTATTATTTCTTATTATTTCATGAGGTAAGAACTTTTTCCTCATTTTCACTTTCTTTCTATATTGTTTTTGATAACATTAGATTGTCTTTGACTTTCGATGACAATGGTTCTTTGTGGATATGTACATTCGATTTAAACTCCGAAATTAAATTATTTTGTGTAATATAGTTTCATTTAAAAGTGAGATGATGAGATTAACAGTTTGTTTTCAGATAATATACATGATAATATACATGTTTTTCTTGTAATGTATTAATTTTAGTGTCAAATCTCTCTCGAATTCGGATGATTCGGTTGATGTAACATGATCTATTACAATAATTTTGGCTTTGAACTTCGATTAATTTATTTTCTTACAAAAAATAATTCTACAATTTTGCGACGCATCATCTATGATTAAAATTTTTTTACAAAAGGTATGTAATAATCAGTAAAAATTACAAATATGTCATATTATATTTATATTATTAAATTTTAGAAACAAAATTTTTTAATGAATTAATATATTCGATGTCTCTTTAGAAGAGATTTAATAGGAGTTTATTAAATTTTACCCTTTTTCAATTTACAAATTTTTGGCAACTAAAATTTTATTTTACCATTATAATAAATTTTATTTGAATAAGATTTGAAAAACGCATAACACATGTGTGAATAGCTCAACAGTAAATAATTGGATAATTAACATCGCAATGTATTGCAATTCATTTTTTATAATTACAATTAGTCATATCCAAGGAATCGTGACATAGTTACTCACGCATAGAAATACATTGAATAAAACTGCTTACTACTCTTCGTCGATTTTAATCGGTATTATCTAGTTAAATCTGCACATGTTGTGTATGGACAGGATATTCCAGAAATTGTGCGTTTTTTATGCGAAAAAAATAGGTTTTAGGTCTTAAAAATAGGTTTAGTCTTAAAAAGAACAATCTAAAATATGATGATGCTTTCAATGTAACGACAATCAATGATTTTTTAATCACGAGCGTATTTTTTTAAAATAAAATTATTTAATTTTTTTTTAGAAGAATAAAGAATTTATATTCTTATAAAATAGAAAAGAATGCAAACAGTTTTAAGAATGCATCCTTGTATACGTATTTTCATACAAAAAACGAGTGTTAGATATCACATATAATATTATCATAATGATATATATTTTATTATGTTCATTTACTGTCGTCATTCAAGGTGAATAATTAATTAGTTAGATGATTGACTATGATTTCAGTTTCGATTAATGTATGTCAATGCATAATCGTGCAAATCTGTTAGAAATTCCCGTCTACCTGGTTTGTTTATCATCCTGTAAACCGTAACCGGTTAGATGTGGACTTAGCTGGATTCTCAACGTGATTTTCGTGCTACGAGTTATATTGAAGATATACGATTGACTTCCTGTATTTGCTTTTATCAGCTATTAGACGAATGATTGATAATTGACCGTGATATCACACGAAAATTATAGCGAGATATTTAAAGAAACGAGATTGTAATTTTCAATTATAAAATGATATTAATAACCTCTCCAAGGAATTAGAGAAAAAGGGAGAAAAGGAAGATAAATAAAAATCGAATAAAAAGAAAAAATTATCTAACACACACAAATCTAAAAATACTAAAGCAATGTTTAAACATTTTTTTTGTTTTATATTTTCTATATTTACAACTATGCTTTTGAATATAATTCAAGGCTTTATATATATTAGAATATAGTATATAGGACGTATCCATATACCATATCCTGACCATATCCTGCTCTTTTTGTTTTGTGCTCTTTTTTTTGCTTCGTGTTCTTTTTATCTTTTTGTGTCTTTCGTATTATTTTCGTCATGCAAAATAAATCACATAGGATGGAATTTTTTATAGAATCAGATATTCATCACACAAATCTATATAATTTAAGGCTATATTTTTTGACAAGAATCCGCTATTTGACAGTATGTAATCACGCTTATGTAATTTGAGGAATGAGTTTAAATATATTTTTTCATTTCGTTTATATTATAAACGAATAATATATTATAAAAATTTCGAACAAGATACTGTAGAATATGATAGTGTTTATGTAATACTGTTTTTTATTATTGATGCAATTTAATAATTAATTAATTTTAACATTTCTTCTATTTCTATGTTGTACACATCTATATGCGAATAATAAATAACATCTTTTCTTTCTTATAGAATGAATGCAATATAATGCAAAATTATTAAGTTTTATCAAAAGTTTTATTACTTTATATTTAATCTCATTCTATTATTTCATCAAAGTTAATTTTTAACTATGTTATATTTTTAAATCATGCATAATCAATTGCATAATAATAAACAAATATAACTAAAGGGAAGCATAGAAAATACGCGATTTACGAATTTGATTGAAGGAATGATAAGGTTACAAACATTCAAAATTTCAAAATCGCATATGAGTGAAGGCAACGTATAAGGTCAATTACGCAATCGATGAGATTTGAATGGCGAATGATTGTTATGATTTTGGTGTGTTTTACATTGAAACCGGTTGCGTAGTAGTAGGGGGATGATGGCTCGTATAAAGGCACACACGTGACAATTAAAACGATCAGTCTCGAGATACCGTTCTCCGTTTAATCCGTCGATTTTTGCTGCGTGAAAACCAACTAAGAGGGCACTAAAGTGGAAGTTGAAAGTTCAAAGCGCGCGAAAATTCTGCCATTCTAAATAAAAAACTGAAAAACTTTCAAAAACATCTTTGAAAAAACAAGGGACGAACGGACTCTTGCGAAAGAGCGAGTTTTCGATCAAAGCGAGCTTTTTAGCCGATCATATATGCGTTACATTAGGAAAACGAGCAAAATCATTCAACTACAATTTCGCACGTTTCTATCGGCTGGCACTCGAGATTAAGGCGTGATTAGTCATTAGAATCTTTTGTATATACATCTTTTCAAAAATTGGTGATCCGTTCCACATCTTGAAAGAAGTTATTAAGAGAGGTAAGATTTTTAAAAAATCCCATCTAATATTCTCTAAAAATAAATTAAAGAAAAGTTTCCGCTTACAAACTACAAATATATGTAAATTTTCAAATTGCCAATCGCTTACTTCTTCACTTAATTATTGTTGATTTATTCTGCATGATGAGGAAAGTATAATTTTATTTAAATTTCATTTAATTTCTGCATGATATTGAGATTTTCGCATTTATAGAACTTCACGATAATAAACAACTCTAAATTTTTTATTTATTTTTTATTTAATTGTTATATGTCCTATTTTTAAATTAATTTACATATTTCGATATTATTAATTTCTAGATAAGTATAACAGATGTAATTTTTTTATGAATATAATACATTTACTGTTTTATATTTTAAATATGAATATGCAATAATAAATACGTTAGTGAAAAATATGATAACACACCGCTTATTATTAGTTGAGAATTTTGATTATAGGGGACATAAGAAATATTTCGAGTAATCAAATTTTTTATTATCTATTACAATAACTTAGCAAACAATTAGATACTAATGATTAGTTATCGTTTTATTAAGATTTTATAATTAGAATTTAAAAAATTAATATGTATCAAATAAAAGTTGATTCTATTTTTACATGATTAGTTAATATCAAATATAGAGTACTCTTAAATCTGAAATCATTTTATCTAAAATCCTTCTAATATTAAATTCAATTATTTTTCAATTATCCTTAACACTTTAATTATTTTAATTTCGATTTTTTTATTAAAATTTTGTTTATTGTTTTCTTGACATGCATTAAATCGTAGTCACATTATGTCACATGCATTAAATCACTATGCTAACTAGTTCTAGCTAGCTAATTAAAAGTCTAACCGATTTAAACATTATTTTAATAATGATTGAAAAATAGAAGAATACATGGTAATGATGCTATCGATAGTTATGTCGTCAGTTATTGTCCACACGATAACGCGCAGATTGTTAAATAATAGAAATTGGATGCAAAAGGTCGATTAATATGTTCCATTTTATTGCTGACTTGTTTATGCAACGATTAATAATCATTGGGCAATCGATGGATGTTCTTTGACAGAAATTCATTCTATATCAATCAATTTTCTCGCAGCCTTCCTTGTTAATTTATATAATAGTGCAATTTTATGTTCGTCTTTATAGGAATTTATGATCATTAATTTTATTTATATAATATTTAAAAAATTGTAGAGTCATGAAAGTAAAAAAATTTTCATGACTGGAACTTTGAAGATGAAAATTAATAGCAAAATATTATTCGTCAATTAATTTAGATCTTACATTAATAAAATTTTAATTTGCTACTTTTTGTTAAGATATCGCGCGTGTAAACTCAAAACTTGAAAAGTTACGAACAAATAATTATTTATTTTGAAATTTCAGTAAAGAATTTTTATTCTAAATTTTATAAAACATTTCCTCCTTCATCAACTATAAATCATCTTATGATATTTTGTCCTTATAATTCGATATTAGTTTTATAATTATAACTTATAAGAATAATGGTATGCTTTTCGATATTTTTTAATACTCTATAAATTTTTCGCACCATTGATTAATATCACTTGATACTTTGAATTAATTGATATTTCGATTAAAATTATACCAATAACGTCAATGCATTGCCACGATATATATCTTCGATAAGATCCATAGAACACAAGGTGACTGATGTCAAGTGAAAGAACCAATTGAGATGGTATCATATATATCAATTTATGTGAACATCGTTAAAGTACCGCAATTATATTGTTGGACAATTTTCCGGAACGTACTATATTGCACTTAATATATTAATAACTCTTACATTACACAAATAATTTTTAGAAGCAAGTCTTCCTTTAACAGTTTAGTTTTAATATATTTAATATATTTAATATACGTTTCAATTGGATATATGTCTTTCATCAATGTAGAATTGAACTTTACGACACAATTTGGTAATATTTTTTAATTTTTTTTAAATTTTTATATTTTTAAATCTCTGCAACATAAGCCTCAAACAAAAGAAATAAAATCCGATTAAAATTATAATAAATCAGAAGAATAACTTTTTATCATGTTAATTCATAAAAACTTTTTGTTCCTATCACTTCCGACAGGAATTATTACATATTTTACCACCATAAAAATTATTTTCAATACTATTAAAGAGCAGAAAGTAAGTTTGTTACTTACTTTTTCCTATGCTGTATATAGTTAACAATATATGAAAAATGATTGGCAGATACTTGCGAAAATGCGACGGCATCTCTTCGTCCTGTTTCTCTTCCTGTCGGCCTCATCCGCGGAGCAGCGGCGCAGTGTTCAAAGCAATGAGGAGAAATGTCGGGAGGATCATCCTATTTTGGTCAATTATTTTTCATGGGCGGATTACACCGTGCTGGCCACGATGTTGTTAGTCTCGTGTCTGATCGGTACTTTCTACGGTTTCTTTGCTAAGAAGCAGGAGACTAGCCAGGACTTCCTTTTAGGAGGCTCCACCATGGGCACGTTCCCCACGGCGATGTCACTGGCCGCTAGCTTCATCACGGCTATCGAGCTTCTGGGAAATCCTGCGGAAATGTACGGACAGGTGCGACGATACGATATATCGTAAGCGGAAACTCGATATTTCTGAAAAGAAAAAAGAGAAATGTGTTAGAAAAATAGAATCTTTCTTGAAAATTATTTTTTAAAAGGCATTTCTATTTGTCTATTTAGGGTACTCAATTTTGGATGACTTGTGTCTCTTTCATACTTGTGGTGCCGATTACCTCTACTTTGTATCTGCCAGTATTCATGAAATTAAGGCTGACTTCGAGCTACGAATACCTGCATCTTCGCTTCAATCAGCATTGCCGATTGCTCGCGAGCGCGCTGTATATGTTGCAAATGGTATTATACACGTCAGTGGCTGTATATGCACCTGCATTGGCATTAAGTCACGGTGAGTGATGACTGAAATTATATTAACAGTTTACAATCGTGTTAGATTCTAAATTACTGCTGCGGCAAAAAATAATACGATGTATCAAACTAATTATAATACAAGCGCAATTTTTTATTTTTATTCTTATTTTTAAAACAACGATTAAACCACTTTTTGTTTTATAAACGTTTGAAGGAACGTTTATAACAGTTATAATATGCACTTCAGTGATAAATAGAAAATAATTGAAATAATTGCGAAAATTATGAAATAACGCGAATATTTTTTGCAAAATAATGCATATTAAAAGTTCCTGATGATTTACTCGAGCACTTAATTCGTTAAAAAGTGGCTGCGGAGCGACTTTTTGCTTAAACATATTTTCTAGTAAACATTATAAATGTTATATAAAAGTAATAAGATAAAATGTTATAAATAACATGCATAAGTATTATTGATAAGTTACTGATTATATAATTTTCCATTCGTAAATGTAACATGTTATATAATATATTTTATATCATTGTTACATTATATTCTATATAGAATTAGTTCATATAAAATATTGGTCATATATGGAGTTGATGAATAAATAAAATAAATTACATTTCTTACTTCGACGTTATATTACTGCAACAAACAATATTTACTGGGTCAAACTCTCGAAACTCTTCTCGTTATTGGCTTCATTATAATATAATTACACTGGAATATACGAGTACATTTTTATTATAGTTTATAAGCAGTTGATTCCTTAATAATCTCACAATCAAAAATGTAATCCTAAAAATTCAATGATACTAAAACGATAAACGATATTCTTTCATTTGCAGTCACGGGCCTAAATACCTACATAGCCGTCACTCTAGTCTACGTAGTTTGCATTTTCTATGCATCACAGGTTCGTAATTATTATAATTAAATAATATTTATTATTACATAGATTTAATAATATAACAATTATAAAAGTGCGATAATTATTATATACATTGAAAAGTAATATATAATTTTTTATTATATATATAATATAAATTAAAATTATAAAATTTCTATTATATATTTTTTTCTATTATATATATAATAGAAAATTTACATAATATTTTTTATCTATATTTTATTTTGTGAACTTAATAGAAAATTATATTTTCTACAATATATATATATATATATATATATATATATATATATATATATATATATATTGTTTGTTTTACGTAATAATTATATATATTAATAATAATTAAGTAATAATTATAATATTAAAATAACATTCATTTGTTATTACAATAGGGTGGTATGAAAGCTGTAATAATGACTGATACTTTCCAAGCCGCCGTTCTTATGGGCTCATTGTTCCTTATCTTGGGTTATGGATTGTCGAGGGCTGGTGGAATTGCGTTCGTTTGGCAGGAGAATATGGAATCTGGCAGGATAGAATTCTTCAACATGGATCCCAGACCCACAGTGCGACACAGCTTCTGGAGCGTTGTCATTGGAGGTACTTTTTATTGGACCACCATGTTCTGCAGCAACCAAGCGTCTGTGCAAAAGTATCTCAGCGTCGAGAACATCTCGCAAGTAAGGATGTAAGTGTTTGTCCGAAAGACAATAACATCTCGCAATAATGCAGGAACTTTGGCTAAAAACCTGTTTGATTTATTACATCAAATGTCAATCTTATTTATTATTGTTTCATCATTTATGTAAGTATATATGATGTAATTACCGCATTACAGAGCGCTGTGGGTATCTTCGTTTGGCATGATCCTAATTTATAGCATCAATTTTCTGACTGGAATGGTGCTGTACAGCACTTACAAAGACTGTGATCCTTTAACCGCCAAATATATAAGCGATCAGGATCAGATATTACCACTGTATGTAATGAATATTTTGGGAAGCCTTCGCGGAATGTCCGGATTCTTCGTCGCCGGTATCTTCGCCGCGTCTCTTGGGTACGTAAGCAATGGCTGAGAGATGATCGAAAATTTCTCCAACGAGAGAGATGTATGCTTGTAAATTTATTCATCTCGATATAATTTTCTAAATTCATTAAATTGGACTTGCAAATAATTTCTGGAATTATTTCAGAACTGTCGCGAGCGCTCTGAATTCTTTAGCGGCGATTACCTGCGAGGATATCTTTCGTGGACTCTTTCAGATAGATTTGCCGGCAAGTAAAGGCGCGATTTACGCCAGATGGATCAGCATATTTTTCGGAGCTCTTAGCTTTGCGTTGGTCTTCGTCGTGGAACAATTAGGTGGCGTTCTACAGGTAGATTATATATAGATTTTACTGTATTGTTTGCAGATTTTAATTAATAACAATAATTATAATATTAACAAATTAATTAAAAATTAAATATTAATAAATAATATTAATAATAATATTAATAATAATAATAATAGTAGTAGTAGTAATTAATCATAATTTGCATAAATATAATTTTTAAAGAATACAACACAAATCTTATAAGCATGCTTGTAATTTTTTTATTATTCTATGATTCAATACTATACGATTTAATATCTTTCATTTTTACATGCTATTTTATGTGTTTTTTCTTATCTTATCGTATATCGCTTCGTAACTTGTATGTTATTCACCGAAAACAGATCATTCATTTTTAGGTTGCATTGTCTTTCAATGGTATGGTAGGCGGTGTGACTTTGGGATTATTCTCCTTGGGCATGTTTGTGCCGTGGGCTAATGCTAAAGGAGCAATAATAGGTGCCATCACGAGTCTAATAGTAGTGCTGTGGATAGGATTAGGCGCTCAAGTTGCGGCTGTAAGTCAACATATCCATTTAGATAGTAAAAACATCTCAATCGCAGGCTGCCCTTGCATAAATGAGACCATCTCTAATCAATCCGAATACAAGGATGAAGTTTCGTCTATATATAAGGTGAGATTTACCCGAAAATATAATTTTTTTAGTGTGGCTCTCATATTAAAAAAATTAATTAATTAAAATACAAACAATATTAACTACTTCAAAATTAATTGCTTAAAAACTTAATATTACATTAAATTAAATTATTAATTTAAATTAAGTTTGATAGAAAAATGTCTTCTGTGTGAATTTTAATTATAATTAAATGAATTAATGAATTAATAATTATTAATTCATTTCCAATTGAAATGTTATTTAATTAAAAATTAATGCTTTTAAAATATCATTTTACACGTACATTTTTTCTCTACTTTTTTATTTTTGCAATTTTTTTTCATTCATATATGTATCAATTATGTCTATCATATTTTTTTCTATAGTTTAACTTTTATCTCGTATAATTCATTATTGGATTATTTTATATTTGTATTACTTTATGCGAGAGAAATTTATATTCGAGATCACAGCATAAATAGCAAACATGCTGATAAGCATAACAACATTATGATATGGCTTACAGATTAGTTACCTATGGTATAGCACAATCGGCTGTATGTTGACTATAATAGTGGGTCTGGCGGCGAGTTTTGCAACGGGTGCACAGAATCCCACCGATGTGGATCAGGATTACCTGAGTCCGCCGATCGCAGCCATGTTCCGCATGCAGACGAAGCCTCAAGTTAACGGAAATGTCCAGGGTATCACCAACTTTGGTCTCGAGCTGGCGGATGAGTCGCAACGACGTCCGCCAACGTCCGATGTGAAATCCTGAAGAACCTGAAACGGCAATGAAATCATGTAATCGGGTGAAATAGATATCGATAATACAATAATCGAAGTCTAATTTAGCAAGCATTAAAATTGAGTTGGATAGTGAAACATTTATTCCCAAAGGTTTAGCGAACATTCAAATAGCTTTTAATCTTTTTTTTCAGAATTTCATTTTGAAATGGCACAAAAGTTTGATAAGTATTGTAAAAACGTTTGAAAAAGAGAGAAAGAAAGGAAAAGAAAGAAAAAGAAAGAGAGAGAAAAGTACAAATTGTCTTTCAGATTTATGAATTTGAATGAAAAAACTGCTCTCTATAATTTTATAATTTACCACAATTCAAGGGAAAAAATAAAATTTCCCGTAATTATTATATAAAAAAAATACTCAACATTTTTAAACGTAATATTATTGGGATTATAATTTCAGATTTCTGCACTCTATGAATAATTAATTGAATTAATTCTTTATAACAAAATTTCAAAAGTTTCATTTTTTATTCTATCTTCTTTCTTTTTTTATGTTATGTTACTATCACTTAATTTATTTTCACAAAATAAATTAAATAAATGACTAATAATATAATTGATATTACAATATTACTCTTCCGAATTTATTCTATAATTGCATCGTAACATATAAAACAAACGAGATGATAAAAAACCTATCATCTATCTATTGGATCAAATTTTTCACTATTAAATTTGCAACAAATTGAAAAAACTTTACATCTATATTATTTTAGTGTAAATTAAAATAATATCGCATTTTATTTAAATATCTGATTTAGAGAATTTGATTTTTCATCTAAAAGTAATAGTAATAGTACAAAATCCTCTGTGATTCTTCTATGATATTTATCTTTTCTACATTTTTCTTCTTACAATGTGCAATAATAATTATTTGAAAAGAAATGAATCATTTTTATTAAGTATATATTGAAATAAAATCAAAGTCATTTATTTAATGAAATAATAGAAACTAAAAATATGGATCAACAAATATAGAAAAATAACAAATTAAGAAGAGATTTTTTAAGAAGAGATTTTGAGGATAACTTGAAATTAATATAAAATTAATATAATTAATATAAAAATGCAATGAAAAAATGCGATCAAGACGCATGATTTTTTTAGCATATTATATTATTTGGATTTAATATTTCTTGAAATACTAATTATAATTCCAACAATTTTTTTAAATTTTAAGATTACTAATTCACCCAGAGATTATCTGCTTTTAGCAGAGCAATTATTATGTAATTTTATATTTTAAGAAAAAGAGAGAGAATAATTTATGGCTAAATAATAGGAAATCACGCAGGTCGTTTTATTAACTTTTTATTAATTGTTGTAATAAACTCGGTTACAATAATTTTTTGAGCGTTCTGTGTTGTGGATAAAATGGTTGTGCTAATGTACGTTTCGAAGCTAAAGAACTTTTGCTAATTGCATATGTCGTTTACGTTGAAGATGGCGTAAAAAATGGCAGTTCGAAGTTTTATTAAAATCAATAAATCGTTAAACATTATAAATATTTTAGTCAAGGAAAGATTGCTTGAGTTTAATTTTTTTTTTGTTTGAAACGGCCGAAACTTTTTTTAGAATTATATTTAATCGTTCTGTACCTTATGCACAGTGCTTTGCCTTATGAATTATTTTTATATTTTATAGAGATAAGAATTTTCCTTAGCGCACATTATAGACATTTGATTATCCTAGAATACTTTTATTTCTTTTTTTTGCATATAATTTATTAAAGAGACAACGCAAATTTTGCGGATATTCTATAATGCGGATATACATATATAGATATTAAAATATTGTTATTTGTAAATATATATATGAAACAATAAATGAAAGTAAACACAGCGTGTGAATGTGATTTTGTAATATGTAATAAATTTCTTTTCAAAACTAAAAGTTCGAATAATATACTGGATTTTGAATGTGATGAAACTTTTCCAGCATAGCGTAACTATGGCATGTTAAAGTGCGTTAAAATGGTCCCTTTCAAAACTTTAACCTCAGGTTTCTCAAATAGTCACTTTTTTAAGTTTAAAATAAAACTTTTCTTTATTGAATAATCCATTTAGCAATAAATACTATATTGAATAAATATTTTCTTAATATTTAATTAAGAATTTTAATTTTCATCCGGGATTGTTTTAAAAGAATAAAAATAATTATGATTTAATTAAAATTTAGAATTATGGCCTACGTAGATTAAATTCTTGCCATAATTAGAACAGTAAAATAAAAACCGATATATCTATCGTAAAGTATCGACGCTTATACTTGATACCGACTCAGTCAAAGTATCACCCCGTTAAAATACCTAAGTACGAGGTGAGTGTACGTTAACACCGTTTGTTATTGTCGGAAGGAAGAGAGAGGGAGAACGGGACAGTGAAAGTGGATCAATACGTAGTGAGCGTGCGGGCCTGTCTGGCAACGTGCGGCTGTCTCTCCTAGTCCAAATCGCCTATCTGCGTTCGAATGAAGAGCGTGTAAATAGCACATGATTCGTTGACAGTTTAACTGTCACACGTTGACAGGTGCAATTGTCAATTTTTCCCAAATTCACGCAACGATTGATTCGGCCGTGCCTCATCGAGTTGGTGCAAATTGACGCGTGGAGCAGTCTCGTATCGTGAGCTCTGGACGACTAAAAAATTAATAGTTTAAAATATTAGTCTAAAATATTTATATTCTTCAATTGTGCGAGTGCATCAATTCTCTGTTTTGCAAAAATGCAGATTTTATATTACCTGTCGAGAAGTGAATCGTCTGCTTGTCATCGATGTTAGAAGAATGTTATATGTTGGATTATGTAGATATATAATTGTGACAAACGGACAATAAATCGATTCTGTTGCATGGAGTCGGGAAGATTGGAAATTTTGCTTATTGGAGATTGATGAGAGAAGGAAGCGGGAATTAGAAAGTTCGAGTCATCATATATATGTTATGCGGTCGCGATGTACCTGTCACATCTTGTAAGTAAGAGTAAAATCGAAGAAATTTTACCGGAAATGCGTTTTATTCGGCATTAAGAAATGCTTCTTGTTGTTCTGTTAATTTGTCTCTTAATTCATTCGCAAATTATACGCTGACATTTTTTATTCTGTTTATTTTACATGACATATTTTATTTTCAGTCGCATTATATATACATATAGTTGCTCTGCATCTATAAAGTTTGTAAAGTTTTAACTTAGCACATCTCGTTTTAAGGAACAAAAGAATGTAATCTGAAAATAGTTCACGTTATTATAAACAGAAAAATATAAGAGACACATAGACATATTAATATAGATTGCTTATAAAGTAGTGGGAAATGTCCTTCTGAGAGAAAAGGATAGCATGAATAATATTAATAGTATGAATAATATTAATAACATTAATATTAATAATATTAATATTAATAATATTAATATTAATAATATTAATATTAATAATATTAATATTGATAATGAGTAATATTAATAATATTAATATAATATTAATCTATAATATGTCTATAAAGAGAGATTAGATAGTAAATATATATTAGTTTTTATTATATTGTTAATACATGTATATATAGTAAAACCTGTTATTTTATAATTTAATAGAAAAGTGAAATATATCTGTAAATTTTATAATTTGAGAGTAAAACAAATAATTTGTAAATGCTGACACATTGATTGCATTACATTTATTTTTAACTTAAATATTTATTTATGTTTTCAAAATCAAAATTGCATTTTACTTGAACATCTTTGTCAGGATATTTCATTGATCGATATTTTTATTTGTAGTTTATGTTAATATGTATTTTATATTTATATTTTATGTTGATATATTTTCTCCATTCCTAATTTATTAATTATTTCTTATTTAAAAAATATTGTTCTACATTTTCTTTATTTAAATAATTTACTTTTGATTATATATAAACTTACTATTGTAAATATTACTATTTAAATTATGAAGATTACTTCGTAAAGAGAATGTAATTTCTCACAAAAGGTACGAAGGATGACCTGCAGGCAAGAATTGACTTGCTTGCGATTCCTACGTTGGACTGTCTTGGTGCCGCTCGTAATCTATATCTCACTCCTATTTGTCAAGTACAATAAAAGCGTGCCTCTGAAAAGTCTATCGACCTCAAGCGACAAGGACAGAGAGGGTTCCATGATGGACAGCTTGTTCCTCGAATTGCAGACCGTGACGGTTGACAAAAAGAACTTGGCGGAATACAAGGATACGAAAATTGATCGCGGGGATGAAGGAGGTATACGAGAAGTCATGGAGGCGGAAAATCGCGAGAATCCGAGAAATCTCCTAGAAGACATCTTCCGTAGAGCCGATACTGACGAGAACCAATTGCTGGATATACAGGAATTGGCGAAGTGGATTCACGCCAAGATCACCGAACACATCACGCGCGCTATGCGAGAGAACGTTGGGTTGTTCACTGCTATTGACACGAATCTTAGAGATGGTATTATTTGGATATTTATTTTAATTAATATCATTTTCTAGTTTATAAAAATAATAAAAATTTAATAAAGTAATTAATAAAAATAATTAAATATGTAAATAATTAATAAATAAATCAATTTATACACATAATTATATATATAATTTGTATACATAAATTTTAAAAATATAGCTTTTAAAATATTTTAAAGAAAATTCTATTATAATGCAAAGAAATCGAAAACTACTAGAACAAGATAAAGCTGCTTAGCATAATCATTATTATTTACCTCAAGAAGAAAAGACTCAAGAAGAAAAAAATTACTGAAATAAAATTTGATAATATCTGAATTATCATTGTTAGCTGTCCTTTTCAATTCCTTACAGGCGAAGTCTCATGGGAGGAATATCACGCTTATTTTCTGAGAACTCATGGCTTCTCTGAGACCTATATAAATTCCCATGATAAAAAGCACAGCGAGTTATCGCGAACACTAAAGGAGAGCATAATGAGGGATAGAGCACGATGGGCTGAGGCTGCTAGAAACGATCCCGACAGATTGGGTCTGGATGAATTTCTTGCTTTCACGCATCCCGAGAGTAGTCACAGAGCTCTTCTCCAAATGGTGGAGGACCTCTTTGAAAAATTCGGTAAATTTTGCCTCGGTTTGTAATAAACTCCCCATTACTGCTCCTTATTATTATAACTATTTTTATGCAGAAATATAATTTGTACATTAATATAATTTATATATCAAAAATTGTAGTCCTCATCTGAAAACAAGAAAGTTAAAAACGTAAAATAAAATATTATTTATTTATACGTTTAGATCGAGACGGTGATGAACAGTTAACAGAGGACGAGTTCTCGGATTTGCCATCGGAAGGAGTCGGCCTAGATTTACACGAAGATCGACAACAATCGATAGGAGGCAGCGAAGACAGGCGTAAGGAGTTTCGACATTTGATTGACAAGAATAAAAATGGGAAAGCCGATCGAACCGAGCTCTTGGTGAGTGTAGTAGAAAATATAAATAAATAAAGGACAGATTCGCCACTTCTGTAATAAAATAGGATTAAACAAAATATTACATTATTTTAAAGAAAAAAACGTTCAAAATAAAGTAAATTATAGAGCATCATTTTTGTAAAATGTTAATTTCAATGTTGAACATATTATAATTATACATCACGATTAAAAGTATTTGACAAATAACAATGATATCATGTCTATTTCAACAAATCACTATAAATGTTTTTATTATATGAGTGAAATATATAAATATATGAAAAAGATAAATAAGAAATATTTTAATTTTGTCCTTAAAATAAATTGAACATTTGTTTTCATAGATGTACATTGATCCACGAAACCCCAGACATGCCATACAAGAGGCCCAGCATTTGATTACCTTGTCGGATATGAATTTAGACGGAAAGTTAGATCTTCCGGAGATTTTGAGCAAAATGGATTTATTTCTCGACAGTAAAATGGTAGACACGGAGAAAAGTTTCCACGATGAATTTCGACGATAGTTTTCACATAAGAACGAACATAATTATAAAATTGAAGAAGGACATTTGTTACAATCTTTTTATCGAAAGACGATTTCTAGATAAATGGACGAATAATTTTTTATAACACCAGATAGATGCGACTAAAAACTTTGATATAGATATTTTTAAATATCTTAGAAAAGTTTTTCTCTTTGACATTTGCATATTGAACACAGACAATATGATTTTTCGATCCATGATCGACAATGGATTGGACCAATACAATTATCGATTCGTGCAGGGTATTCACTAGCGATTTCTAATAGATTTTTTTTTTAAGGACACTACTTGATTTAGTGCGCAAACGAAAATCATAGGCTTTTAGAACGCATCTGTGATAGTCTTTTGACGTAGAATATTGTTTAAGTAGACGCAATTATTATAGTTATTAATAACTACTATAATAATAGATTTTAATACATTAATTGACTCAATCAGAAATAATAACTCAATTAGATCGTTTACAATTTACAGGGTTAAAATTATATATACATAGATAATTACTTGCCAATTGTAGGATCGGTTGTGAAACGGATGAGAGGTTGCAAATCCGTCCTTTCGTAGATTCTTAGGTTTCTTATATGTAACTTGCTCTTCAATTATTTAAGAGAGTTATTAGAGATTTTGTATTTGCAAAAAAAAATTTTCCCTTTCGAATTATTAATTTAAATAAATCGCACAAAATATTATATTAATATTAATATTATATTAAATATCATATTATATTAATACTATAATAATATATATTATTGTGCAATGTTAATACAATTATATTAGTTAATTTGTGATATTAATTGAGATAATTTAAATATATTAAAAAAATATATATATTATATATTTTATATATACATATTATATATATATATATATATATATATATATATATATATATAAATGTATAAATATATGTCATAACAATAATATAATATTGTAACATTAATATAATATTTTATATATATAATGTTTTTGAAGGCATAAAGCTGCAGTTATTTTACAAGATAAAAAAAGAAAAATTGTTCGGCAGTGTATTAAAAATATTTCAATTTTTAAAATGAAATCAATAACATGCTGTTATTTACAAGTTTTGACAAGTGTTTTTGAAGAATCCAAATGCAATTTCACAATGAAATATATAACGTTTCTGTGGTGAATAATGGCTTAATAGCGTTTTAAAATAAAATTCTATTACATATATTTTAAGAACACAACCATCGACGTTCCTTTATAGAGAATTTTGTATATTAGCGCATTTTTCTATATTGTGATTTAATACAATAAAATCTGTTTGGTGATTAATCGATAATCGTTTTTGCCATCTTTTATTCCCATTTCGATAAGTTAGAATACAATGTATTTTTGTTAATGCATTTCTTAAAAATATTTTCAGTCACACATTCTGATATCGTTTGTAACTTTTATAAAAAATCTGTACAAAATATAAACAATTATAAAACTTATAAGTTATAAAAAAATAATACATAAAATTAATTATGCACATGCATTTTTATATATATCTAGAGATACATCATACAATCTTATATTATAAATTTTAAAAGATATTTATAAACTTCTCTCTTTTACAAGATGATCTCTTTTGTAATAAAAAACTGTTGAAACCGGAATACTCTATAAGTACTCTATGTTGCGACATAAAATTTTTACCACGTTGAAAGTTTCATTACGGTAAGTGTCATTGTAATGAAACTTTTATCAATATTTTATCAAATATTTTATGATATAAATTCATTTAACGTCTATTCATTAAACATATAATTTTTTACGTAATATATATATATATATATATATATAATATTTTTACGTAATATATATATATATATATATATATATATATATACATATACATATACATATATGCTTTAATAATTTCATATAGGAGGAAAAAAGATCATATAGAAAAAGTTTTAAATATCTTATACATAATAATAATAAATTTTTTATATATTATATATTATATATATATATATATATATATATATGTATAATATATAATATAGTATATATAAGTATTTATGTAGGATAAAACAATGTTATATGCTCTGATAGGAAAAATGCTCTACTTATTATTCAGACACAATGAGTTACTAATAAGTATTATTGAAACGGAAATCGATAGTTGGTAATATACAAACAATCGGGAAACTGCACAAAATTGCTCTGTGAGCGCAATTTTAAATAAAAGAAATTATTAAATCAATAATTTTTGAAATAGTTTTTTTAAATAAAATTTATTAGTAAATTTTTTTATATTTTTCATTCCATAAAAGTAATTGTCACTATATTTATACATGTTCTCACTGTATATCTGAAAATATAATCTATAAAATAAACGAGTGATAAATTGTATATAAATATTTTTTTCTGTTTGATACGTATGAAGATATATTTTTCTTTAAAAATGCAAAAATATACTCTATTGATCATAGGAATAATATGTCTCTCTAATATCTATATTTTCATTTCTTTTTGACAAACGATAAGCAAAACATATAAAAGAAGAACAAAAAAAATGGAACGAAAAGACCATTAGTAGAAATAGCAAAATCAAAATACTACAAATGGATATCAATAAAACTAAACGAGATTTACAGTATTTAAAATATTGATACATTTGAAAACAGTGAAAGAGAAATTTTCTCTAGAAAAATTTCAGAATTTGGATTAAACATATACGAAAAAAATTAAAAATTGATGCAATTAATTGTAATACTAGTAAATTTTTATAAATTTTGACTATAATAAAATGTATAAACTATAATATGTATAAACTATAATATGTATAATATGTATAAACTATAATAAAATTTATTATAAGTATACTTTATATCGATTAAAATGTAAATGTGGGACATATTACACATTGTTTTACCCTATATATAATAACACATTTAATAAATTATAAACTGTACAACGGAGAAGATTTAAGACTTTTAGATCACATATTTAATTTTTAATATCAAATGTGAAAATGGAAACAGCTTTTTCCATTTAATCATTTTTGTATTTATTTATCATCAACAATTGATAAAATTGAGATATATAATTAGTTCTATAATATTTTTGTATCATTTTAAACAACTTACAACATATATACGTGATCTTGATTGCAGTTTGTTTATTTATTTGCTAAAAAATTTGTCTACAAAAAAATATAAAATTTTTTCAATAAAAGTAATATTTTTCAACTGTAACTGTAATATTTTTCAACTGTTTACGCTTTCAGCAATGCTACTGGCAAAATTTTATTAAAAGTATAATCTGAACTAATTGATTGTATAAAATATAATTAAGATTATTATAAAGACAGCATTTGCATGTTATACAAAATATATGTAAAATGTATATTCCAAAGTAAATTTTTAAAACAATTTTATACAAGCTTTCTCGATTAATTTTAAATATATAAGCGAGAATTTTTAAAGTTACATTTCATACAACACTTTATGCGGAACTTTTAATTACGACCTTTAAATTTCATCATTCAGTCGTTTACACATATACACATTTAAATATATAATCTACGTGCTAATTACAAATGTTAAAGAGTAAGCTTTCTGCTAGATAATGAATGGGCAATTTTAATCGGATAAAGTTAAGATATGTCAGCACTGAACATAGAGAAAATCTCTCGCTATTAGCGAAATTTCCATGAATTCTATAATCCTTGACAACCAATTTTTCTGTTCAAAAAACGAAAAACGTTCTTTTTCATGATCGAGAAGATATATCTTATATCATTTTTGATCTGAAAATAATTAAATCAAACATTTATATAAAATATGTTTGGTATACAAATTTAAAAAAACTATTGATTTTCTCTCTTTTTGATGATAAATTATATAATTTAATTAAGCTTTCTGCGTTTCTTTATTCTGAAAAATGGGAAATTCCATTATTTGTTAAATAATTTGTTGTCAAGCTTTCTTTCCTATAAATAAATGTTTAAGAAAATAAATCATTGCGATGTGATGCGCATTGATCTGTGTGAAACCCCATTTTCTTCGAACTGGAAATCCGAACATAACATCAGCAGCTCCACAATTCAGGGAATTATTTTATTGCGAGGACGCTTAGGAATTCGCATAATTGCTAGATGATCGTCCTGAAACGTAGCACAACGATTCTATACAGAAATACCCAGATTATCCGACTAGAATAAAATAAATTTGCAACTAGATTTGCGACTAGAATTAAATAAATTTGCAACGTGAATGTGAATAATTTTAATTTTATTTAGTTTTATGTATTACAAATTAAAAAGTTAATAGTTTTGTCGGCTTTTAAAAAAAGTAAAGAATTAATGAATTCTCGAAAATAATTTTTAAAATCAATTAATCAATTAATTAATCAATCACACAAAATAATTTTACTAAAATTAATAATTCATAAATAAATTTCATTATTTCGATCTCGATCAGACGTAAATAATTTTAATAAACTTAGTAACATAAAGTAATTTATTTGTGTAATGCTTCAGATAAATTAGATCTGTTACTTTGTGAAAAAGAATTAAGCGAAGGTAAAACTGAAGATAATCAAAAATGTCAAAAGTTTCTACCGGATGTAATCTCGAAAATTGTAATACATTTTCTCTTATTATTTTCTGCACCGGTGCATTATCGTTTGCGAGATATAATTCGAAAGACAAATTTGTTATACATACGCTTGAATGTCTACTTGTCAATTAGAAATCCTTTCATCTCTCACGCAAATCTAACATGGAATTAAGTAAATAATAATTTTAATGTGCAAATCTTAGCTTTATCATCTTAAATTTCAGTTTTACTAAAAGATACTTATTGTGATTTATCGCGTTTTTTTATAATTAAAAATATTATTTAAATATATAAGCGATGCTTTTATATAAAATACAACTTTTTATGTATTTATTACATGCTTATATCACATATGCCTGCTCATAATACATTATTTTTGTTTTAAATTATATAAATAATGTACAATTTCCAACCAGTCCAATAGAAAAATTATTTGAAAATACAAAAAGGATTTAGATATATTCCAATATGCGCATGCAGCTTGTAATTCTGAAATAATGTTGCAATGTTCTATTATATAAACAAGAAAATATAATGCAAAAAAGACATTAATTTCGATAAAATATAATTTCGATAAATATTCTGTTAATTATTTAAAATAGTGGTAAACATAATTCGACAAAGTTTTTATATAAGCCGTAATTTACTTATCGATAACATTTATTCCGCGATATACATAAAAATCGAAGATATTAATATATAAAAAAATACAAATAAAAAATAACTAAGACATTGCTAGAATTATAAAATATTAGTATTACGTAGATACTGATAAAAATATCACACGAAAAAGATCAGTGAAAAGATACAACGAAGTAGCCAAATGCGACAAGAACTAAATACCTCAAGAAAATGCGCATTCAATCTTCTCTTCTCTTTGTCCTTGTTCTATAACACAATGTAGAACGATGTAAAATTGTCTTTAAGAAATGTGTCAAGAATGCAATTACATGCATGTTTAAAGGCTTAAAAAGCGAAAAATTTAAATGATAGATTGATGACAATAAATAAATTTCTCTTATCATTATTATTACTCACTCGACAGATCGATCCGGTAGGATGTTCTCACCACGACAACACAGGTTTACTAATCCGGTGGACTTCACCTCTTCTTCCTCTATCTCGTTCACTATGGTACATGTATGTTTCACGAATCAATCTTGACTCTTATGTTGTCGTTCGACTGTTCGATTAATGTATACAAATATTCGTAGAAAATACTAATAGAGTTAATCTTTGACAATGAAATTTCTAGACAATAAAATTTATATATCATTTATGCTTTTTGTTTTACACGCGAAGAAGTTTGCAGTAAAAAATTAATCGCCAGTATGTGAATTTTGTACGTATTAATAATAACAAGAAAAGATTTTAATTCATGATGTGACAATATTACACATAACAATATGACATTATATTGGTCGGATATTGATTGATTTTGATATCTAGTCCATCAATTAACCATTAATGTAAGAACGTAATATGGTGTGAGAAGAAGCAATTTTTCAGAAATTAAGCAAAATTAACATAATGTTAACTGATGTTGCTTTGATCGAATTTCACAGAAAAATTAAACGTGTACTAATAACTATTATTTGTAACGTTTTTTAAAAAATTGTTAATTCTCTAAGAAAGACAATAAAAATTCTTTTTCTAATAAAATTTCAAATATCGCTCATTTTTACGATAAGAATCGCAGTAGTGACGTTGCCTTAGACTTGCAACTTAATAATAAATTAATGCCACTGATTGATCAATAATATGCTTAAGAAATTTTTTTCAATAAGTATGTATATCAATTCTTGTACGCGGGTATCGAATTTATAGATTATCAATTTGTAATGCTATTTGCCTATAGAGTGTAGTTACTTCATTAATCATTAATGAGATATATCAAATAACCATACATTTGCAATTGTTATTATGTGTAATCATTACATATGCAATTGCATTACTGCATGATTATTGCACTTTAACGTATGCTGGTTTTCATTGATACAAATGCTGCTCTACTTTACAATTAAAATTAATGAAAATTAATGAAAAGAGCAGGTACACATTATAATATATGTGAATTATAAAGAGCGATTTCTTGTTTTTCAATAATATCTCTTAAAATATTGTTAAGGATTTAAGTAAATCTCTCTCTATCAGAATACATATATAAAATACATATATAAAATTAAATCTTGTAAGAACCATTATAGTAGATGAATAGATAATAAATCTTCAGTTAATCCGGAACGAATCCGTTGTACGTCTTCTCATGCACTATTTTTGTTTATTCTCTATAAACGACATTTTGATAAAAATATTTTTTCGATAGTAAAGTATGTAGTGATATCAACTTTAAAAGAGCTCGACATGATTCTCGTTGAAGAGGAAACCATTTACTATGCAAATTTTTTTTAGATATTATATTGTATATTGTGTGTATATCAAAATATTCGTGCTAAAAATAGTATTATATTAATTTTTTCACACTTACCCATCGAAGTTATTTGAGGCGGCTGACAACTGTTAAAGGGCGACTGTCTTTTATTCTGCATATCACCTCCTCTCGAGGAAAGATAAGCGGCGATAGTTTTATTCAAAACGAGTCTTACCTGTATAAAAAAATATAAATAAAAAATAAATAAATCTTCATGAAATCTAATAAAATAATTTTGAATAATACCTATATACATATATATAATATTTATTATATATATAATTTTTATTGTATATATATATATATATATTCTTTTTTTTAGATTTTTACTATAAAAATTCAGATGTTTTTATAGGATGTCTTAGATTCAATTTTTTTATCAATTTTTCTGCTATTTTTTATTCATGAAAAATATAACTTATAATTATATTTTTAAGCATTTCCGAAAAATGATAGAACTTAAAAAAACTAATGTGATGTTTTCAAATGCCGAATTTTTCGCTCACCTCGCCATTGAGGAAGCAATAAAGGGTTGCAATGAAGAGGCCCTGAAATGATCGCAAAAAATGCGTTGAGTATGACCACACCGCGAATCTGTTTACATTATCCAATGGGGCATCAATTATAAAGAGAATATTAGTGATGCCTAATAATGGTAGAAGTACGACGGCTGCTTTTACGGCTTTCCTGTAAACAATAAAAGAATTTATGGCTTTCAGTATTAATAATGATTGTTTGTTGCATAGTAAAATGCAAACCAATAATAATAAATCACATAAATTTCTTCACGGATAAAGAATGAGCAATACATTGGATACGTTTAATTAAAATTTTTTCAATAGCAAATAACAAACTTCCAACAAGCACTTTACGCGCGCGCGAATATTGAAAAATCAATATTCTGGCAATTTCTTTCACGTTCTTTCTCTTTTAAATTTCATATTTGAATTTCTGTTTGAGAAAACGTGTAATGTGTATTTTCCACACTATAAAAATGCTTTTCCACAATAAAAATGTTTTGAGAGCAAACGATGTCGACAGGTATCGTATTTATGATGTAGAACGAAGATCCTTATGGTTTGAACTGACTTTTCAAATATGTAATATTGAAATATCTTTACTTTAATAGTATATTCAAATACTACAAATATTGAATATTATATTATCCTTTAAATACAAAAATATCTGTTTATTTTAATAATGGAATAATAAAGAACGAGTGGATAATGTGAACAAAGTATTTAGTTTTTCTTAGATATTTATTTAATATTTCGAATAATGCAATAATTAAACTCATATTATTAAGGCAAAATCAATTAATCAAGGACAATAATGCGAAAAATTAAAACTTTCAAGATTAAAAAGACTCTGTAAACTCGTCTTTATGATCCTCCAAAAATATTAAATTTTTACATATTTATTCACTTACAGAACTTGTTCAATTTCGCTTGTGTGACTTTGCCGCAACTTCACTACGAGCACTCTTATGATATTCAGCAAAAACAAGAAATTAAGCTAAAAGAAAACAGAAATAAATACAATATTATTTTAAATATTGCACATATTACAATTTTATTATTTTTCACATTAAGATTAACAAATGTAATTGATGTTGAAATAATTACTTATAAATCTATGTGTTTATATATATATATATATATATATATATATATATATATATATATATATGCACATAGATGTACGTGAATGTGATATAACATCAAGTAAAAATTGTGGATTTTATTTTCCTTTTAAATTATTTTGTTAACATTTCACGTGAAATATTCATGAAAAAATTAAAAATTAATATTTTAAAAGATTAAAAAAAAGTAAAATATTCACCAATATGACCGCAAATCTGGGCCCTTCAAGGATCCAAAAATAAGATGACAAGTTATATCCTGACCAGCACCTGGGAAATCTAATATTTCGATATGTTACATTTTTGCCTACAGAATGTTCCATCACCATTGAATTAATTGTTACAAATATTAATCGTTGTTTTTTTAATTAAAATAGAATATATTTTTTTAGAATTATTTTAAATAAACATCAATAATTTTTAAGTAATCAACGATTAAAAATAAATTATTCGCAAAGTAATTCGGAATGATATATAGATAATAAAATCGTATCCTTTAATTCATTTCTAAAGTTTTATTCAATTTTAATTTTAAGACTGATATTAATTTTAAGACTTGTTATATAAAGGTAAAAAAATTTAGAAAAAAGTTTTAGTACAATTTCTGTTAATATATATTATTCAATGATTAATCATAATTAATTCAATAGTGATGGTACATATTTGACCTTGCGTACTTTTAATAATCAAGTAATCAACACACTTTGATTTTGGATGATAATAAAATGCCATAATGGTAGCCCAAACCAAGGTCATTAACACTGGACATCCCCATCCAATGAAGCGATATATTCGATAATAAGATGCCTCTTGGAAAATCGTCACTAAAATCGTAATGATCGATACACAATAACATAACAATAATCAAATTTAAATTAAGTATAAGATTTTGTAAAAATATATATTATTTAATCAACAATTTTATTTTAATTTTTTTATTATTGTGAATATAAAATTTGTAAAAACCATAATAATTTCAACGTGTGTATTGTAGTTCCAGCAGTCTCATTTAATTTAAGGTTCTTTTTCCAAGCTATTTATATTTTTAAAGAAGCTTTAAAGCACCGTCCATAGAGAAAACGTAAATGCAGCTACTTACCAGTCACTATGTTGTGCAGAAACAGACCCTCTATGAACATCCACATAAACATCGCGGTTTTGACGTATTCCAACAGCACGTAAGTGGCTTCGCATAGTACTGGCTGAGAAAAAAAATAAATAAATCTGCTTTTCACAAGAGAGCGAAGAATAAATCGCGCAATCTGTTCGTTTGTTATGAAAAGAAGCGACATCAAGTACTCGATAGTATGCTTTGATGTGGAACGATTTATCGTTTTGATGAAATTATATCCTCGATTCGCGCTTCGTAAAGAAAATTATTCCGTCGAAGGACATAATTATACGAAAATTGTTCTTCTAATTACTTGTTGTTAGTTTCTAATTATTTGTTGTTATTGGAAAATAGTGGATAGCAAAAAATATATAAAAATATTTCATAATTTCATATCCCTATAAAGAAAATATCGCAAAAATAAATTTCCTTCTTTCCTTTAAGAATTAGTGAAATAATCTCATCTTACGGTATTTCCTATTCCTCGTTGTACGCCATGCGGTTTCCTTCGAAAGATCGCGAGGTCTATGTATAGCATTAACCTGATTAGCACTTGCACAACCATGGCAACAAAGAGATTTTTGTGAATCCTGGTCCTTGTATTGCGTAACGACCTATGAAATGTCATCAACGTAAATAGTTTTGACCTTATTCCTTTAATCGTGTAATTTATGCAAATTAATATTCAGTCTTTGTGTCAAATGCACTTACGTAATTACATTTCATTGAATTAACTCTCCTATGTTATTTTACCATAGCACATATATATATATATATATATATATATATAAATGTATGAATATATATATATATATATATATATATATATATATATAAATATACAATTATACGAGGATCGTTTGATAAGTTTGGTAAAAAATAAAACACGTTATTTTTGAAAAAATTTATGTAATTTCTTAATATAGTCTCCATCGAGGTCTATACACTTAGTCCATCAAATTTCCAATTTTTTAATACCTTCGGAAAAGTAGGCTGATGAGGCGTCACCAAATGGATTGTGACGCAATTTCACGAAAATTTACCAAACTTATCAAACGACCTACGTATATGAGTCTAGATTATTTATTGGAATTAATTAATATGATAAATGATAAATTATAAACATACACACATGCAAATATATATTTTAGTTTGAATAAATTAAAAACCCAATATATTCTTTCAGAAAAATATTTACAATTATATTTTCCATATTTAAGAGGAGAGGATAATTAGATGTATATCAATAATGAGATGTATATTAATAATGAGATGTATATCAATAATGAATGAGATTGGATACATATTTTGTGCAAATTATTACTGCTTTTTCAAAGAAACGATTAAACTTTGTCGTAAGTGAAAATTCGCTGATAAATTTTACTGTGTCAAAAATTAAATTAAGTTAAGTTAAGTTAATGTACTGGTATTTATCTCAGAGAAAGATCGTTAGACAAATGTGCGATAAAACGATTGCAACTTAACTCGAAATCTCATGAGCGAAAAATTGATTTTTTTTTTAAAAACTCACCTAAATCGACAGAAAATCAGTAAGGAAGCAAGCAAAGCCACCAGGGAAATACTAAGGCCAACAAACTCCAGGGTACGAGTCTTCTCGGCTATATCCATTATCATCTGAAAAAAAGTGAAATAAAGTTTATATATGTATTTGTATTTCGATATAAAGAAAAGTTCGTATTTCATCGATATACTGTGAAATTTCTCGCAGGAAATATTCACTGAATTTTTTAATATAACGAGAAATTATCTCAGAGAAAGAAAGAAAGAAAAAGAGAGAGAGAGAGAGAGAGCGCGCAAAAACTAAGTCATCATATCTTTATACTCTAAGTACTTAAAAATGCTTTTTATTTATTTAAGATATTTGTGCTTAATCTATATTTTGCATCTATTTTATAGCGAACATTTTTCTTAACGTTAGATTCTTATATATTGTTCATTGATTGATTACATAATCAATGAATTTATTAATTGTAAGAGTTCTAACTAATTAAATACCAGATATATCTATACGTGCAATATAATTATTTACAATTACATGATATTTAATTAGCTAATATAGATAATTAAATATCATATAACTATTTGTAACTAATCAAATATGAGATATTTATATTTAGAAAGCAATTATTTATAATTACATGATATTTATAATTATCTACATTTATAATGCATAAGTGTCTGTTTGTAAAAAAAATATTTTTGTTGAGAATCTATATCGTGTATGACTATATCCAAGTTTGGCTTAATCACAGAAATTCGTATATTGTCTGTCAGTTACAATACCTGGATGATCCTTACCTCTCCCTCGAGATTATTGTTGAAGACTCTATAGTGAAGCCACAGCATTTCTGGCGTTAAGCAAGTAGTGTAGTTCGCCCAACCAATGAATGAATCCTCGTTTGTACTTGTGCCATTCTGCGACTCCCAACGTCCATTGTAACCGCATTTCTTCTCCACGGATTCTGAAAAGAGACAAAATACATATTGAAGAATCGAGAACTAAATATCGCTTTGTACCTTCGCACTTTTGCTTCATCGACAAAGGAACTTTTTTATTCAATTTTATTATTTCTTTTCTATTATCTTGTTATAATAATATTAAATATATATATATATATATATATATATATATATTTTATATGATAAGAAATGTATATTATATCGTAAATGAGAAATGGTGCATTCAATGAGTATCTCGAGAGATAAAAGAGAGTGAAATCTAGAGGAGAATCTAGCGTAGCATGCTATCGTCTTAAAGATTTCTTTTAAGCTCGGAAAATTGAAGGACGAACTGCAGTCTTTGGTACACCTATACCACCCAACATGTTGCATGTGAAACGACATAATGGAATAGTGTTATATCATACTGCTATAAGAGACAAATCGTCTTTTAAAATTCCCTTCGAGTTGACTATACACGACATTTCACCGAATCGATAATTCGAATTTCATCCCCCGTTACACTCGAGCTTTCCCTTGTGAAATCTAAAGTTTCACCTTGTACCTCTAAAATATCCAGAAGATTGAAATAAATTTCTTTCATCATACGTGATTTACTACAAGAATTTCCTGAAAAAAATCACATTTTAGAACTTTAAAAACATCAAATTATTTATAATTTTCTTTTATCGTTATTACTTATTAAATTCGGTTTTTTATAGACGAAAAAAGCAAAGAATCAGCGAAAGTTACATAGATATGCTTTATTCGCAATAAGAAAAGAAAACGATGCTAATACTGACTGATCTTATGATGCATTTATATATAGTCTACAAAGCACCGCATAATGGCTCGAGGAACACTTGACGAGAAAAATGTTTTACGTATTAAAGTCCCGAGACAAGATTCTCTTTGCAGTTCATTATTTTGCTCGATAGCAATATTTATATATATATATATATATATATATATATATATATATCTTGAATTCAATCACGTACAATATTAAATATTTCGAATTAAAACGCTGTGAAATGTCTTCTTTTCTAACTATCTTTATAAATTTGTTTGCCTTCTCGCTAATAAATTTCAATAATAAATAATAATAATAATATTTCAAATATAATAATATTTATTGAAGTTTACAAGTCGCTGTTTATTCTACATATTTCTACCGAATAAATAAATAAATCGATAGATAAACTTATAAAATAAACGTTGTAGGAAAAAGTATTTCTGTTATAATTTCTTTTAAATATATCTAAATGTATCTATCTTTTTTTAAATATATATATCATATTTTAAAACAATATAAATTCTTAAAAACTCTTGAAAAATTTTCGCACGATAAACGGCTTAACAAGAATATAGATCTGTGACATTTTTGAAATAAAGAGAATTCGTTATTTTTAAAAATTAATTTTACATGTACTAAAATAGATCGCAATTTTTATAATTCCATTTCAAATTAATAATCTTAAATTACAGCGAAATCTTAAACTTCTTACATTTATAATGCCGTATTATGAATAGAGAAACCAGAACCGGCTAGTATAAAATATCGTATTGTTTCTTTCATATATATCTTATTTCCAATAAGCACAACCTGATTACAGTACAATAAAAATTGATTATATAAAGAATACAAATATATAAATATAATATAATATATATATATATATATATATATCTATATGTATATATATATATATATATACATCTTATTTATAATTTTTAATGCAAAATATTGATGTGTTGAGTTTATAATAATTTAAATTTGTTAATAACTATTTCAAGATTATGATTACAATTTATTTTAAGCACGAAAACGATATTATATTTCATATATTGTAATTTCATATTAAAGAGGAAGTATTGTTGAGATTCATCTTGGACTCTCTTACTTTCAAAGTTTTCAAATAATGCGCTTCTATTAAACTTGTAACAAAAGATGTTTGCGAAAAGTAATATAAATATTTAGTCTTTAAAATCTTAATATTGCAGATCTTAAAAAATTAACTAAATTTAGGAATTTCTTTCTAGGAAATTTATCTTTGGAATTTTTCATTTGACTTACCGAATATTTATATATGATATTGGAAACTGATAATATTAAAAACTAATATTAATTCCCGATTAACAAAATATTTGAAAAAACATGTTAATTTTCTCAGAAATATCAATTGAAATTTTATTTTTATCCCGTATTTTAATTATTTAATTTATTGCATGTTCTTAAATAATCGTTTTTAAAGAATGAGTAATTTAAAACAAAATTTCTTTTCAACATTATCAATATTTTTAAAATGTTATAATAATGATTCTATTTTTACATATACAACTTTTCATAAAAATAAAAGAATTAAACATATTAAAATAATACTAAAGCTATTATTGGGAAATAAACGCGTTGTAAATAACTATATATTTTAATAATTTTTAGATAATTTCTAAAAAACAAGATACATGTATAAATAAAATATGTGTAAATAAAAAATTTAGTAATGCTTTTTAATTAATAATTATCAGGTAAATAAACTCTTTTATAATCTTTTAATTACAAGATTGAGAATAAAAGTCGTGGAGGAAATTTTAAGATACGAATAAAAATAATGATATATATATATATATATATATATATATATATATATATATATATATAGAGAGAGAGAGAGAGAGAGAGAGAATTTGTGCTAATTTCTTTTTTCTTCTGCAAATTGTCCTTATAATATTATATATTCAATTTTAAATTTTATATACTAATGTATACATAATTACAACAATTTTTATTCAGTTTCAGAGAAAATCATCTTTAACATAAATACTCTACAAAATACATCTTGAAATTTCCATAAATAAGTGTGAATATTATAATTTATAATTGTTGTAATTGTTGTTGTAATTTTTTTAATAAATTAAGTATATATATAAAATATAGAGAGAAGGAAAGAGGAAGAGAGAGATATCACATAGAAAGAGAGATCTAAGAGCCATTTTAAATGCGTATATACTTACTAATCGTATCGAATCCGTCCACAAAAGGGCATCGTTGTTTCGCTGTGGTAGAAGCTTTTGTTGGCGGCCAACAGAGGTACGAATCCCATACTGGATTGCACCAGAATTCTGTAAAACAGAAAAGGAATAAAGAAATATGTGTGTTATCTCCTTCTTTCCTAACATTAAGATGAATCAATGTTGAAATTCATGTTAAGCTTCTTTTATTTCGGGATATTATTATACGTTCATTATCAGAAAATAAAATAATAATTTTTTCTTTAATATGATTCTTATATTATTTATTTAAATTTTAATTAAATAAAAGTTAATTAATTAAATAAAAGTTAAATTTAATTAAAAATTAATCATTACAGAATGTAAAATTGTGTTTAAAAACTGTGTTTAAAAATTGGTTAAATAAAAATTATTAAAATTATTAAAATTACATTATAATTTTTAAAAATTATTGCTCTGTAGTTGTTGCCAACATTCTGCATAATTTTTCTATTTCTAAAAAAATATACATTTTGTAGGAAATTACTTTTTATTTGTTTATCATTTGAATTTTATTATTACCTTGAATTTTCTATGGAAGAAAATATTTGATATTGTAATTATTGTAATTGATATTGTAATTATTTTAGATCTGATAAAACTAAAATGATGATTTTGTTAGAAATCTTTTTTCGTTTCGTAAGAAAATAGATTTTGTTATAAGTACACAGATATTTTATGAAATTTTACTTTAAAAATAGAAGTATAAAAATTAAAGCAATCAACATTTGTTTTTTGACAAAAGGAAAAGAACAGTGTATAAATGGATTATGTTATTGAGACGAAAAAAATAATGCAATTTCAAGGATCATACCTCCATATGGTGCAACAAAATGTTTGTACTGAATATCACAGAATTCTTGGGTGTTGTTGCCGTGGGCATCCAAATCCATTTTTCTTCTAACAATTCATTTTCGCTCAGTATCTTACTCTTATTCCAGTATTTGCCATGTACTCAACATAAACATGTAGTATTCTGTAAATAAATTCTTCCATCTCCGATTTCGGTTTTTTCGCTTTATTTTTCTTACCGTTTCTTTCTAAATGAAAAAATAGATAAATAAGTTATAAATTATAAATTATGTTTTAATATGACGTTTGATTTTCCCTTTTATTCAATAAAATCTTCTATTCAATTCAATAAAAAAATGTGTTTATTTTTTCTGGATCTATTCATCGTTTCACCTTTTTTCCACGTATTTATATTATCACATTTCTATACGACTATAGTACATTAGTACATACATGTAAAAATTTAGTTACGTATATATTTAACAATTTTTTACAATTTTAAATTCATGTTTCATATTTTATTAATTTATTAAATAACAAAATCCGTTAAAACAACGTCTGTTAAATTAGCAAATAATGTTTTATCCGATCTTAATATATTTAAAATATTTAAGTAAACACTATTCCAAAATATAATTTTTCTTTACAATAATTATTATTTTATAAAAATAATAAAGCTATCAATGTATTATTTTAAGCTAAGTTTAGAAATATATAATAATTTATTCACATATTAAACACGTACGAAAGCTAGTTACTGTCCATGTCAGCATATCAATATGCAATGGTCCTATTGAGCTTTCAAGTGAAAGAGGTCAAGCCGAGAATTAACACTTTCTCCAATAAAGTAGCTTGAAAGATTTGAATGCTGTCCCAAAAATCTGTCATGATCTTATTATTTTGTATGACGTCAGCAATCAAGAGAGTATCAGAAATAATAGCTTACTAATCAGCACATAAAACTATTATATATATTCAAATTAAGTATTTTATTTATTCATTCATATTATATTTTATTTTAATCTTTGCACTATAATTTAATATGTATTTATCTATTTACAAAATTTAATATAATTGCGAATTTAATAAAATTTAGTTAATTGTAAGTCAAGACTTACAACTAATAAACCGCATTAATAAAAATAGTTTTTTATCTTCTTTTATAACAATTTTTAATTTAATGCGCTTAATCTATTGCCACAAAAGCATCAAAGAGAATAAAAGAATAGCTAAAAAAAATGTTTGAATTAAAGATAGATATATATATATATATATATATATATATATATATATATATATATATCTTTAATTCAAATAATTTTATACACACACACGCACAATATACATATACGTATGTCAGGAATTTTTAATTAAATACAATTAATCAGAATTCTAGTTAACAAAGTGGTTTGACTTTAATCACATAAATGTATTGTTTATAATTTTATTATCTCCATTATCTGTACAAAGTTGATAACGACGAAATTTAGTTGCAATTGGCTATGTTTCCCTGTTAGATATTATCCAAATAATGAAATATAGCTTGAATAACAATAAGCGTACTAATTCCGATGTAATGACGAATGATAAATGCAAAAGAATCAAGAATCGGGTGATATTGTTTTCATAAAAGATCTAAAGATAAAAAATATTGATATAATTTATTTATTGATATAATTTATTTATACTTTTATAAAATTTATACTTTTATAAAAAATATTGATATAATTTATTTTACTTATTATTTTATTTATTTTATAATATTATTTACTGATATAATTTATTTATACTTTCTATAAAATAATCATGAATTGTGAATTCAATATTTTTAATATCTTTTTAATTAATTTATCTAAAATTACATATCTATTAAAGAAAAATCTATAATATTTTGGAAATTAAATAAAAAAAATCTTTTATAAAATAAAGAAATTATAAAGAAACATAATATACATAATATAATTTATGAATAAGTAATTTATTTAACACTTTATTTTGATTGTATATGTAACTATTTAGAGAAAAAGTCATAGTTGTTAAATATAATCTATATATTTAATTTAATTTAATTTAATTACATTTATATCATTATCTTATTTATTATTCTTAAAGTCAAACTCTATGTTAGCTAGCAATCATGAAGATTTAAATAATGTATTAACGTGCTGAACAAGTTTAATTTCAAATGTAAAATTATTAGTATTATATATATATATATATATTAGTTTTCGGAACTTTATATTAATGCAATACACAAGAATTGCTCTGGAACCTTAAAGATAAATTATTCTCGAGAGAGATATGCGAGTATCTAGACCATGATGATTAATAAACATGATTTCGAAATTAAACTTAACGATGAAGAATTATGGAGATTAAAATTTCTTCTATAGAAATGGATCCCTAATTTACTTTAGCTCGAATTTATATTCAAGATAAATGATTAAAACATGAGTCATGATCAAGACAATTATTCACATTCACTATTGATATTATTAGGTTAAATTGCATATAAGATTTTTCTGTCAAACGATAAGTTCAAAGACTGTCTATGGACAGTGTTTTATACAGACAGTGTTTTTGGCCACACTTACACATACGTCGTATGTTTTTGTTTTAATTTTGAAATTGTAATTCTACAACAATTTTACTGCTGGTACGTTAAATTGAACTTGTAGTTTAATAAAATAAAAAAATCTTTTTGTGAGAAGAAATTTTGTTTACAAATGTGTGCGGTTTGACTTACAAATTTTTAATATTTTTATTTATGTTTTAGTATTTTTATGTGAAATTTCGTGCGAAAGACAACAGTTGTTGTTTGTGAAAAGATTTTAGTTTGCGTCTTTATGTTTTATATATATATATATATATATATATATATATATATAACAATAAATATTTATTAATATTTTCTGTGTATGTGTTTGTGCACGTGCGCGCGTGTGCAATAAACTTCTTGTAATAATTTAAATTAAATTAATGTTATAAATTTAAACATTAATTATAAAAAATTATTTAGGAAAATAAATAATAAGTGTAAATAAAAAAGTAATAGTTAATAATAATTAATTATAATATTGTTATATCTTTTAACTTTCGAGCTTATTTGAAATAAAAAATTATGATATTTCATTAAAAGACACACATATACGATCGATAATATTAAGATTAATTTGAGATTGATTTTGATTTTTTTAATATATACACATATCACATAAATCACACTTTTAATAAGCAATAAAATTCAATATTATTTTATCATAATAATTTTATAGCAATTTTATGCTGAATGAGATCTTACCAAGCTCTTTGCTCTTTCTTTAGTAGTTTATGTTCGCATTAGTCAGTCCCGATCTAACACAAACTGTTCTTCCTGTCTTCAAAACACTTCGACTGAAAACTATAAATTTCAAAATTTATATTGATATTATAATAAAAACTTTATATAACATATTTAAATCTACAAAAATGATTTTCAATAAAATGATATATTCATTTTATTAATATTCTATATTTTTGTCTAATTTATTACTTTTTATTAATTTATTCTTTGATAAATAACGCGTTAAAAATTATGAAAAACGCGTTAAAAATTATTTAAAATAATAATTAAAATAATATTTTATATAATTATAAAATAACTACTTTATCAAAGATATTTGTATTTTACGAACATACAACAATCTTAAATTTAAATATTATAAATGACATAGAAAAAAAGAGAAACAATCGTATAATTAACGCTGCGTTTTAATTGGAAATAAATAAATTCAAAATATATCAATTTCTATTACTAGATCACATTATTCATGTAGAAAGAAATAAATTAGACTAAAGATTTAAGAAATATTGATTGTAATTTGCAATTAAATTTAAAGTGACAGATATAAATCGCTCAATATAAATTAAGAATACGAGAAGAATCATGTATATATTAATAAGCTCTTTGGAAAAGAATTATTTCATAAACCCTCTCGGAAGACCGAAAGACATACGAACATCTCAGAGGTCACGCGTCGACTGTTTCGCACTTGTGAATTTGTGAGTCGACCGCTCGAACCGCGGCGCAGCTTCCCCCATCATTGGTCCAGGTGTTAGCCAATCGCGTGTTACTATTCTTACCGCTGCTTTTCTTCAAGATTAAAAGTTTTCAATATTGAAAGTCTATACATAGCTTTTTTTATTTCTAAAAACTTGTATCGTATTGTATATCAACAAAACACAAGTATATATTCGACAAGGATATCCTTTGATATCGAATATACATAGTATATGGAAAAATATACTTTATATACCATTTCATGTTATGTTATGAGAAAACATTTCATGTTATGTTATGTGTTATTTCTTATTTCAATTGAGTTGAAAAAAAGAAATTGAAATAAATATGATTAAAAAATTAAAATATAAATTCTCAATTAATTCTTTTTGTTTTCTAGTTTTATAGATAAAAGATAAAGAAGATAAATTGTTCATATTTATTTCTTAAATCATTTATAAAAACATTATGTATCTTGTTTGATATTACTTTCGTTAAACAATCGATATTTTTTTGAAAAGATTATCACTTTTTTCATGCAAGACTGCAACTTTATATCAATAAACGAATCCACGATAAGTTAATAATTATTCGATTGTTCATTGTTCGATGGTACAAAAAAGGGAAATAAAATAATCCAGAATTTAAATATCATTTTCATTATCGGATCCCGGCATTTCTCTTGGCGCTCAAATATTCTCGATTTGTCGACAGAATTGCATGGCACGAGTAAATATCTTGTACAAAAGCAACCTACGCTTAACGGAGATGTATAGCTTCTACTTCTTTCATTATTATATCACATTTACGAAACAAGAAATCCTACAAGACTATAATAGTATTCATAATAATGATTCCATTGTAAGGGCATGTGTGTGCGCGCGTATACCTGTGCTTGTATAACGTGACACGTGTATAATGAAATGTCGCCTTGGGCTAAGTCAGTTATTATATGAGAAAAGGAAGCGGTAAATACCGTATAATATTCCTACAAATGAATATAATTGAATGATAAAGGGATATTATTTTAACGTATAATACATGTACAGTTCACTGGTAATACATATTGCCATATATATTGCCCATATATATTGCCCATATATATTGCCAAAAGAAAAAAGTGCCATAACTGGTAATGGCCCATATATATCCACTATGAATAACTTTGCCAATTTTCAACGGATTTGCATTGAAACTTGATACACCCACATTTTTCGGGTCGCTGATGACAAATTTTTGATCTAAATTTTAAAATTCAAAATGGCGGATTTAATATGATGAATTAATTTTGTTATTCTATTATTATATTTGTTATTCCATTAGAGAAGATTCAAATTCGATATGTTCAAGTTTGAATGTCTTGAATTAATCCGTTATCTGCGACCAAAAAATGTGGTGTGATATATTTCCATAATGGAATATCAAAGTTAATCACTAGAAACCGTCGTATTGAATCTACCAGTTGTGCAAATTTTGCAATTTTGTCTATAGATTCATTATAAGAGACTCGAAAAATGCGAACATATCGAATTTGATCTTCTCCATAATGAAATAAAATTAGTCCGCCACATTAAATTCGCCATTTAAAATTTTGAAATTTTGACCCTTGATTCGTCACCAGCGACGCAAAAAATTCCTTATAGATAAACTTTTACGTAAAATACGAATTTATTTGTTCTCACCAGTTTTGGCACAAAACGTTAATTTCGGATGTACCAGTGAATTGATTAATGTATACGTAAAAACACACAGTAATAAATACATTTGCATATATATTAAAATTTTCTGAATAATGTTATCGTTTATAATTTCAAATATGAGCTATTTTTCACGAAACTACTGACTCATGAATATAAAAAAATTTTCTTTGAACTAAACTTTGATATTTACTTTAAACTAAGCTTTGAGCTAAGCACTTTGTAATAATACACAACAGGAACGAATTAGATTCAGGATATCCGTTAGCTGCACAAAACGGTAAATAGGAAATGTCACTGCCTTCATTTAACGTGCGTTCGTATATGGAAATTGCACATTAGTAATAAACATCTGTAACGCGCAGAAATATACAGAAAAAAATATGTAAAATAAATTCAGAAAAATCTTAAAGAATAATAATTTTCATAGAGCAGAAAGCGCAAATTTGATTTTATTATCTTTTTTTCTTTCATTTTTTACACATTAGGCTGTTATCGAATACTGCCTTTACACCATTTCTATTTTGCCATCATTAAAAATAAGTAATATTTATGGCATTCTTACGTCAGTCGAGAGAAAAATATGAAGCAAAGCTTGGTGTATCTGTTGATATCCCTGTCAACCCCATTAACTTTACGTAACAAAGGACATGTTCAATCCCATATCTGTCGCATTCATTTCTCGGTGTTAATTAAATTCATGTACAGGGAAAGCGACATTGATTACGCAACGATAAATCGTTAATTAATATTACGCAAGACACATTGTCATGTATCAACGATCGCAAATGGGGCGTCATTTACATAACGAGTAACAGGACGAGAACACACGTTACAGCCACGTGATCCCGCGTTACGATTTACACGGGTAAGAATAACTGTTGCTTTCGCGCTCATCGGCCACGTGAACATCTTCTTTCTACGGAAAATGATGTAAATGTGGATTATGTAAATAGAAAAACCCAGCAAACTATTTCTGAATATAGCGCAATATTATAATATTTTATATCATATTTTTATATCATATTTTATGTCGCACATTATTGATAGCTTTAGTATTCATTTTAGCTCTACACATATAATACAATTTAAAAGGATGCAACTATGAGAATAAATTTGATCTTTAAAGAGAAATAAATATGAAAAGAGAGAGAGAAAAGGAGGGTGAGGGAGAAAGAGGGAAGGAGAGGGGAGAGAGGGGGAGGGGGAGAGAGAGAAGAGGAGGAGGAGGAGGAGAGAGAGAGGAATTGGCACATTTTCAAAACCGATGGACGGATGCAAAAGCATGCAAAAAAAAAAGATTTATCGATCGTTCAATCATTGAACTTTTCCAATTTGTAGCGAAGTATCAATGCGTGCTTTTATTTTCGAAGATATTTAAAGATACGACTTACCGCTGTTGAACTGCAAAATCTCTTCGCAAAATATATTCTCCTAATAGTTCAGAAACGAGAATTTTTAAGCATACTAAAGTATATATTATTCACACTGTTATGACAAGTAAATATATAACACCAATATTATACACTTTTTTATAAATACACTTTGATAAATAATGAATTCTCGTATGAATTAACAGCGTATTAATAAGATACATTACTTATCTCTTTGCAAAATGTCTTCCCGCGCGCAATAGTGCTGCCTCTAGGAGAATTATTTGGTATTAAAGATTCTTAGGGCGTATTCACATTTTGGCGGAAAAGCAAAGAGCCAATCAGAACTCGCGAACTTAAGGAAAATTCATATGCTCGATATTTACTATACACATGACATGCAATAGGAAGATTTCTTTTTTTTCAGAGACAAAAGTAACCTCAGAGTCTTTACAAAATATATAATGTAATGTTTAATTAATATAATAAATGTGAGTTATTTTCATAAGGTCATAGGGAAATTTAGCGAAGAATTAGAAAATTGAGAAAAGGGACTTTTAGATTTTCGAAGATGGTAATCCTGCGGGGACATGTGCGGAGTCTGCGTACATCGGAACGTGAAAACAGTACTGGTATTCGCAGCTTCTGTCAAAAACGCGATTGATAGACCACCAGCTGATGCTGCTGACAAAATCGGCCGGTGATATATTCCTCAATAGTTTATAGTTGATTGAGTTCCTTTTCCAATATCTCTTCGAGAAACTGAGGTTCTCGTGGGACATCGACGTCGCGAGACAACCAGTACATCGGATTTTCCTGGCTCTCTGAGTAAGTGGATCCATCATGTCAAGTTATACACCGCATTATTCATCCTAATCATTCCGCATATATGAACGAGAGGCTTCTTTCTCTTTCGTATCCTCTATCGAATAGCTGCCAAAATTCAATTTGCAAACGCACTTCCGTTTTTCATTAACAGAATAATAATAGAGTTGACATAATACTAAGGTTACATATAAATTAGTGTCATATTGCATGACTGAGGCGCGAGTTATTTTCATTTTGCGATGCGCGATTCTACTTGCGATTTTCGGCAGAAATTTCACTGTCTGTTCGTCACAAAAACGGCACGTTAAATCAGCTGTTCGCAGTTAATTCAAAGAACACGGTTTAGTTTCTGTGATAAATAATAATTTATAAGCTGTAAAAATTATTTATTCCAAAAAAATTTCAGAGAAAAAAATCACTTTTATATTTATTATTTAATTTAGTAATTATATTAATCATTTAATTTAGTTACATTATTTACGAAATAAATGAATGGAGATCTAAAATATTTTATACGTATCTTTAATATAAAGAATTTTTTTAGTTAAGCCAAATCAATTTGTTAACATAATTTAATATGGATTTATCTGTAATATATCTACTAAAGTAAAAATTTAAAGAAAATTTCATGAATCATAAGTGGGGATTTGTTGCAAATTAATATATTTATATATTTATTTTTATGATTAATCGTATTTAATAAATAAATAAATATTTATATTAAATCACGTGAAAGCCACAATAATAAAAAAGCATACAGCATGTGTGATATCACATCATTGCAAAGGTCATAGTTGAATGTATACAGTAATTATTTAAATAAATATAATTGCTTTCATAAAGATAATTTCAGCTTATTCTTACATTTTTAATGCCGTTTTTTTAAATTGCGTTAACTTTATCTTTCAAACTATTTTGTGACAATTATTTCATAACATTCCAGTTAATGTGCAATGATTTAAATTAATATATTCAAGAATATTATTCATTTATTTTATATTATACAACAGGCTACTGGGACAGATAAGATAACAATTTGCTTTAATTTTGATAAAATATGAATTGAAATTGAATATAAATCCAATATATATATATATCGACTAGGTATCATCCATATCTGCGGGACGTTATGTAATAGATTGGGAGAAATAGATAGAGCAAAGTCAATTTGCACGATTCAGTCAAGAGATTGGCGATTGATTTGTTCGTTCGTATATGTGTATATGCAAAGATATATTCGAATGTGTCTTCCATAAGACGATAGAATTCTGTTCAACAAACGTTACATTGATTACGCTATTATAGAATGTCAATATTCATTGTAATGTAACAACTGAATCGTCGTTGAACACGCAATGGATCAATTGACATCACAGAAAATTTCCTCTCCTTAAAGAAAATGGTTTCCCAAAATATAAATTTCCTAAAATGATATGAGATAAGATGTAAGATTGAATAAATAGAGTTCTGGAATCACGTGTTAGACGCGTGGCAAAAATTTTGAAAGAGTTTTTCACCTTTCTCTTTACGCAATAAATGATCAGCTTTTATATTATTGCAAAGAACATTATGTTTTTTTCATTCTATCGTTCGATATATCTTTTTATCGATAAATTCTTTGATTAATTTGATGTTTGAAATTTTTCGACCAAAAATATCTGTAAAATTTATCATTTATTATATTAAAATCTTCAGTATCTTGATAGTAAAGAAATAAAAACGCGCGTTAATTTTTATTTATTATTATAAAATAAAACAAAGCAGTTTTATGGATTAGTCAGAAAAATATAGATATAAATAATATATTGATCAAGAACCATATTACTATATGTCGTTCTCATGCCAAGATTACTCCAAAAAATATCTAATTTTTGTTATTGCGAGAAGAGATCTGTAAAAATGATTTCGAGGGAAATTTTACGTATAAAATATTTTTAAATTTTTACTTACATAATGTTAATTGAATTATGTACTTTTCTATCAATAAAAATTGATGATACAATGTATTAAATATGCCACATCAATTTTTTCCGAAAAATACAATTTCATTGACAAAATTGTGCGTCATAAGATAATATTTTATGATATGAAACGACCTTCAAGATTTGGCACAATATTTTGTCTATCGTTTAGCGTGTTCTGGCAATATCACGGTTAACAATTACAATTTAAACAGTACTGTACTAGCCAACCTCGATTAAGACGAACATATCTTTTTGAGAAAACATTTTGAAATATTTTCTACAAATCTATTTTCTATAAAAGAAGTTTTCACGTACATTGATACCTGCAAAATAAAAATTATTCTTTTTATCCCATGAAATGCATATTACAAAATTAGAAACAGAAATGCATATTACTTAAATAATAATTAGATATAAATTAGATATAAATATAAATTAGAAACTTTAATTTTAATGCTTTTTTTCATGAATTTCATATTTTTATTTTTTTCAACAGGTGCGGGAATAATAATGGCACAGAATTCAACAAAATCCGCGGAACAATTCAAGTACGTGTATTCTTATATAAGATTTTCTTTAATCTGTAGAAAATTATCTTATATGTAAAACAATTATATATGAAAAATATAGTTGAATGTGTATCAGAATATGTTAAATTTTAGTGTGTCGTTTTATTTTATCTTTTTAAATTTTTAAAAATAATAAAATTACGGATTCTTGCTCTTCTTTTTTATAAACATAATAATTTAATGTAACAAAATATTCATGTAATAAGAATTTGTTTTTATTTTTTAGACTTATACCAAAAATCATAAATGGTGGAATTGCCGGAATTATTGGAGTTTCTGTAGTGTTTCCGCTTGATTTGGTTAAAACGAGATTACAGAATCAAATCATCGGTCCACATGGCGAACGGATGTATAAATCAATGCAAGTATCTTTAGAAATTATTAGCTACTATATTATATTATGTACATACATTATAAGTAAAAAAACTGTATTAATTAATTATAAGGAAAAAAAGTCGGCAATATTGATTTATATAATCTATGTTATTTACTTTATTGTGTATAATTGAAACTAAAAATATTACCATAACTAAATGTAAATAATTATTTTTTAGGTTTGACTGTTTTAAAAAGACTTATAAAGCAGAGGGCTATTTTGGAATGTATAAAGGATCTGCTGTAAATATATTGTTGATTACACCCGAGAAAGCCATCAAACTTACTGCCAATGATACATTTAGACATTATCTTTCTCCCGGAACGGGGTATGTTGTATAATATTTTTTCAGGATTTTTTTAATGTTATTAGAGAGGTATGAGCTTGCCCCTCTATGTGTGCAACATTAACCAGAATGAAAACTAATTTACAAGAAGCTTGGCATGAGAAAGAACTTTTTGTTCATATTTTAAAATAGTTATAAAGAGAAAGACAGTTTTCTTATTTATATATATTGAAAATATTTTTTTTAATTTGTAATTATTTAATTATAAATTAATATTCGTTAACTACATATTATTTCTCAAATTTTATATATTTTATTTTAGTATTTTTAATACTCTATATTTACTATTAATATCTTTTTATTCTTTAAATGATTTCTCACTTTTCTTGTACGTTGTTTGCCATTCAATTATTACACTTTTATCGTTATTTTGCTAAAACGCCTTAATGTTTTCGCCATTGTCTTTTCCCCTACAATGTATTTAATATTTTCGTGTTTTAAAGGAGGTTATTCAAAGTTTATATGACAAGTAGATCAACAGAAAGAAAAAATTATCATTTAAAAGATATTTTAAATGGTAATTTTCCTCTATTAAGTTCAATAATATCAAATTTATTAAGTGGGTTTTTCAATTATTTATTTGCAAAAATGTATATGATGTCTCTTTCACTTTATGTGATAAATATTTATGAAATCATTATTTGTATTTAATTAATGTAAAGCAAATAAGCTTACATTTTTGCATCGAAACTGTTGTAAACTTCATAATTAACGTCTTTATTTATGTAATTAGATATTCCGAGTGCAACTTCTAACGAATAGCATATATATATACTATGTACGTGAAGCCGTAGCAAATATAAATTACGTCGATAGTAATCGCAGAGTGCAAGAGAAGCCGAAGACTATTAATCAAATCAAATGGTATGCATAAAGTACAAAAGGTAGAAAGTATATATATATGAAAACTATTAAATTAAAAATAAAATGTGAAGCATATCTTATTAATTATTCCTTTATCAAAAAAAGAACAGATGTATATATAATATAATAATGTATGATGATTTTTTTTTACTTCTCAATGTGTTTTAAATTTTATTTCTCAAGAACATTATTGAAAGTATTATATTTCATTTAAATTGTTTAATAATTGTATAAATGCAACAATTTAACCATAGTATTATAAAAAATGTACATATGTAATTGAAAAGCCCCTCAAAATTACTAATATTACTGTATTATAGTTAGATTAGCAGAGCATCATATTTTTTTTTGAACATATTTTTATTATTCGAATAACTATTATTGATTTATTTCGATAACTGCTTATATTTAACATTGTGTTTTTTTTTCAAGTAAATCACATAAAAATATATGCTTATTTAATTTATCAAACAATTATATTAATTAAGAAAGAAGTTTACTAGAGATGTTTACGAGTCCAATGATATTTTACTTTCAAATTAAAACTTATTTGCTCTTCAAGAATATGCAAATAGCTTTCTTTGCAATTTTCCTTTATTTTTGAATTTATAAAAAATACTTTTCACATTTGTAAATTAAATTTTTATGCAAAAATAATTGCATATACTCTGGAATTGATTTATTTCTTAATTTTCAGGAATATATTTATATTAATTATATTTATTATTGTTTCTATTGTTTCCAAGAATATATATTACAATTTTTTAATTTTTAATTTTTAATTTTAAATTAATCAAAGCATGTATCTGGAAAAACTAAAAAAGCAAAGTTTTTGGGCTCTCGCGTTATTATGTCAGAATCTTATACCATCACAAAACATATTGAAATATATCATTCTATACTTCTAGACAACTGATGCTACGAGTTTGAATATAGCTATACCAGTCTGAAATGACCTGGCAAATGATGCGAGCAACCATAATTAGCTAACCAAGTCTCGAATAATCGACGAAAGCAGGGTAATTTTTGCTTTTCCCTTTTCTTTATATAAAACTTTTTAGAGTAATTTAAGAATTGAGGCTATTTTCTTAAATTTTTATAAATTTGATTAGATCTTAAGCTAAATAAAAATTTAACATTGTCAATTTTTTAATTTAGCTTAAAATTTTATAAATTACATTATAATTTATTTAATCATCATTTGTTTTCGATCTCGGTTTAAAAAATGTTTTTTTTTAATATATACTTGTATATATGATAATAATTTAAATTATATGTAATTTGAATCCAAGTAAAATGCAAATTATTAAGTTAACAGTTATCAGTTTATTTCATTTACACTTGCTAATGTGTTTTTGATGCTCTGCAATTCAGATGCTTGAGATGTAATATTGCTTGTCATGTAATCATGCCAATAATGTTGAATAATCTCCTTTATATTAGAAGTGGCATAATTGATAATTATTTCCAAAAATTAAAGATTAATTTTGTACTAATGGAAAAAAATTATAAGGAAATTATATTTGAAAATTTTGAAAAATTTGAGAAATCAAAAATAAAAATGATTGTAACAAGTTGCTTCGTGTGAGAGCACTATTATTTTTTTCTATGTATCATCGCGTGTGTTGTATCATATATAGATTACTATAATTTGCATTCTTGTAATTACTAACTTTGAAACATTTTTTCAAGATAATATTCGCACACAGTAACATTCGAATCATTATCTGAATTAATTATATCTTTTACTGAGGCTTTTATTGAGGCCATCGAAAATCTATTTTTAAATAATTGATTGTGCGAATTATATATTCATTTAATTGCTAATAAAATCGATTTAGTCAAGATAAGAACAATTTTCTAAAAATTTAATAATCTTCCAATAATTTATCTTCCAAAAATTTAATAATCTTCCAATAAATAAACAATTTTCCAAAAATTTAATAATCTTTTCGCGATTTTTCGAAAAATTAATCGGTACATGCCAGTTCTACATGATCTCGTATACTGAGATTTTCCTCAATTCCCAGCACTCTGTTAATCTTTGTTGTCCAGACAAAAATTGCCCATAGAACGTGAAATGCTCGCTGGCGGTTTGGCGGGAGCATGCCAAATAATCGTTACCACCCCGATGGAACTACTCAAAATACAAATGCAAGACGCTGGCAGAGTCGCCATGGCAGCTAAAGAAGGTGATACATTTTAGAGGGTTTTGTTTCTCGCGAATACACGGTTTGTCGAATACAGCAAGAGATTATACATCTAAAAATTCTTCCATTGCAATTATTTCATTATTATCTCTCTTGTTTTCTTGCTTTATATAAATCGAACAACAAGAATCATTTCTTAATACGTTTCTTAATCTCTTTCAAAATACCGATAAATATTGCCATGCCGACTGTACACTTTAGGATTGAAAATGGTTGAATGTGATATCTCAGCATAGATGCAACGCATGTTGTAAGACAGCTAGAAAATCAAATTAGAGATATAACTAATTTGATTTTCCGCAATTCATGTAAAAAGAAAATAATGGTAATAATAAATATAGAAAATAAAAAGATCTCACCGCCAAATTTCCTGGACATATGCGAGGTCTTTAAAAATGTGCAAAATTGTATTCCCATTTCGAGATTATTATACTCTTATAGTGGAAATTGTATCGTCCTTTATTGTTGCAGCGGGTAAAGCAGTGCCAAAGGTATCTGCTTGGTCATTAACGGTAGACCTACTTAGGAAACGAGGTATACTTGGATTGTATCAGGGAACCGGGGCCACGGCACTCAGGGACGTTACGTTTTCCGTTATTTATTTCCCTTTATTTGCCAGGTTGAACGATCTCGGTCCGAAGCGAGAAGATGGTTCATGTAAGCGTGTTATCTTGTTAGATACACGGTGGGCTCTAAATGAAAGTGAATTAATTGTAAGTGTAATTCTTCTTCTTAGCTGTATTCTGGTGTTCATTCCTTGCCGGATGTGCAGCCGGTTCAACAGCAGCATTAATGGTCAATCCATTTGACGTAATCAAAACTAGATTGCAAGTTATTAAAAAAGCACCTGGTGATCCAACGTACAATGGAGTATTAGACTGTATAATGTGAGTATAACCGGAGTCATATATATCTTCAAGATTATGTTACAGATCGATTCTATAAATTTCCACACGTTTAAATCTCGAATTATAACAAAGATAAAATATTTTGCAATAATTACGACTTTTGATTTGTAGCAAAACATTTACAAACGAGGGACCGACGGCGTTCTTCAAAGGTGGTGCTTGCCGAATGATCGTCATAGCACCGTTGTTTGGAATTGCGCAAACCGTTTATTATCTTGGCGTAGCCGAATGGCTACTGGGATTGAAATGAAATCGCCATATCTCGCCGACTCGTGCCGTTCAAATGTTCTGGAAAACTGACAATAATTGCTGTAGATGTAGTTGTATTTTGGCTTGAAGATATCCGTTCCGCTGCAAAAAGATATCATTGTTAAATGAAATCTCGCTTATATGTAAAAGAAAGTAAGAGTGTGTATTAATTGACATAATTCTCGCAGGTCGCGAATTATAATGGATTCACAGTTGAGATATATAATCCAATGTTTCATGTCCCATAAAGTGCATTAAAATTATTAATCAGTTACAATGAAGTCGTGTGAAGAGTTGTGTATGTATGTTCATACATTTCACATTGTGTTCTTACAATATAAAAATAATTGGAATTATAAGTTTCAATCATAGTACATGATATTCAATACTTGAGTCATTGCATTTTTCAATGTAATAATGACTTCTCATCTTCCTCGTGTTTTATAGAGCATATTACAAAATCCTATATATAATTCAACAGGTGATATACGTATATAATATACGTACACTGGAATCTTCGTTGTCATATCCACGAGACTAGCCAATTATATAGTCAATTATATATGTACATTAAAGACTTTAAGCAGATTTATCGTGATATTTTTTTAAACAGTTTAATTTAGAATGAAATAATAGAATATTTTGTTGAAGCTCATATTCTTGTTACCTAATTTTCTTAATTTCTATCTTATTGTGTCTAAAGAGAAAGAATGTAATCTGTATGGTTATGTATAATATAACAAAAATATTACAGAATGTTTAAAGCAAAAATGTAATTGGTCTTTTTGCTTATTTTATTTCTTTTATATTTTTCATCCTTTTATATTTTCTTACCCTTTTGTAGTGTCACTTTACATTTCAATTACAGGCTGCAATCTCTTTTATGCATTCATCTGTGATTTGTGAAAAAACTATTATATAAATGAAGTACAAGATACAAATAAATTAATTAGTATAAACATTAAAGCTTTATTATTTAATGACATAGGAATTAAATTTTTTTTCATAATTATATAGAATTATTTATTCCTGTATAGAAAAATCTTATACCAGGTATTTTTACTCGAGTTTCAGATTTTATTACTTTTTAACTGTCATATGGATATCGCATATATATATGTCTTTGCACAAATGTATAAGAATTTACCTTGCCACAGATGAAATATAAATCGTATCTCAATTACATTTAAATTTAACACATATAGCTGTTAATATAATCCAATTTTATTGCTAATTCTCTTTAATACTTAATTATAACGTATATATACGTAATTTCGTTTACTGGTTGTAACATATACCGTTGTACGTCGTTAACAGTAATATAATCTGTTTACGCATTAACTTGTGATACAAGATTGGTATATAATGGCAGAGACTCTACTTATACATTTAATAATTATAAATCTAATTATTAATAATATAGGCTTTTTATTATAAAAATTCAACTTAATTTTAATGATATCTAAAAAACTAAAAAGGCCATTTGGTTTACTAATAATATAATGACACGCATATGATTTATAATAAATAATTATGAGCATACCTGATTGAAAGAGAAGAATATTTTTTCTAAAAGTTCTCCAAAAGAATAATCATCTTTAAGTTTTCTCAGAGAGGTAATAAAATGTTTTTTTCTATATATTACGTAAAATTTATATAGTAAAACTACTTTTTTACAATTTCTATTTATTTTTAGAGAAATAGTAAAAATTGAATTTGTGCACTTATTTTATTCATATCCCTCTTAAGATGTGTAATTAAAAAAATCCTTCTCTTTCTTTCTTTCTGGTTTTTTAATATGCTGTGTTGTTCATCTAGTTGTATAAATTATCTCTACATTTTTCTTATTTAGTAATAAAAAAGTAATATTCCATCAAAAAATTTGAAGCCGAGTACTTCTTACGTAAATAACAATAAGGAGTGTATCACATATATCAAGAATACATCAATATAAATGCATTGTCATATGACGAATCCAAAACATCTACAACTGAATGCTCAAAAAAATAAACGATAAATATCCTAACTTGTTAAATTATTGCAATGGCATTATGTTAATATTTCACATAATATGAATTTGATAAAATTGTGTAAAAATATTTTCCTGCCAATGTGGTATCATATTTTTAATGTAAAAATGGAAAAATATGTGACTATTGACTGTACAGATTTTATGCATATAAGCAACTGAATATTGTTATATTGTTATATTGTATTGCACTTATAAAAAATATTCGTTAAAAATCTTTTTATATTATTCTTATTTAAAATATATGCGTGATTTATGTTAGAAAGTTATTGAAAAATTTCTTACTACATATCAATAACGATAATCTATATCATTATTTTTGCTCTAATAAAAAATTCTATAAAATCTCATAATACAGCTAAAATTTGTTTTTCGTGTATGTAAAATATGTAAACATTTTGTCATAAAGTTAAGAAATCTGTCGATGCTACTGACATCCTAAGATTCTTCCTAATTTTCCATAAATGGAAAAGTAGGTTTCTGAAAGGCACAATATATTCTTCATAATATCATAATCTTAAATGTAACTTTGTTTTCGTCTATGTCTATGACATTGCACGATTTCTCTGCATTGCAAAAGAAATTTGTTAATTCATCCTAATATAACAAGTCTTGCATTGTGGTACACATTAACTGCAACATACAATAATATTCTTGTAAGCTTATATGTATTTATCAAGGCCGAAAGAAGGATTTTTATGTTTGAAATATCGCACAAATATAAAGTAGAAATTTGTATACACTTTTTTTGATAAACAAGAAAAATTTTGAACAATTTCTTTTATGTTAGAGAAAATTTATTTTATACTTTCAAAAATATTATTAGTGTCCAGATAATAAAATGTGTGTGAATTTAAGAAATAAGATTAATCTTTCTAAATTCTTAAAGCAGCAAGAATGTTAAATTATTGCTACATTTCGAAAAGATTGTCGTTCGAGTTCTTTACTACTTACCTCATATTATAATGATGAACTGGCTTTCGATAAAGCTCGAAAGCGCTTCCTCTCTGTTCTCGACTACCAGCCAGATCTAGACCGCTAGGCTCTCTGTTGTGTCCAGGATTGGCAGACGGATAAACTGAGCCTGCGGGACCGTGAGAATTATTACCATGCATATATCCATTGTGATTTGTGCTGTTCCGATTATGCGTCAGTCCGAGACTGATCTGACCAGCGCTATTGCTGTGAGAATGCGCGGTAGTAACCGGCGGGCTGGAGTGAGAGTGCGCGTGGCTGTGACTGAGACTGTGACTGTGCGTCGGTGTCGCGAGATGATTTAGATTGTGATGCGAATTTACGAGATTACCCTCATTATAACGGCCGGGCGGCGGAATGTTGTAGTAATACTGGCCACTGTTTCGCTGCACGTTACTTTCTACCTGAATAAAGATAAAGATTTGCATAATTAATACATACATATTGGAACGCGTGCGCACTTGGAGAGAAATAATTTTTGTAAAATTATTTATATTTATAAAATAATTACCCCATTATGTACATGCGATGTGGCAATGGAATAACTCTTCGAGTGTTGATAGGAATTATTCCCATCATTCCCATTGTTCTCCGTTTGTCCAAACGATGCTTGAGGTGGTCTGTAATTTTTTGGCTTCGGAGGTGGAATTGGTTTGTAAGTGCCTCCCGGTTTATTTTGCGACATTGGTATCGATTTGTAATCTGTAGATCGGCTATAATACATAAAAATAATAATAATGATAATTTTATGCTACATGTAAATGTTGATGAAAGAAAAATTTGAAAAAGATTGGAATTTTTAAAGTAAATTACACTATTAATTATACATAAAATTTTATAGAAGAAATAATGATTCAAAAAGAAACAAAAAAAAATTTTGTAATATCGATTTATTTAAAAAAGAATGTAAATAATACACAAATATATATATATATATATATATATATATATATATATATATATATATGATTTTCTATTTTAGCTTTGTAATCAACAATCTAAATATCAATATTTTTTCACATATTTTCATGTATTCGTTATTAGTTACATACCTATATTTAGCATAATCGGTTCGCGTTGGAGCGTCATGCGTAGTAACGGGCTGAATCTGAGATCGAGTGAATCTATGCGGCGGATCGTGCGTTCTCACCGACATGTTGCTTTTGAGATCATCGGGTACATTCGGACCTAAACGACCTGTTGATGCGTTCAAATTCACCGCCCCGTAATTCGCATTTCCATTGGTATTGTTGTATGAATCATATGAGGACATGCTGTCGTAACTTCCCTATGTGTGTAAACATAAATGTATTTTACAATTAATTTTAAATAGCTTTGTATCATTTTTAACTACGATATGCATGTCTATATATCTGATTAAAAATATTAACGTGTACCTTTTTTCTTTAAAAAAACTTATTTTTTTATATGCAATTTTTAATCTACAATTTCTATTTTAATAAATTTATTAAAATATGATTTAACAAAAAAAAAAAGGATTGACGCTTACCGCTTTCGGCTGCGCCCGTTCGAGAGATGATGTGGCGTTTGCTTTGTGAGGAGTCGCATTGATATAATTCCCCATATCCAACACCGAGTCAATTTTATTGACTCCTAGACGCTCCTGAGCAGATCGTCCTATCGTTCCCCGCGGCGCTTGATTAATCGGCTTTACGTTTCGATCAACTCGCGGCGGTAGATCCGGAGGGCTGTGATGAGGCGATCTAGGTTCGAAAGAACCACCCAGGTATTCCGGCGAACCGGATTGATTGCTCATTTGACCAGACAGGGAGAAACCGTACTTGCTATCCCCCATTCCACCTTGGGATCTTCTCTTTTGCTGTTCAAACGATTGCTATAAATAAACATAGCAATTAATTATATACAATAATTATCGCTTGTAAGAATAACTCTATATTAATTCACTAAATTTCAATCAATCTAGTAAAGTCTAATTTAGAAATTGAAAAATACAATACTTTAAGTTTACACGGAAACTAGTGCTTTACAGTTTTAATTTTGTAAAAAATTAAAACAAGAATTTATTCAACAAGACATAAAAATTCCTGTCTATGTAAATTAATTTCAAGTTGTATAAATTGTTTTCGTTTTGCGATTTTGTATCTAAAAGCATATTACCTGATAATTTGTCGAGTACGGCGGTGGCGCAGTGGTGTCATCTTGAGTAGCAATACTGGGGTCAGAACTGCTCTTTAATCGCGACGGTGGGCCCAAAGTGCCAGGAATGACGGGTGCCGGACTCAATTCCAAATCGCTCTCCGGAGAGGAAGCGTAGGAGAGGCGAGAAGTCATCGGGAATAGGAAATCATCCGAGAGGGCTTCTTCCGGCTACGAGCGCAGACCACAGGAGACATAACATTATGCAAACGATACATAGTACGTGAATTAATCATAGCAAAATGTATTTGTGTTATTTGCATGTGTGTGTATATATAATGTAATATAAAATATGTTTACAATCAATAAAATAATTCATTCATTGCATTTTATTGATTGTAAACATATTTTATATTACATTATACAATGAATGAATTATTTTTATGAGAGTTTTATATTATATTAAAATTTAATAATTGAATACTTATAAAAAAGAATATTATAAATTAATATATGATTTATGAAAAGGAAGCAAAATATATGAATAATTATTAGTATCAGCATTCATACATTCAAAGACGTACAAAATAAATATTGAAAATTAATGTCATGCAAAATTCATTCAAGCAATACTTTCGAAAATGGCGACATATTTTCAAAACCATTTATATAAACTGTGAAAAAAAATATTTTTTTAATTAGCTTACTTGAAAAAGTATTCCCAAATTTTAATTACAACAAAATGGAAAAAGAAAAAACGTTTTGAGTTTTTATATTTTTTTGTTAATATAATTGCAACATAGGATGAAAAAAAATATCTGAATTTTCTCTTTCCTTTTTTTTTGCTATAATTAAACTGCAAAAATATTTTACACTTCTTGAATCAATGATTTAAACTGTAATTGAAGGTTTTGATAAATTATAATATTGAAGAGGGAAAGTAGAAAAATAAGTGATGCAAACTAAAGAAAAGCATATATCGAACATGCAATATTAACCCTTTAACTATTTATTCATCTTCAATTTGCATGCAATAGATGAATATACTTGTGCTCAACTTAATTTAGTTCTTGTATATGGAATGGAAAAGTGTTATAAATCAATTAAATATAAAAAAATATATCAGAATCTAAATATTATCTAAAAATCAAATTTATATTCACAAACAGATTATAATAATAAAAAAATTTATATATTAAAAATTTATACGTGTGTGTAAATGATGTACATATATATATGTTATATGATCAATGCGCTTTTTATCAAATTTTGCGCGTAAAGATATGTCCAAAATAGTTTAACGATTACATCATATATAAAGATGTATATATATGTCATATAAGATAATGATAAAGATAATGATATATGTATCATTATCTTTATCATTATCTTATATGACATATATATACATCTTTATATATGATGTAATCGTTAAACTATTTTGGACATATCTTTACGCGCAAAATTTGATAAAAAGCGCATTGATCACGTATATAATCTTTCAAATTTCATAGTTAAAGGGTTAAAAGCAAGAGCAATAATTTTATATATAGCCGAAAAATTGCTCACGGATGACATTTGAATTGAAAGGCGGAAGTGGCGGAAATGTTCCCATAAAAGATGTCGGTAAAATTGGCGATTGATGTGACAAGAGCACGTCGTGATTTTTATTCTCGTCGTAATATACATTATTGTTGGAAAACGGAGGTAGGGGAAGAGTGGGAGGTGGAGTATGAGCATGTGTAGGCGGATGCGACATGTCCCACACCATGTATTGATTATATATGGACTATAACGAACAGAATCGCCGTACAATTTAGTGTATATACGAGCGACGAAGATAAATCGTGATAATCGTGAGAAAAGTGTGAAAATAGAAGAAAGAAAAGTATCATATTTAGCCTTCCAACAGATATGTTTTTTTAGCTGGAGATTTTTTTACAACTTTTTATATATTTAGAGAATAAAATGGAATAAAATAATATACGCGCATTCTGAGAAGGCACAAGATTCAGTATGTAAAATCGATTATTCTCTTACCTTGGTCTGACTCATCCATAGCAGGCCTTGCTGCTGGCGGTCGATGAGCTCTCTGAGCTTCCGGTACCAAGCTTCCGGCGTATTGAGAGTAATCACCGCGCTAAATACGTGTCCCCAGATTTTATCGAGCTTTTGACATTGTTCTAGAAGCTTCTTACTGCTCTTGTGCGCTGATCTGTAATTATACACATATATATAATGCATCGATAAAATTGCAATATTATCTTACTACGTATCGTTATTACTTTGGTATGCCAGCTCTCATCTCCTTGATGACTTGCTTCGTCTCGGCCTTCAGGAAGATAACAATCGGATAAAACTGGGCATAATTTAAGCGATCTACGGCATTCGGAGTGATATCCAACAACGCATGTTTGCTCCTTTCCATTACCTCTCTGATAGCGCTTAGACGAATAATGCCGGATGTTTTAGTATTCTTTCCTGTACCATCTTCCATTTGGCTTTCCATTTCTACAATATTAAATATTCATTAGTAATTTGCTTCGAACTTTGCATAATGAATCAAAGATGTAAATAGTGAATAAATATATTTACTCACGTGGAGAAGTGAATTTATCAGGGAAATCCTTGAGAAGTTTTTCCCTAGCAAGATCGGCTACGGGCCCAAAGAGAACAACAGGTCTAATAAATCCGGGATGTCGTAGGATCACACGTTCATAAGCTGGAAACTTGCTGACGCTATCGGAGAACACTACATCATCCCAATGATCCTAAGGTACATGTACAAAAAGTGAAAATTAATCAAGTGAGCAAATGTTTATAACATAATATCGAACACACATAACATTTAAAAAAAATTTATTATATAAACTTTTTCGTAGTATTATATATATATATATATATATATATATATATATATATATATATATAAACGAGAGAATTGCATACATACCCTTCCCAAAGACTTTGAACGTCTGTGGCTATTTCTTCTTCTTCTGAAAAAGCTACCTCTGCTTTCGCTGGCACTCATTTCTTTCTTCGTCGCGTTAAATTGCGCGGTTGCGAGCTCCTCAGCGCGAGCTTTGTTGGGTATAATGCCCTTCTGTACCTCCTGATTATTTCGTCCAATTCGAAAAACCTGCCAAGATCCTACGACACCATTATGAAGGGTATCTACCACATGAAAGACATCTCCGCTACGAAAACTCATTTCACCTTTCTGTGGTTGTTCGTAATGAAAATGAGTCCTACGCAAAAATACACATCACACTGTCATCTTTCACGAACCAACAAAATTAACGCTTAAAAATACTACGAAAATTAGTTATATAATGTTCTTTGAATTATTAATATAATATATTATCATTCGAAAAATATATAGTATAATTTGTATAAGTGTTACTTACTTTATATGAAAGGAGTCTCCTCTGCCAGATGCAATAATCTGATCATATTCTTGACGACGATGTTGTACAATTAGATCGATTTGCTCTTGCAAGCTAAGAAGAAACAGCACAGCCTCTTCTCTCGTCACTCCTTTCATATCCATATCATTTATCTGTGGGAACAATTTTACATGTAATCACAAATGCAATATGTATTTGTAAAAATCTATTTCTATTTAGAATCTCTTGAATCTTAAAAACTATAATCTAAACGTACTCTTTGTATTTTACTTTAATAATATATATTTAAAATTAAGATTATTATTATTTTTCAATAAAATAAGATCTTTGAGATAAAAATATAAATTATTAAAAACCGACTATTAATAATATTGATTTTGTTTGACATATTTTATCATTTCTAAATGTCTCAACAATACGAATTCTAAACACTGGCTGCTTATTTAAATGTAGGATAAATTTTGATATATATTTAATATAAATTGAGTAACTAACTTTTAAGATTTTGTCTCCTGGTTGAAGACCTTGAAGCGACGCAGGACTTCCCGCTTGAACTGCAGTTACAAAGACCCCGGTTTCATTGCCGCCACTTAATCGCACTCCTACAGATCCTTCCTTTTGGAAAGTAATAAATCGAGGATCCGGCCTATAAATATTAAATAAACATATGAGATCGATACGAGATTGAATTAAAAACAATTTTTTGGAATTATACTTTATCAACTTACATGGGTTGCTTTGTTCGAGGTGAAACCGAATCTTCGTCGTACAGTTGTCTGCGTGTACTATAATAATCTATAAAAGGAAACAGTATGTTAATAAAATTTTAATGGAATTTAAAAATTTATAATTAAATTTATATTTCAAATTAATATTGAAAATCACGAATAACATTTTCAAGAAAATAATAAAATGAAATTCCCGATAAGGAAGAATTGAATTAAAATTAAATTGACAAAAAAATAATAAATCTAAAATATATAAATAAAACAAATATATTTTTATCATTTCATTTATTATAACTTTCATTACTTAACAGAATATAGTAATTAATCACAAATTTGTCTCGCGTAATACATACCTTCTGGTCTGGGCGGAGGTGGCCTGGGTGGATCCACAGTGGGCGTAGCTGGTAGATCCAGTTGGCTCAAAGATACGTCCATCAACGGTCCTCGCGAACGACCCCTCGGCACGAGATTACTCTTGTCATCCAAGGGTTGCCTCGTAGGTGGCGGAACATATAAGTTCTGACTACTGTAACTCGCACCCGACAGATATTCACCGCTATCTCCTTTACTTTGCTGCTGTACGTGGCAACACGAGCTGTCCCGTGTAATTACAATCGAAAGCCTGTCTTTGCACTGATCCATCAACTTTCTAGCTTCCTTCAGACTCATATTATCGGCGGCGACGCTGCCTATTCGGGTTAACACGTCCCCAGTTTTCACTCCGATATTTTCTCGCGTAACCTCCTTTACGTACAATCGACATCCCAGCACTATTCCAAAGTCTAGAAATCAAAGTAACATCATTGTCGCATGTTTTATTTTATGGCAAAAATATAAACAAAGAGAGAAAGGAAATAGAAAATAAAAAATTATAAAAATTAAAGAATTAAATTTTCTTTTAATAAAATTTTAAACTATTCGCTTTAAATTTTAATTATAATTTTAAATTGTAATTATCAGTTTAATTAATTTAATTATTTAATTATTTAGTTTTAGATTCTCTCTCTCTCTCTTTTTCCTTAAAGTTAAATGTCTCGGCAGTCAATCAGACATTGTTTGAGTTTTTGGTCATCATGTAACTGTTATGCGGTGTTCTAATTATACGTACCATCCTTTTTATTGTTTCGCGTGAGCGTGAGTCGATGACTCTGAGGCGCAACGCTGCCTAAGCAACCGGGTGAATTTGACGAAGATCTTCGTTTAACAACCAACAAAACGGTAGAACCGGAATCCCGCAGGACCCGCACGGCTGCCCCATAATCAGCGCCTTCCAATGATACCCCATTGGCGGAGATAATACGATCGTTAACTCTGCGTATAAATCGGGTAATAATTTTACTTATCATGTCAAATTAAAATAAGGAATCGAACTCAACAAGAAATTAGAGATTATTAACAAAAATTAAATGCAAAAATTATGGATGTATTTTTTATTTCTCTATATAATACTTTGTCAAAAATTAAATATTGTAATATAATAAAAATAATATTTTTAAATATAAAAAAAGAAACATATGCATATGCATGTGTCCGTGCTTCTATTAAATATTAGACATTAAAAAGAATTAATTTTACTTGTATGATAAACTTACTGCAATTTTCCTTCAGCTGGGCCGGCTTTGAGCACATCGGAAATCGCGATTGCTGGATCACCATTAGTAAAATGAGGATTATCGCGACCTCCTGACACAGCTATACCAAAGCCGTAACCGGGAACTCTAGTGACTGTAACATGATGAATCTCCCATCCTCTGTCTCCAGTCTAAAATTCAAGATAAGAAATTATGACAATCTTCAAAAATGCAAAAATTCCGTCAATAATCACAGACAAATCATATCATTATATAATTTATTATAATTTATTATAATATAATTTTTTATCATGATTTTCTTTATACAGAGATTATTTCTATTTTATTTCATATATATATATAACATTGAATATTATGGATGCAATTATTCCTCTTTTACTATCATCATATAATAAAATATAATAATTTAAGAAACGAATGGATTAAAACACGAATTAATTATTTAATGTTTTAATCCATTCACAAACTAATCAAATATATTTCTTCAATTAATTCTTGTATGTGCGTTTATATTTTTCATATAATATTTTATTGTCGTATACAAGATGATAAATTACGATAAGATAGAAATATTTTCTAAAGGAATCGATAATATATTACAATATTTGATCACTTTCTTTGTCATAATATCATTGTGCAATTTTATTTGCACAAATGATATACAATTGTCACATGCGCGTATTATCATTGATTCATTACAAGGATATCATGTCGAGAACCATCATTTTACATCATCTTCTTACATCATCCTTCAACGATGCCAAGTGTAAATATATAAGCACAGTTATCTCTATTTCTATATTTAAATAAGATAATATTATGCAAATACAAAGAAGAGAGCGCACATATTACCATGTCTAGTGACAAGCATATATCCTGTGCAATAAAAAAATAAAATGAAAAAAAAAGATCTAGTTGAAATAGTACATCTTAAAAATATATTATTGTATCATAAAAATAATAAAGTTCCTATTTTATCCTGAAATTTTCTTCAATTTTTCGCTAAGATAAGAAAAGAATATTAAACGGAGAGTTTTATGTTTTTTCTCTCAGCTATATTATTAATAAAACTATTAACTTAATTAATTATTGAAACGAGAGTAAAATTAAATGTAAAATTTAATATCATATGCATCGATAAAAATATAATATATTAACAGATTTAATTCGCATGTACGGACGGATAATGACACAACGCTTAACCGGCAATTAAAAGACGGTATCGCTTAATTAAAACTCATAATTCATTTCCTACGCACGTGGAAGTGTAATACAATGAAGTAATTATACTTCGCATTCCACGGAGAGCGTATATTCCCCAATTCTCCCGTGACGTGTTTTCATCAAAATATACACCAACTGAATTAATGATAATCATCGCGGGTACTCGCTCGTCCGCCATGATAATTGAATTTCGGTGAAGCGGGAATAATGAACTGAGAGCGTGCGTTTCGTTGTTAAAAGCGCGCGAATTCCATACAATTTGCCGTGGTAAATTTAGCCGGATGGGCTTATGAGTCTCACTCGATAGCACGTGTGTTACGAAATCCCCTCTTCTATGTGAGAAAATGCCGATAGACTCGGATAGACAGATGATCCACTACCCCGTACCAAATTGCGGAATTATCGTCCTCGAATAACAAATCTATTTCTGATCTTTATATCATTCGGTCAGATATCACATACATCCTTACTCGAGTAGATGATAAGAAGGAATAGCAACAGTGCTGGATTTCAACAAACCCTTCTCTCCCCTTCTTCCTCTTTCCGTTAAATCATATTGTAATAATAGAAATAAACGCAACATGCGATAAATCATTGATTAATCTGAATGTCTCGATATCTAAATTTTTTATACTATATCTTAATAAAAAGATCATACGAAAAGATAAGGAATTTTATTAATGTAAAACGATATGGATTTGCCGTACTTTTAAGTACCTTGAGAAACAAGAAACTCGCATTAAGATTCATTTAAATTACTAGAGCGATAATTTTCGAGTATTTACATCAGCCCTGATATCAAGCCCAAGTATCTCGGGATGCGCTACCTGAGCGTCGAGCCCTCCGGTGGAGTTGTGCACGGTGCCGTGGGTCGACGAGATGGAGTTTGGCGGGGATCCAGAGTTTCCCACGTGACAGCTGCCGCTGCCGCCGCCGCTGCCACCGCCGCTGCCTCCGCTGCCGCTTCCGCCGCCGACCCCGACGACATTGTTATCGCTCCTGTCCATCCTGCTTACCGTAGAGAGAATGACGTCTCTTCCCTTATCCTTCCGTGCGTTCAAGAGGACGATTCTCTCACGGGCCGCTCCCTCGCCACGCACTTCCGCCGATCCGTGATCTGAGATTCCGCATCCCTTCCCCCTTCGGACAACCCCCGCCTTCTCAGGTGAATCACGCGGAATCGCGTCGTGCTGGATCGTTGACGTGTCGCAAGCAACTCGGCAAATGCATCATGCAAACCGTATACGTGGTGAACGCACGATCAATGGATCGCCGCGTCTCTTGCGTAAAGATGAGATTGCTCGTTCAAAGTGAGAGACCGTTGACCGATGTTAACACGTGACAAAAGATGTCGTCTTCCTTTTGTTAAGCTGCTGGAGAAAACGGAGTTGCGCATCTATTGTTCGAAAGGCGTCGCTGTCATCCTTTTCGACGCCGACGTTTTTCCGTTAAAGAGGAAATATAATTGTCGTAATTGACGTTTGATGTTCAAGTAGTAGTGCCTCTTAATGCTCTTTGTGTGAAAGTTTAATCTTGAAGATTGTCGCTCTAGAATTTGCATTGATTTATTTATCGCCTTTCTCTGGTTTTTGTTCGATAGATATCCCCGTATAATACTGATAATCAACCACCTAAATAAATTTTAGTTTCTTTTTAAATTTCACTTTTGATTCAAACTTTAAGTTTCTCTCTCTTGTCTTAACGCGAATGTATAACATCTAAAGGGAGAATCCTGGAATTAGACACAATTCGTAAAATTCACAGAATAAATAAGGGGGTTTCTTATTCCTATGTGTGGGCTAAATAATCTTGAACCGCTTCTTTTTAGAAAAAAAGAAATAACACTTTTAACACGCGAAAACTTTTGATATAAAACGTTAGTTTAAGAGAATTATTCCAAGATTATAAATTGAGATTACATTGAGATAATATTTCACAATTTCTTCAAACATTACGTATACATTTTTTTCAGACGAGATTTCCAATTTTACGCGAATCTGAACACTTTTCTCGCGCAAGCTGCAACTTGTATCTCTTTCGCAGAATGACCAGATCCGAATTTTCCTGAACGAAAATCGAGACAATTTAACGCGAACCTCGTGGTCCGCGACTGACCCGTTTCTCTCCAATCGCGCGAATTTCCCTTCCTCACGTCTGCGTTCTCCGCAACAATTCGCTCCGGTTTGCCTTGCCCGGTCACGTAGCCGTAGCTTCTCGATATACAATCTCGTCGTTGTCGTCGTCGTCGTCGGCGCCTCTTTTTCCCTCGCGTCAGACGCGCTGTAGCGTGAAGCGTTCAATTTCGAGATCACCGCGAATCTTTGCCGCACATTCGATCTCGAATCTGCTCTCTCGAAATAATTTGAAGGCTTATAGTAGACCCTCGATAAAAAAATCTATGTAACATAAAAAAAAAAAGTTGTAAACCTTTGTTGAAATAATAAATCGCAGGTTAATTCAATATTCTTGAAATATTTTTACAGTTTCTTGCAACAGTTCCCTTTCATCTCCGAATCTGATTTGGATTCAAATTTACCTTTTTATAATTGTGATTTGACAGCAATTTCGCTTCTTTTGACTTTTTGAGATTCAAGGAATGCTTTTCTATCTTTATTTCAGATTATTGTCGTCTTCAAGCGAGAAAAAAAAATCCATCAATCGTATCTCTTTTTCGAATCCATGTTCCCCGAGTTATAAATCAATTATTTCCTAATCATCAGCTGTTTTCGGATTGTGCGTAATTCCAGGATTTTTCTCTTTTCGCAAGTCTTCATGGATCTTGTCAACGTTGTATAACGTTGCGACAAAAATAATCTCGTGTTAGGAAGAGGAAAAAGAAAAAATTCCTCGGAGGCTAAGCTGATAACAAAATTTAAAAAAGAACGGATATTGACTCATTAACAGACTCGGTTGTTGATTATCAGCATCGTGCGAGGAAGAAGATCTCGTCTATGGCGATAATGTAGAGACTCCGAGACAGCTTTAAACCGTATATAATTATCACAACGACGGCAATTTCTCGCAAAATTCCCTCGTCTTCTTCTTTTTCCCGTGCCTCATGTACAAAAATATACCGCGCCCTACGACGACCGGAAGCGCATTTCCAAAAACTCGCTGAAGGCCGTCGACACACACAAACAGGTTCTCCGCGGCTACCTGCGCTACGATTGCCCGAAACGAAACCACCACAGAACCGGATCGCGATTTAAATCGCCGAGACGACCTCGCTCGGCTTTACCTAAAGAGTCTTGTCGACCTAATCACTATGTGAAAAAAAAAGAAAAATAAAAAAACAACACTCTTCAGCTCCGTAAGCTCACGATTCACAAAAGCTTGTTCATCCAAGTGGCAATCTAAATTTTTACTCGGAGAAAGAAACAGCAGATATCGCGATATTCACTCAAGGATGTACAACTCGAGATTTCTCTCAAAACACCACGGGAGGATCGACGCGTAGATAGGCGATCGTGCACGTGAATCAACAACGAAGCGACGTCACTCGCGTGGTGATAAATTCGGGGCGATTCGAGCATCGATTCCTATACACATCGGCACTGCTCGCGACTCGGAATTGGCACGCACGCCACGTTCGCGGGCGTGGATGGTGGATGCACGTCGCGCGCGTGCATCTCGAGTGATTCGCGTCGACTCTCTCGTGCCGCATCGCACGCGCCTGCACGCGGCCTTCGCGTGCTTACACCAATCCAGCAGCGGGCGGAGAAAGAGAAACGGAGCCGAGTCGCGAGAGATCGTTCTTTACCTCTTCCCGAGCGGGATCGGTACCTCGAGAACGATGGACCGAGGACCGAATGTCCTTTTGCCGAGCGCGGAAGTCCTGGCGACGAACGCGTTCGGTTTCTCTATCGTCAGGTCGACTGTAGAATCGGTCGAGGACTGCAGGGACGCAAAAGGACGGAGCGGTGCTGGAGGGAGGGACGGTGATGTTTAACACACACGTACGAGGGACAAGGAGAAAGAGAAAGAGAGAAGGAGAGAGTGGGAAAGAGAGCGGACGAAAGAGAGGAGCGGAAAGAGCCGGGGCAGAGGAGAGCGAGGAGGGTAGGATCGGAGCACTCGACACCGGTTTTGCCTGGTCGGTTCGCTTAGTTGGCAAGACTACAAGCAGAGGTCGTTCCTCGACGAACGTCTTGCCCGTCTTGAGCGTGTACGTACGTCCTTGTGGGTGTGTGGGTACGTAGTCCTGGTACACCATGTGTACGCACGCGGGGCCAGGCTCTACGAGAGATCATTAACTGGAATATGACACACCTTACACCAGCTGGAATTCTGCCGCTTGTCGCGCGGGCCCTAGGTATCCGCTTTCCGTTTCTCTATTCTTTGTCCTCGCGACTTCAGAGTATCCCGACCGGGACGAAAATCATCGTGAACACGAGATTCCGGTCCTCCTATTCTTTTGCCCTTTCTCTTTCCCCCCTGCGTTTCAATTAAAATGAATACAGATTTAGGATGTGGAGGGAAAGAGCGAGCAAGAGTAACAGTCCTATGCATTCGTCGAGGAGAATGATGTCGGATCAAAGGATCGATTATATAAAAACGCTGAACGACTATCCTAGAAACAGAGAAAGCAAATTGATATTGAATGAGAAATACATTTATCTCACTCAAAAATTCATCAATAATATCTCACTAAAAAAAAAATGCCAATTAAATTTTCGTCGTAGAAAAAATATAATAATTGTGCAATAAGTTAATTAAGAATAATATGCAATAATAAAATAATAATCTGTTTTTTTTAACTTACATATTTTTTCATATTTTCTACATTTTAATGCAATCTTTTCTCTCTCTCCTTCTTGTCATCAATGCATAAATACGTGTTGTATTAAATGTAGAAAGTTTAAAGAGATGCAGCTGAAAAGAGCAAACCTTATGATCTCATAAACGGAATGAAAGTTGACCTTGGACGGTCAGAGAAATGTATGCTGGAAGAAATGCCTCAAGTTTTTTAACGCATAGCTGATTCGGAGATCAATCTATGCAAGATGCTAAGCACAGAAATCGACAAATAAATTAACAATGATATTTTTTATTATATAAAACTCGTCTTTCTTCTCATCTACTTTCTCATATCATCCACACAAAAAATTATTGATTCAAAACCAAGTGTCAAAATATGCGAATCTATAAATTTACAACGAGATATAATTGATATCATTGATATCATTGCTTTCGTAAATTTCTTTGATTGTTAGGGTCATCTTTTAATAGAAATTTTATTTTGAAAACACCATGATACAATTCTGTCTTTCACTCTCGCTCTTTCTAGAATTAAACGAACGATTTTTTTCTGACATATTTCTCAGAGGAAAATTGTTCTAATGCAGCTGTCGTATTTCCATTTAGCGCGATAGGAAAGCTAGACTTATTGTTGGACGATGATTCATAAGTTTCATAAAATCGTTCTCTCTCTCCCTCTCTCTCTCTCTCTCTCTCTCTCAGTGCGAGATCACGAGATCACTGAAACAAATTACGGCAAAGTCATTCCGTTCGTTGCGATCATAGTAGATTACGCTCGCATTTTATACTAATGAGAAAAATTACGCTCGCACTTCCCACAGTGCTCGCCTCATTACGTATGAATCTGCTTAAGCATCGCGTTGAATCTAGACGCGCGGATAACGGATTTGAAAGGGAAAATCCGACGCGGAGGCTACCGTACTACTTTTCAAGCGTGTCGAGGAGGCTAAAATGCGAAAACGAGGAATGCAAACGATGTCGTCTACGCGCACGTCCCGAGAGAGCCTCGGCCTTTTAACAATGGAATTCTTTCCATCGTATTCTTAGGTTTAACGCTCTTTTACATCGAGAAAATAGAAGAGCAAGTGAAAAAGTTGTAGAAAGAAAAAGTAACAAATCTTGTATGAAGAGTCCAGGAAGAACGTGTCAAGTTCATTTTACATCCTTTCGAGATAACATTACGATGTCGTAGTCCTGATAAAGTGTGGTTTAATATTATTCGATCATAAAGAGGCAAAGAACCTGCTTAGATCGAAGGAAAAAATAATACAAGAATATGAGGAAGAACCTGATATCATCAGAGAAATTCTCGACATTTGATTAAAAACTCACGTTAAGTTACTAATAAAATTACATATATATATCAAGTGAATATTACTGTAATTAAGATTATTTTAAGCGCTTCAGAACAATATAATATTATCATCAGGTCTTAAAAAATAAAAAAATATACAAACTTTAAAAATTGATACAAGCTAATTTAAGACGTTTTTCCCTCGACTCTTCATATGTGAATATGAATTTTGTAAATCAATAATAATAAGGAAGGCTTGTTTAAGACCAAGAAGAGCAACGGAGGAAAATAAATTTATTTTTATTTATTCTAGAATTTTTTTGTGTTCTATTAAATTATTATTGTCACCGAAGAGGATTCGAAACGTTTCTAGAAATTGGTTTTCTTTTAAAATTATAGATTTATAAAACACGCAATACCACCTGTGCTCTTCTTGGTCTTAAACAAGCCTTCCTTATTATTATTGATTTATCATTTGGATCAATTATAGGTTTATTTATTTATTTCATTATTATATATATTTTTAATTTTTTTGATCCTTGATGAATTTTGTATACAATTGTATACAAAATTCGACATGCAAGTTTTCCTCTTTAAAATCACACAAGTATACCACATTAGGTCGTAAAATCACGCACGATTCGTATGAAAAATGATTCACATTATTCAAATTTGATATACAATAACGATTTTAACACAAGTCGCGTAGATAAAATTTAAATTTCAAGATTAAATGTTGGGGAAAGCATGTTATAAGCAGCAATCTCGCAGTCGTGTCGAGCACGAGGGAAACGTTTAGGAATGTAAAACGCTTGTGGATACGTATGTGTACACGACACCAGCGCATGATTCAAGCATCCAGAAAAATTCTGCCGCGCGTCGTATATCGCAGAAGGAAAACCGGATTTCAGAATTGCGTTATCGGTTTAGGATAATCGCTTGTGCAAAACGTCCATTTTTTACCGAGAATTATTATATATTTAAGTTATCAATTTTTAAATTTTTTAATTTATTTTTCTAATTTGAAGATTATTTTTCATTTGCTGAAAAATACATTTGCATAAATACAAAGATGTATAAATTGATTATTATTCGTAATTATGATAACGTTTAATTTCATATACGTTCACGTTTAAAATTTTATATTTTTTCATATATAATACATAACTTCATATGTAATATATAAATATGAATTATGTAAATATAGATCAATGATAAACACTCAATTAAAAATTGCGATTTTTATCGCGAATTTTATCAACTTTTCGTTAACGACTTTACTCTATCTGTATTTGTTTCTTTGAAACACGCAATACGTAAGACAAACATTAATGTTCCAAGTTATAATAATGAATAACGTGCAATGAAGATTGATGACTATCGATCATATTAATCTCTCACTCAGCGTTTCGCGCAAACTGTGCATAAAATGCGGAAAGCGATGTAATGATGATGACGACGACGACGACAACGACGAACACGGTCGATTTGCCAAGCAGCAACGTCATTCGCACGCAAAAAGATCTTTCGTCAACCGCGACAGGTAAAAAACTTATTGGCAACTTCGGGCTGACCGATCTTAAGGACATTTCCTAAGGAATGTACGCTTGTAACCCAGGTAGATCTAGGTACCTGTCGCCGCAGGCAGGTAGCTGCATCAACCTTAGTAAGCGAATGAAGGATAAGGCGACACGAGGGCGTGGTGCTATTTGAACATCTCTCATCCTGCATTGATTATTTAATTTCCTTGAAGAAAAATTATTGTACATTTTAAATTATTACTTTTATATAGTTAATAATATTAATAATATTAATAATTTTAAAATTAAATTATTAAATTAAATTAAATTTTAAAATTATTAATATTATTTAAAATAATTTTAAATAATATTAATAATTTTAAATTTATTTTTTAATTCGTTGAAAATAAACAAATAAGAATGTATGGCGATTATGATTCGTAATTAGATCATGTATAATTTCGCGTCTTACGCGTATTATATTTACGTTTAAAATTTTATATTTTTTCATATGATATATAAATAGAAATTTCATATGATATATAATATGATATATTCTATGAATATATTGTATCATATATTATATGAATATATTCATATGATATATAAATAGAAATTTTGCAAATCGTCACGCTAAATTTATATGTTTTTCTGAAAAATAATAAAACAACATTACTAGTAATATATATCGTCATTTAATGACAATCTTTTTTTGATGATTTTACCTTGTTTTAAATTGAAAATTCCCAGTTAGAACATTATATTGTATAGCTGTCGTACTGACCTCGCCGCATTTTTACTTGTCCATTCCGTTTGCCTGCATTTTAATGCGATTGGAAACGTGCGTTAGCACTAATAAGGCCGCATAAGTCATTGTGTAGGCAGATAAATAGATAGAGAGAGAGAGAGAGATGACACATTAATAGCGTTCTTTTCAATTTTACTCTTAAAATACAGCTATCATTTTTCCGACCTGAAAGAGAAAAAGAGAGGATGAAAGGAGGATAGTATTTCTCGAAGATATAAAAATAAACCTGTACAAACGATATTTTTGCGATAAAATAGATACCGGAAATTGTTTGGTTCCAGAGTCGTTTTTAATTTCAACGAGATTGGTTTTTCGGTTTATATCGATTAAGTACTTTTTAATTGAAACATCTATGTTTTTTCTAAAAGTGTCAAATGCTTTTTTGTTTGCATATTTTTTTATGAAACTTAACAGCGTTTTTGAAAAAAAGGTCGAAAGTATTAACAAATTAAAAACGCATTAGCACTTGGTTGTGGAATCATTGGAAAGTTATGAAAGATGTGCATATATTATATACCTGTCGAAACCGGATTAGAAACGTTCCATATCACACTTTCATCTTTCTCTTCTCTAATTGTCTTTACATAAGGAAATAAGCAATTATTAATCCAGTCCGCAATATAGAATACTTTTTTGTTTACGTCCACTCATTTCATTCTCTTTAAATCTTTAAAAAGTGCTATAAAAATGTTTTATACAAATATTATCTTTTTTTAATTTAATTTTATATATTTTTCTTAAATTTAATTTTATATATTTGAATTATTATTTTTTTAATTTCGTGACATTTTCTCTGCCAAATTTCTATTTTTAAAAAGATATATAATAACATTTCTGACTTGTATGATAAAGCAAGTAGATTCTAAATTTGAATTTACTACATTTGCACTGTGGAAAAAAATTTTCTTGCATTTATATTGGATTGAGAATTATAGAATGGGTGGATGTGATTTCTTCTATATTTTCCTTATGTAGAAAGACTTGCAGCATATTTTGAATCATTCTGTAGAAAGAAAAAGGGCGCGCATGATAATTGCCGCGCAATCAAACACGCAAAGTGCGCGTCTAACGCTATCCGTATATCCGATTATGCGGTCACTTCCCGTGAAATTATAGCCAGGAATCCGTTCTCCGACTCGCACAAACATGACACGGAAAAATCGCGGCTCGTATTCTCGCTTCTAGCGTTAAAATTCAACTCTCGCATTTCGTTTTCACAAAGGTTCCTCTTTGTGCATAAAAGCTTATGCGTATAAAAAGCTTATTTAGCATTAAAACGCGTCAGAATCTACTGAAAAAAATTGAACTTTGTTCAATGATATTGCAGATGTAACTAATAAATACGCCGTAAGTTGCTTGATGTCTATTAATAGATCTAATTGGTCTGCCGTTCTTCATAAGCACACATACAGATCAATTGGAAGAAAACAGACAGTCCCTCAACGAGTTGACTCGACATACGCACACATGCATGTCACGACGTACGCGTGGGTGTACATTGTATGTACACAAAACACTGCGCCGTTTACCGCAAAGACGTAACAGATTTATACGAGGAACTTTACGACCGCAATACGTCTCAACACCTGTTTCTCAAGTCGCGTATCTTGGAAATGTTACGTCATCGCAAAAATGATGTCGTGCGCAAAAAAGATGAGTGCGTGTCGTGAAGTTTATAATATCACAGGATATATATAAATAACTATTTTTAATCAATAGCATCAGCGTAATTTAAATGCGTCGACTAAGATGCTGATTTGATATTTCGTTTTCACCTTTTCTTTTTACCTTATGTTTACGCCGATGCCGTCTCGAGGTGTTCGCGATAGCGGTGCCGAAGAGGAAATCATCTCTCAGTAAATGCGCGTCGTGCGAGCTGCTGGCGATTCTCCTCTTCGACGTGGTCTTCCGAGATCTCTTGTGCTTCTTCTTCTTCTTTCTAAAGATCTTGCGAAAAATCTTCATACTCCGTCGAGGTCCATACGAATGTCATTCACACGCGCAACGCCGAAGATCAAAAGATCGCTGCCCAAGATCACAAACTCTGTCGACAGATCAATTATTCATGTACTTATGCAGAACATTGTTTCACGCATGACAAAAAGTTTGACGAAAACTTAAGCGTACATTTCAGGGAGCGCGACGCGGACAATGGAGCAAGATTAACTGGAGTTAGTTATTAGTTTCGCGAGAATATACGTGGGAGAGACGCGAGTATTCAATGCACTTGAACGATGCGCACCAGCTAAATCACTAGACGCGCCGCCGCGTTTACGCCAAAGTCCATGGAGTTACTCATCGCGGTGCGCCATGTGCGATGGGGGCGGCTCATAGCTTATCGTCGTACATACGCTAGATACACGCACCAGAAACACGCACCAGAAACACGCACCCAGATCAAACGGCTCTGAAATCGTCTCTGTGATTTCCCAACGCCGTTCGTGCCCATGCTGGATTAATCGATCGCGAAGCCCCACCGAATGTCTGTCTCACTTTACATCGGAAAAAGCAAGTCGTTGAAAACTCGAAGTTATATTCAGCACCTGCAAATTAAATTTCAGATAAATAATTGATTTTTATTTGCTTATAAACGTTCAATGGCTTAGTATTTAATTGGTATCATTGAAGGAAGAAAATTATTGTTTGCTTAATAGAAAATATTATATTCTGCAATCTAAGCAATACTTTTACTCCAATTATTATTCAATCAAAAGATTATTTTCTTGCTTTCTCATAGCGATTAATTGTAAATTGCGCTTTAAAAAATAATAATTTTGTATATATTTGTTTTCCACACATAAATATTTCGGTATTGCTACTATATCTTCAAAGATACTATATCTTCGATAGAGAAATAAAAGATTACCTTGATTCTTAATTGAATGTGAGGTCATCACACTTCTCATCTGATTGATATCGGTTACACCGGATGCACCGTTAAAGGACGCGCGAATTAAAGTTCGCATATCTATACGAAGAATGAAGAGACAAAGCATTTCCTCCGGAAGAACTGTCAAAGAGTCCAATACAATTTTGACTTAAATTCCTTTTCAATTTAATTTTTAAATATTAATTGATTATGAATATTTGCATCGTTTTGAATCATATCGCATGTCTTTAAATTCATTTTTATGACATCGCATTATCAATTGGAATAAATAAATTACTCAATAGTGCTAAGAGAAAAGAGAGAAAGAGACAGAGAGAGATTAGACTAATAACATAATCAAATTATATGATTGAAAGCTCGAAATGATTTCTGATCCAAATATGATAAATGCATTATCATTGAGAGTGACTTAAAAGTATAAAAGTATTATATATTGATCGGAAATGATACCGATGTACATATTTTTTATATATCTCTCAATGCATTATAATTTAATAAAAAATCCACTAATGATTATCACATAATTATTATCATTTTGATCATTTTCCGCGTATTGCAAACTTTTTGATAATCTTACACATATCTTTACATATATATTTTTAAGCGTCAATTATTAAATTTAGATTATATATTTACATTCTGCATCTAATACTATTAACTAAATATATTTTTGATATTTTATTTGTAGCTATTTTAATATATTTGTAGCCAAGTTTAAATGCAAATAAATGCAAATGATCCAGTCTAATTACCTTTTATCATTTGTAAGTTAAATTTTTTATTTTTTAAATTATGTTTTATAAATATTTTTGAATTATATTTTTGAATTATATTTTTAAATTATGTTTTATAAATATTTTTGATACGATATAACTAAAACAGATAAAACCAATAAAACATTTTATAAAATAGACTGATTTTAAAAATTAAATATTGATTTAATTTTTGTTATTTATTTTAAGATCTAAGTATATATAATAATTATATAAATTTTTTTAATGTATTACAGCTCAGAAATTATTAAAATGTCTTAATATAATAATTTTTGGAAAAAAAATAATTCCACGTTCACTCTTCAATAATTCAAACTGGGATACCTCCTACAAAGAATAATTGAATAATTTCTATTTTTAAGCATGCAAAGTGTAAATGCATTATTACACACGCCCGTTCTCTGCGTCGATGGCGACAAATATGGATCGTCTGTAATATAATGAGATAGAGTGATATTTCATTGCTGACAACAAAACGCCCATCACAAGTTATGTTGACACATTTGTTATTACGTAGATTAGCATATATATATATATATATATATATATATATATATATATATATATATATAAAACATATATTTGTTCTTATATATATACAGTACTAGACAAAATAAATCATACACCTTTCAACAAATTGAATTTGTTAGTATAACTATTCTTTTAACAAGCAAATAGATTATTATAAGTATAAGTATAATAACAAATTCAATTTGTTGAAAGGTGTATGATTTATTTTGTCCAGTACTGTATATATATATAATTATATTAATTTTATGTTATATTAATTTGTAAATCCTTTTTAATATTAAGTATTTTTTAATTTTGCGAAATGGCAATAATTAAAGAAAATAAAAAATTCACAGAATATAATCTATAGAAGTTAATTACAATGGATTATACAGATAAAAAGTATTAATAAAACTTGATAATGCCAATGTATGACAATATATATATGATAAAGCATTATTTAATAAAGTTTCATGAATTCGTATCCCATTTTATTTTAAAATATATCATAAATATAAGTATAATCACTAGCCTTTATGTAAAAGCAGTTTTTAATTTATTATAATGAAAATATGTTTGTCATTAATTGTCTCATGAGTGATCATGTGCTATAAACAATAAATTTGTATAAAAATATATTTTTTAGATACAAGTTATATAGATTATATTTTTAAATACAACACAACTCTATTGTTCCTTTAAGCATGAAAATAGGACCTAAACTTAAAAAAAAAAATAAATGCAAATGATGTGTAATGTTAACATTATTTTTACTACTTTCAGTGAAAACAATATTTTTTTCGCGAAAAATGCACATCCAAAATAATGTATATTAATTTTACAATATTAACAAAATTTTTGTCTACTAAAAGCAAATCTGCGCTTGAATCCACATTTATGTTTGATTTGTTATTTACTATATAAATAATATATTCGCCTCGCGTGCAAATTAATAGATACAACATTTCATGTACTCCTCTTTATATATAGTTATAAATATTAATTTAAGATAAAAAAATGTATAAATCAAGTAAATTTCGATAAAACCAATAGACTAAAACATATCTCAGACATCTTTGCCAATTTTTAAAGATAAATATCTACTGATATCTACTGATATGGCGAATATCGCATGTTTCTATAATCTATGTGATTTCCCTCATAAATCAATACGATAAAAATATAAATGTTTACGTGTAAAAAATTTCAATATAATAAATGTAGCAATAGATGTAAGAATTTAATATAATGTAATGCATATTTTCCGCCTCGTATTTTAAAGAATAAATATAATATAAAAAAATAAAAAATGATTTAAAAACTCATGAATAGTGACTTTTCAAGTATAAAAAGATTCGCTCCTTATTAACACATTTTGCACTTTCGAATTCTTATGAACAAGATATCGCTAACAAATTTCATTTCTATTACACGCAAACATTTTCTGCAAATTCAAAAAAAGTAAACTTTAAATATTTTCAATAGTGTTCAATCCTCTGACTTTGAAATTATTATTATTCACAATATTCTTTCTCAATACAATATAATATGTATACTTATAAATATAATAAATAAATGTCAATCTTTTCCCTAAAGTATATATGAAATAAAATTCCATTATGCCGATTTTTCCATTATGCCGTCTTTTATGGAACAATAAAATCATAAAATACGCAGAGAGTAGCTGTTACTTAAGATAACATGTTTGCTGAGCTAAATACATTTAAGCGCTAAGCATATACGCGATGAATATCGGAGAAAAATGCAAAGTTCGTATTACTCATTCTATTAAAAATTTATCATCAACAATTTTTATCTCTTGATTTTTTCAACTTTGAATGATAATATTAATGTAAGACAAAATTTTCTTTTAGATAAACAAAATTCTCTATAAAAATTTACCAGTGATTTATCTGCTGATTTCTCTCGTTTTCATAATTTCTCATCATAATATTAATTGTATTATCTTTAAATTTTTTACGTCATATTAATTTACGATAAAAATTTTATAAATTATATGAGTTTCGAATTAATGAACTGGAATATGTATATTACTCAGGAAGCAAGATGACGTCTAAAGACGTTTTTAGATGTCATCTTGCTACCTGGGTATATATGACGTTACAATACAAAGAGCCCCCGCTGATATTTTTGATTTTCACGAGCATAGATGGACAATGATCATTATATATAATGATATTATGTATGTGAATGATATCGGTGTGTTCCATGATAAGCGTTTATTGAAGATATAAATCGGCGCGATACACACTTTCAGTATATTGAGTGGGTCAAAGACGTACAGAACGCATTACATTTTGTCTTCAGACGGTCTTATCTCGCGGAGTTTACCAGCGCGGTTATCGTAAACAGGGGCTTGATTTCTTGACAGTTCTTTCTTCACTTCGAAATGACAATTGGCACCGTCACAACAGTGCACACTAATGACGCTACGTCAAAATCTTTTTTGGTCACTTTATCGGACGAAGAGAAGGAAAAATTCATATCACGTGTGTCGGCTGATTTTTCAAGCAATGGAAGAAAACGTTTTCAATTTTTAATTAGTTTTTGTGGTAAGTAATGTGCAAGATCTGGAGGAGAGTAACATTTTTTTAAACATTTTTTTTCATTGAGAAACATTGAAATTTAAAAAATTAATTTTCTACACACGTACAACTACTCATTGAAAAGAGCAGAAACATGATAAAAAATATAGAAGAAAGAAATAAATTATATACAAATTTATTGAGTCTTTTATGTATCCTTTTTTTATCTATTTCTAAATAAATATTATATAAATAAATATTACATATTCTATCTTTCGAAATCTGAATATTTCATGCGATGTAGTGCGAGGTACAAAAACATATGTGCATATAATGAGGACGACATATTGTCGCGATATCAATATTATCTAAAGTGATCGACTTCTTAAGACCTGCTTACGGTTGAATCCATTATTTATTTATCTCTCTATGGCATTTATCAAGAAAGGAATCTTTGAATGTTTCTTAAGTTTTTTAGTCCGTAATAAGCTTACAATAAGCAAAAGTTGTAGCAATAATTTTTACATTGCGATCTGTTGTTTCATTTCTCTTTCTTGTTCAATTGTTTGATATTTCCCAATAGTTTATAAGATAAACAGCTCATATATTTTAGATAAAAGATTCTTTATCAAATGTTGTTTGCGAAATTTTCATAATAATTTTCATTGAATATATTATCAAATATAATATATTATCATGAATATATTATCAAATATATTATCAAATATATATAACTTTCTAATAATGTCTGTAAAATAAAATTGCAAAATTAATTAATTTAACAAATGATTCGTTCGTTTAAAGTTTTTAAAATAGCTTATCATAATCAAATATCAATATCGATAAGGGTGCACATGAGTTCATTGTACTCGCAAAGCCAAAGAAATATTTAATAGCAACGATTTTATAAATGTTATATCTATTAGCGCGATTATTAAAATTATTTTTTTTATAAATTTCAAAAATTTTCTTTTTTCATAAAATAGATATTATTACGTTATATTATATATTCATTATTTTGCAATAATTATCTTCGGTGATTGTATTAATTCCACGTGTTATACAAAATTTTTATTCAATTATTTTAGATAATCAGATAGCAAGATTCTGCTTTGATTGATATGTGATATGAAAGAATGATAATTTAATCACTGTTTCGCTACACATAATCTAAATCAACGTTTTTATCATTTTTCAAAACATTTCTTTAAAGAAGTTAAGAGATACGATATAATAATATGATTACTCTACATCAAAATTCCATAGCCATTGAAGAAAAAATTTTATCAATTTAATATCAAAAATATTATTATTATATAATGTTTTGGACACTTTCTTAAAACAATACAATTATTCAATTAGTTCGATATACTCTTGCTTCAGTGAATAAAGCGGAGATTTTTACGATTTAAAAAAAATAGTACAAATAATTTTTCAATCAATTAATCCTTTTTAATCCGAATTTTTTGAATTATTTTCGATATCATTTAATAAAATTATTTTGTATATTTAATAAAATTCGGTATATTTTCCTTAAATTAAAATGTATGTTTTCCTTAAATTAATGTAAAATATTTCTTTTGAAGATAAGAATGCAGCATTTCTTTTCAGCTGCACTAATCGCCATGCAAGCCGGCATATCGCTCGGCTGGACGTCGCCGATTCTGCCGTACTTCACATCCGAAGAGTCCTTCCTTCCCGAACTATCCGAGAATCAGATCTCGTGGATATCGTCCTTGCTAGCGTTGGGAGCTATCGCGGGTGCTATACCGGCCGGCAAAATCGCCGACTGGATCGGCCGAAAGTGGGCCATCATCCTGACGGTCGTGCCGTTCGCCACATGCTGGCTCACCCTGGTCACAACCAGGAATGTCATCAGCATATATGTCGCGAGATTTGTCGGCGGAATCGGTGCCGGGGCGGCGTGCGTCCTGGTGCCTGTCTACATCGGCGAGATTGCCCAGCCATCGATTCGGGGTGCCCTGGGCGCCTTCTTCCCCCTACTCTTCTCCTCGGGGATTCTCTTCTCGTACGTGGCGGGTGCTTATTGTTCCTACACGATTTTCAACACCGTCTGTTGCGCCATCCTGCTGCCTTTCGTCCTAGGAGCGCCCTTTTTGCCGGAATCGCCAATGTGGTTGATGCAACAGGGCCGTGAAGACCAAGTCATCAAAGTTTTATCGATCCTACGAGGATCTCGTTACGACATCGTTGGGGAATTAGCCGTTCTCAAAGAAGACGTAAACAGAATAACGAAAGCGTCGGGCGGTTTCAAGGATCTTGTCGGGACCAAGGCTGGACGTAAGGCTGTCGTTACTTGCATGGGACTCATGTTCTTCCAGCAATTGTGCGGCATAGACGCGATTCTCTTCTATACGGTCAACATCTTTCAGGCGGCTAACAGCACGATCGATCCATTCCTGGCGACCATTATTATTGGGCTAACCGAAGTCGTGATGACAATTTTCGTCGTTTTCGTGATCGACAGGTAGAATACTTCATGATATTTCTTTCCAAATCGATTAATGGTTAACGATTTAATTAAGTTAAATTTTTAATAAGCCTTTTAGCGATTATTCTCATCGATTAATTTTTTCTATCTCTTTTCCAATATAATTCTTTATGCTGAATTAATTTTTATTTCCTTCTATAAATTTCGATTTTTATAAATTTTTTTATTCCTGTGATAAAATGGTAAGAGTTTTCGTTCTTTAGAAAAAAATCACACATATTTTTAAAAGATAAATAAAGAGCTGTGTAAAAATTAAATCCCATCGTGATATTACATCATAAAATTATAAATCTCAATCTAATCATCCCTTTTTTTTTCAGATTTGGTCGAAAGCCGCTTCTGATAATATCCAGCGTAATGATGACCATTTGCTTGGTCATCCTAGGTTACTATTTTAAATTCAAAGACGAAGGAAACGATGTAAGCACCTTTGGCTGGGTGCCGCTGACCAGTCTCGCTTATTTCAATATTGTATTCTCGATTGGTTACGGATCCGTACCCTTCACGGTAATAAGCGAGATATTCCCGCTAGAAACCAAGGGCGTCGCCAGTAGCATATCGATCGTGACAAATTGGATCCTCGTGTTCACTGTCACCAAACTATTTCCGATCATGGAGTACGAGATGGGCCAGGCAGCGACTTTCTGGACGTTTTCGTGCTTCGCTGCCACGTCTGTCGCCTTTACGTACTTTGTGATACCGGAGACGAAGGGTAAAACGTTGCAGGAGATACAGAAGAAGCTCGAACGAAAGAAAACATCGAGCATAAAATATCCGGTTGAGCCCGCCTGAAAATCTCGACATACCACCAAAAGCGTTTACCTCGTTGCGTCACGTTAGCGCAAAAATTGGTATTGATGGTTCTGCTTCGAAAAATCGTGAAGATCGATAAAGGAGAAGAATGTATATTTTTTTAACTTTTATTTCTTTTTTTATGGATTGTTTTCCATAAACGATTATTTATAATAAATTGCAAAGTTCCTTGTTTTTTATTTCTTATTTGATATAATTATCGTTGAAAACATAAAGGAACTTGAAGATTATATGTAAATGCAATATGTAATATGTGCATCTGCGCAATAATTTAAAAAAAAATGCATTTAAAGTATCAAGAATCACATAAAGAATGAAATATACAGAGATCTTTTTTTACATAGAAATTCCATTTTAATTATCTCAACAATTTTTTTAATTCAAATTTTTATCATTACTTATAGATATTTTCTATAAATTTTTCACTATTTTATTTATAAAACTAAAGCGTATCAAACATGTTAATATTTTAAGAAAATGTTATTTTTAGCATTATATAGTCACAATATTTTTGTATTAAATTAACAACATTTTATATTGCAATGTTACCGACTAAATGATGTCTAGATTAAAGTGAATTCCCTCTGCTAGATGTCATGTGCTGTGTATTTATTAATAAATATGTTGCATTTTATCTCGCATTAGAATAAATTTGATTCTAGAATAAATTTAAATTAATTTGAGACATTATTTGATGTATAATAATGTCTCAATAATAATTTGATTTAATAAGTTAATAATTCGTTACTAAAAAAGCTATTAATATTAGATTATATATATATATATATATATATATATATATATATATATATATATATATATTAATAATCAAATGATACAAAATTATTTAGAAACATTTTTTATTTTTTGTACAGATATTTTAAGAAAAAAAAGTTCTCCTTCCGCAAATTAAAAAAATCTAATCTTTTACAAAATGTTTATTTGAAATTAAATAAAAACAAAAAAATTCCAATAAATTTTTCATTAATCTATTTAATTTTTCCGTAAAAATTTCTATATTTGTTTAAAAATTTGAAAATGTTACAATGACGTTATTATTGTTGCGTTTAAAGTATTAAATATGTAAAAAAGTATTTGCGAAAATAAAATATTAAATTAAAAAGAAAAAAGTGTTTCCTGCTCTGCAATATATGATGAAATTTTTTTACTGCTTTTTGCGCATATATATTTTTCTAAAATAAATTGAAATTGAAATTAATAGAAATTCACTTCATCATGTCTTAATTTTGTCAGTGATATCAAATTAATTATGCATAGAAAAATATTACAGCTGTTTACTGTTTTTTCCTTAATATTGATAAACAAATGACTACAAATGATAACGTAGTAAATTTTCTTGGAATATTCATATTGTAGTGCTTGTCTTTCTTATCGAGTCTCGGTAATAGGAATGAATAAATATTTTTATCTCTTGAAGCTTGAATGTACAATGAATAAATTACAAAATGACATTGTTTGTTCTTCTCTAAAGATATCTATATTTTACACGGACTTATCAATCAAAAATTAAATTTATATATATTTAAATTTCCTTTTTTAAATCGACCAACCACAATTTTGAATCTTCACAAGTCTTTTGTAAAGAAAATAAACATTTTAAATTTACATTTTTTCTATCTATATATTAACTTTTTTCATTTATATAAGAAAAAAGTAATATAATAATAGAAAAGAATTTGTTTCGAAAATTAATTTTATATTAAATATAAATTCTTAAAATTAATTTTCATCTTAAATTTATATTTTTTGCGAGACCAGTATTTGTTGCAAATAAATAGAACATTCAGCATTTTATCACGTAATACTTTCAAACGATAAGGCAAGTGGCTAACACTGATATTGCTCTAAGTTTCACAATGGGAAGATTACTGTTTGATTCGAGTTAGGGATCAAGTGATGAGGCTGCACTATTCTTTAGGTATTCTTCAGACGTGCTTACAATAACGTTCCATCTGTGTGACGCACTTCCTACACATAACGTATTGCTTTGTGTTTGTTATTGGCTTTAACGCGATTATGTCATCTCACTTGACACAAATCCTCTGTATTTTTATCTCTTCTATCTGTTATTATTACAATTATAAAACAAGGCAAATTATAATTTTTAGACATATATAAAAAGATTACGCATATAAAATTTACAGATCTTTTAATTGATCTAAAGCAAATTTTTATAACGAAAATTTTAAAAAATATGTCCCTTTTAATTTGTATCTCCTTAATTTTTAACATTAGGAATTATTGTATTAAAATTCGGATTCTCTTAAATAAAATTCTAATTTTCTGAATTTTAAAATCTTAATTTGAGAGACATGGTATTTTAAACTAAGATATTTAATGTTTAAATTTTAAAGATGTACATGGAAAAAAAGACAAAGGGAATAATTAAATTTCAGTAGAAAAATGATTATTTCAGCTTTTAATAAGGAAACTCGTATTTTTCTCTAGATATGCTTAATAAAAAAAATATACATGTTATGTGTATCTTTGAAAATATTTAAAAATCCTGCATAAACATATCTCTTCGAGTAATGCTCGATAAAAAAATATAATGGTAATAATTCTACGTTATGCAAACTGATAACTGATGTATTTCTGCTAAGAAAAATATGAATGATGATTTTTTTTCATGAAAGTATAAATAAGCAGATATCATGAGCACTCAGATGAGAACTTGACGCACGATGCTATAAACCCTAAGTAGGACTCAGTTTCCGGAGGTTTGAACAACTTATCCTTCATAAGTCTCACTGATGACGCTCCACATTGTAGAGAGTTTCGTCGTCCCGTTTCGCTGTCTCTAAAGACTATTATGGTGCGAGAGAGGATACACGGATGAAAGAGAAGTTGTAATCGCGCGCGTTGCAAGAATGGTTGGACAGGTAAGAATATATACGGTAAGTAATATCCGGCGTATTCTCTACTCCTTTAACGACAAGCTTTTAGATGTTGTCACAAAAGCGCTTCGATTATATCGTAATATATATATTAAAAAAGTACATGATCATTTGTCCAAATTCCTTTATATATCCGCCATTTCCTAATAAGTGTCCTGAGTCGCATAAAGGATATTTTGTGTACTCTTTCTTTTCTTATATAAATATCAAAACTGTCAAAATAAATTTTCTCACAGGATATCTATCTTTTCTCTTCTTAAAGTACAATTCATATCGTATATATTTTTCATATCGTATATATGTTATACGTTATTACGTTTCTTTTGTTATTTTTGTTGAAGAAATCTTAGCAAAACTCTCGATGCTTATATTCTTAAGAAAAAAAATTTTATTTGTGATGGTTAATTCTTCATAAAATCGATAAGTTCGAGTGATATGTTTAATTAGGAAGATAAATGGAAATTTAGAGGCATTTTGTGATTAATTTAAAAATTGATTTTGTGATTAATTTAAAAATTGTTCTGTGCATTCCGTATTCATAAACGCGCGTACCATGTCCTCGATCTGAATTCCTTTGAATACTAAATCAAGGACAAGATATGTTTTATAATTTACGGCCGTTACAACGACACGAATAGAAAATCGCAAATAGTACTAGTTATACGTCTGTCGCAGGAGCGATGCATTACACCGTGGTTTATCCGGCATCAGTAGCTTAGCTAACAAGAAATATTACAAGACATCGTGCCTGTAAGGTTTTGTAGAAACTATACATTTAAATGCATATTCAAGCGCGACCGAATAATCTTCCGTTATCAAGACGAAACTGAGATACTCTGTGAAATTCTGTGAAATATTTCGTAAGAACAATGCCAATAAAAATGAAATATATACATCTTTAAAATATTACAACTACTTTAATTTTAGAAACACGATATAAAAGTATAATTCGTTCCTATAAAAATGGAAACAAAAATAGATTAGTATTTCAAAATATCTCTAATTCAAAAATCTCTCTAAATTGATGAATTGATGAATATTCATTAGAAAAATCACAAGTGAACGAATTCATCTTTTCTGCAATTATAATTTTTATATAATAATAATAATAATAATATTGTAATTTTGTAATAAATAAATGACCTATTATATTTTTACTGTTTCGTTTATTTTGAACGCATATTCAATGTCTTTTTATCTTCGAAAAATGCAAAACATTAACACTTATTAGACATTATTACATTTATTACAGTTATCAGTCCTTCTTTAATGATTACAAATCATTTTCGCTATTGATATTATGATAAATACTTTATTAATTTAATAAATAAAGCATCGTATAAATATTATTGCTCTCTATTATTGCCTCTATTGCTTCTATCTTATGGCGCGAGCAATCTTGCAATAAGTTCTCCTTCAAAGAACTCTATAGGTTCAAGTGACATAATTTCAATTATGCCACTTGAACCTATAGAGTTCTTTGAAGGAGAACTTATTGCAAGATTGCTCGCGCACTAGGAGAGAAAGTACCTTATACTCGTGGGAATGTACGTGTCCGGATACTTTCCGAGGGTAATGTACTATCCAATAAGTTCTGTATAATTCACAGTTGGCAAAATCCGTAAATACTCAAAATCAAATCGCGATTATTATTAACTCTCGCTATAAAAATAAAATCACGCTTTTCACTTAGCTCTATATGTAATTAATTATCATTTGCCTGATTAAGTGAGTTTTAAAAATCATGACTTGTGTACATGATTGATGAAACAAACAACATCGTTAACATAATCATTTCAAATTTACAGTAAATACTTAGTATTTTGCCGTTAAATTATAATTGTTGAATAACGATAATTCTGTTAAATGTGGAAAAAAAATGATGCAAAATAACGTCTCAAGTCGGCGCGTTTAAGATGTCCTCTACAGGTCATATTTCACCTTATTAAATTTAAGCCGCCAGATTTATATCTCTCGGATATCACGTAATGTCGCGGGCCGATTATCTCCACTTTAATTCAAGTAGGATAATCATATAATAGAGCAGAGAAATTGTGAAATTCTCGAAAGGACGGAAGGAAATCAACCAGGCAGAATCATTTATATTCCTTCGTTTTTCGTTCAAAATTAATTCTAATAAATTACTTATTACTTGCTGCACTGATTGATCGATCATTATTAAAGTATGAGAAGAGTAAATTTTCGAAATAAATTTGAATGCAAGTTTATTATTATAATTTTAAAACTTTCACACACACGCAATATTATATAATATTATATAATATTATTATATAATATTATATTAATCAAGTTTTAAATTATATTTTTATTAAATCAATATCAACGACATATTGATTAACTAGATTTGGTCATTTATTTAAGAGCTTAATTGCTTAAAATATTTAATTTTAATTTTACTAATTAGTGGTAATTTTATTTGCTTGAATTTATGCTAACAAGTTTTTTTTCAATTTATCGAATTTCACATCCCGTCATTTTGCAATATGTAGTATCTATCACGTAGGCAAATTATCACGTTGGAAATAAAGCAATAAAATACTCTGCTCTATTTAATATATGATTAATTAATCTTCATTGGAATAAAATGATACTAATGCTAATTGATCACTTCTATCATTGATTCCCACTTTATCGGAAGATTTATTACCCCAAAATGGTACATTGAAAAAAATAAGAGTTTCTCGATTTGCTCAATTTATAGAATTGCTTAAACATCTCCCAAGTAAATATCATTTCGAGATTAATCCAAATTTATACATTTCAATTATCGATACTTGTGTATCCGATAGGAAATATTCAGTATTATATAACGTCACAAAACGTCAGTTTCTCGTTGTGTTTGTTTACTATCCGTAATAAGATCTCTGATGAAATTTGCGCCAGAAAAAATGATCGACGAACCGATCAAGATTCTCGAGCTCGAAAGTATCAATTTCCATAATTTACCATAAAGAAATATATTAGCTCCCCTCTGACGGTATCGCATAAAACAACAAAGAGACAACAATCTCGTCGGGGGTAATAGATGGACGGTGAAATGTTTACTGATTTAAATTTCCGTGAGGGGGGAAAAAAAAGGCCGCCAACGCAAAACCGCCATAATAAACCCTCGACGCATTAGCCGATGCATCTCATTAAAATCCGGGTGACGGCGGCGAAGTGGCCGTTAAATCATCGCGACGCGAGACCGATAATCACGTAAGGACGAAAATTTACGCGCCCGCGAAGGGACAGTCTCGCTGTTCGCGCGTCAACCCGCTCCCGCATCCGGCGGAATCTGGTGTCGATTGGCGGATTAATTACAGCGTGTGTCCTACGTGGAACCTGGGGGTACCGTTCGCCCGGCTGGCCCGCCTGTTGGCCGTATATTCCGCTCGCACCACCAGCCTACACCACCAGCCGTCACTACCACTATCGCGAGCCACCGTCGCCGCAGCCGCCACCACCTGCAGGGGGGTTGACTGCGCTCGTTCCGCCGCCGAGGGTGGGGGTTGGCGTCAGCAGCGGTGGGTGTTCGTGCAGGTACGCGGTACCCCCCGCGACCGTCACCACTACCAGCGTTCTCCGATCTTCTCCACCGTGCCCCGTCGCCCTTCGCCCTCTGTCTGTGTGCGTGTCCCGAGGCTCCGCACCTACGTGTGTACGTAGCCACGTCGGAGATTCCGTGCGGCCGGCGTTCTCCGGCTCGGCTCGGTTCGATACGCGCGCGCGCGTACACGATACCGGTGGGGTTCGGTGCCGACAGTGCCGCCACAGCTCTCGTAAGAGACGCCCGTGATTTTGCACCCCCGCTCGAACAGAATTTACCGAACTATACGACGAGGGTGCACCACGGTTCTCTCTCTCTCTCTCTTTCTTTCTCTCTTTCTCTTTCCTCCTGTCTCTCTCTTTTTCTCTCTCTCTGTCTATCCCTCTGTCTCTCTCTCTCTCTCTCTTTCTCTACATCTCGCATCATCCTCGCCTCTTCTGTTTCTCGCGCTCCCGTTTCAACGTCTTCTCTCCTTCTCGCTTTCGACTTTTCTCTCCTCCGCTCGGCCGTGCCATTCGCCTCGCAACGACCGCTGTACCTCGCCGGATGATACGGTGATAAATGACGAGTGAGTGCTGACCGGGGATACGAGTCTCGGTCGTCTCGATACCTCGTGGTGATGTGGGTGCTAGTGATGATGATAGTGGCGCGTTGATACGAGGCGACCACGCTGTTCGCGATTGTGTACAGGCGGACGCGCCTTTCCCGCCGGTGTGTATTTCGACAAATAACGCGGCTAATCGGCGTCCCGGCCGTATCATTTGTCTCCAGGATCTTCTACATGTCATTCACGTGATTTCCGGAGCGGAGCGCGAGCTATAAACGCTGAGAGGGTCAGGGTGATCGACCGGGAAACGGCGACGCTTCGTGACACCGTCGTTGCATTTCCGAGACGTGTATTTATCCATAAAAAGTTTATCCTCGCGAAACAACAAAGGCTCGGCGAAGGAAAAACAGACGTACCTTTTTTCCGCGTTTGAAATTATTGATCGAGTCATCGATCGAGTATCCACCGCGAGTCTCCCTCGGGGGATTTGCATTAGCTTTCAAACGCGTCATCAGCGATTCACACCGTCGTTTCACGCGTCTCAGGGACGCAGTTGATGATCGATGACGGCGAGTCCCGAGGAATCACGTGGTCGATTTTCAATCGCGGTGTCGTACCCGGGTATTTATCATGAAATTCATCCCGTGGATCGTCGTCGGCAAAACGAGTCGGGATTTCGGGGCTATTAACGCGATCGGTCGATGCTTATAGCAGGCAGTACTCTGACACTCGGTTGCTCGTTGACATTCAGAATGAGCTATATGCAGCGCACAGCCACGAACTCCTTGACCTCTTAAAGTCACGACACGACACGAAGAGTATACTTCGCGAGTATGTGTAAACCTCTTTCGACAATACGGTGAATCTAAGCTCGAGCGAGGACGGCGATATAAGTCGAGGAGGTTTGCGATCGAAGGCTTTTCGAGATTTCAAGAGGCCCGTCCGAGACACGGGGAAAACACGTCCTGGCCTTTATCACGGCTCGCTCTGTTTCGTGAATCCGCAATACGGCGTAACCACCGTCGTAATTCGTCATACGCAACAATTCCCGACAAGTGAAATCGGCGCGAACTTTGCAAGCGCGAAAACGGATTGCGAAAAGTTTCTGTCATCATCCATCACGCGACCGCTTATCAACATTCTTCTGCTATTGAGATCGTCGATAGCAAAATTTATCGGATATTATCTGCTTGTCTGCAATCAACTTCCAGTAAGTCACTTGAAAATATCACGGTATAATTTTGCAGCATAGTGTATCAACATTGTTAACCGCGTCTACGAGACATTCTTTTTTGTACTGTAAACTTTTGATCGCGAAATTCGAAATGTTTCAAAAACAAAGAGATACGATTTCTGTACTTAAATAAATTTTTTCAAATGCAGATCTCACGAGTGTTTTAATTGACGAAAATGTCAAATGTGTGCGACGTAGAATAAAATTTAAAATATTGCGATAGAAATTGAGCCTGACGTTTCAAAATATATTCGATGCAATCGTAATGATTGTACCTTTGAAATCGATAAATCGAGACGAGAGAAATCGAGAAGAGAGAAATCACGACAAGTCAAGAGAAACTGCTCGATCTCGCATCGTAATTCCTTTACGTCTCAAAATCCTGCTGACTAATTGATCGATTAGCGGAGAATCAGGACAGTTTAGCGATAGCATGAGGTCGACGAAAGTTGTACAGGATCGAAAGGGATGATCGAGCATAGGTCCCAATGACATCTCGGCGGGGCGGGAGCGAGGGGTATAAAAGTCCTCCCAGCCCTCCGAGCAGCGGTTCGGAGGACAATGGTTTCACGAACCGACCCCGAGTCGCCGGGCTCTACGTAAAAAATCTCAGCAGAGAAGAATTGGATGAATTGGCGAAGGAGGGTATCTACGGGCCAACGGGAAATCCGAACGATCGACCTAGAGACAGCGGTAGTCAGAGAAGTCTTAATCTCCCAGGCAGCAGCAGGGACTTTGACGGTCAAGATTATCTCAGAGGAGGAATCTCCAGGACACCTCAGCCATTCAGGAGATCTGGCGTTGGAGTCAGATATCGGGAATTCAGTGAGAACTTAGTACGAAGAGATCATCATGGTTCGCTTCCGGTGGAAAGAAGTTGGCCGAGGCGACTGGAAGATCGTCCGGGGCAGGCCTCGCCATCCGCTCGAGGATCCTCCGAGTTTCCTATCGGTTGGCGAGAGCCATTCGTACGGCCCGGCGTATCACCCAGAGGAAGTTCCATTGACGTGCAAATCACTGACGAGAAGTCCAAGTCACTTCGTCGTTTCGGAGAAGGCTCGAGGTACTCCGAAGGACCCTCGCCCCGTGTTCTCTCCTCGAGGGAAGCCGGCAGAGACCAACGGTCGTCGAGATCGGTCGAGCGATTGCCACCATCGTACGCGGGTCTAAGTCCATCTGAATATACGGAATACCAGGAATCGCCAGTGGCCAAGATTCGCCCTAAGACTACGACGAGGGCCTATCGACACAGCGACAAGGAGGAAGATGAGCCGTACAAGCATCCAAGTTCACAATTGGTGGAAGAGAACCAGGGGAACGTCGTTATTTTCAAGACGATGAATATCGGCAAGGGAGCGGCAAAGGAGGAGGAAATTCCGAGTCCATCGCGAACATCTCCGGTGACGGAAAAGCCGATTTCTCCAGAGTCGAAAACAAGCGAGTCCCCGCCAATTAAGAGAGTCGGCTCTAGAGTGCAAGACAGCACGAGGCTGCGACCGCCGTTGGCCGGAACTGCCGGGACCTCCGCCGATTCCGGCACCGGAGATTCCGGAAGCGCGGAGATACAGGCGGATGTCGTGACTCCTCAAGCTACATCGGGCGATGTTCTCGATCCTAGCGTGTCTAAGATCGAAGATAAATCGCCTGGCGCGAGGACACCCGGCACTAAAGGCGGCAAGCAAACAGTAAAGCCATTCACGAAGGAGAGCCTCGACAGATTGGAAAACAAGACTGTGCAATTAGTGCGCGAATATGGCTTTCAACCCAAGAGAAAAATGTCAGTGGAGGATGGTGCCGTGCTGCCAAATAAATTTGAACCATTTCCGAGCGAGCTCTACGGCAGGCCATTGGAAGAAATTGACAATTTCATCTACGACGAGGTGAGTTTATTTTTCGCACTTTTTATTTTTGCATCTTTGACATGTAAAATTATTTAATAGTTATATCAATGTATATTTTCTAATATTGCATTATTATATTATATATATTAAATGTATAATATAACATATATATTATGAGTATTGATTGAAAAATAAAAATACGAAACTCGCGTACAATTAAGCGTTATTGAAGAAAGCAGTCATTAAAAGAATATTTATAAGTTCTATAATGGTTAGTTTGCTCTGCGTTAATTTCTTTAGATAAAAAAGTAGCTTACGTATCGAGGGGAAATCGAAAAGTTCAATTTCAAAATTGCCAGAGCTTATCATACTTATCTTAAATCTACAAGAGAAAATGTTAAAGGACCACGCAACCGAGGATCGTTATAACGCGACGTCGCGATACAGCAGACGTGTAATTCCACTTGATATCGTCGAATGTTGCCGGCAGGCGAGAGCAAATATCGGGCGGACGCGCGCAACTTTTTGTTTCTGTAAATAAATTTCTCCGCGGTAAAACGAGTGGAACAAAAATGGCGAGGAAGCGATAGGTGGTGATTAAAAAAAGAAATGAGAGAAACGAAGAGTGGATTCGCCAGATATATATGTGTAGGACATAGGGGCTTCACAGATGGAAAGATGAGCTTGAAAGAGACAGAGAAAGAGAGATAGAGATGATGGGCGATGACAGATCGGCAAAATGGAAAAAGTAAAATGACTGGGAGAAAGAGAGAGGGGAGGAGAGGGAAGGAAGGGGGAAGAAAAGCGGGTAAATCTCTTCGCGAAGAAAAAAATGGAGCGAGAAAAAAAAATGAAAAAGAGATGAAGGGACGTGACGCAAAAAATTAGGCAAGTTGGCATGTATATATTACAACGTATGTATAATCTATTTATATTAAAAATCGATCGCGATTCTATTCATGACTTGTTCTTAAATAAGAAATCCTTGCGGTAGATTATGTGGGTCACAAAGACACATTGGGTTTCTTTTAATTATTCTTATTCCCGGTTATCTCTCGCTATCCCCTGGAGGCTTTTATCTATCGGGAGAAAAATTTAAACGTATATTGCAGAGAACGTGCAGAATTTTATCGAACAAATTTTATAGCTTTCGAAATATTTCATACTCGGACTTTTCGTTGAACGTCAACGAGAATGCGTCGCTTTATTGAGATATTAGACACGGAATGTGAGTTTAATGTGCTGCCGCTATGCAACCTTTCGCATAAATAACATTTCAACCTCTTGCAGATTCCAGCAGAAGCTGTGATGTCAATGTTATATTATCATTCGCGAGAGTTATCGATATCAGGGGAAAAAGATGAAATATTTTAACCCTTTGAACTTTTCAGCAAAATAATGGTTAGTTTAAAAAAAATTGTGGTGAAACGGAAAACAAACTTTCTTCGTAGTAATCTAAAAAAACTCATGTAATTTATCTCTGACAATTTGAAATCTTCTCACAATGGAATAACAGAAGATCCATTTCGCGCGTAGATGACAGAGAGTTATAACGATATATCCGCGTCGAGATGACCCGATAAAAGAGACAACGGAATTTGGCGAAAAGCACGTTTTCGGAAAAGGTTGCCTCTCAAAATGTAAAGCTAAAATATAATAATCCAGCTAAGAAAATCCAAAGATTTCGATACCTTTCCGAGTGTGCAAAAGAATAATCGACACGTCGCATAAAATTGCCTCTCAAAAAATGGAGAGACCGAAATATAACATTTTAGCCAAGAAAACAAAAAGACTTCAGAACTTCTTCGAATGAATAATTCAGAACTTGAGAATCTTCCTCGATATTTTTTTTTTTGAGATAGATATAATATGTCAAAAATCGATCAATTATCTTTATTTTTCCATTTATATAATAAATGAGGTTTAAATATCGTTAGAATAATTTTAACGAAAAACTTACGAGAAAAGATAGACGAAAGACGAAAGGAAGAGAAGTCTAAAGACGATTGACAAGAATAGAATTGGTAGCGTAAAGCTCGCTGGCTGACAGTTCTCGGGAGAGGACCGGCTTGTATATGTCACGTCACGCGTCTATCAAGGTCGTATACAGAGGTAGTTTATAATTCAACTATTTACATTTCATTGCGTAGCGATAGATTCACTTTGTATGGTAAATATATATAATTGTAATATTTTTTTCGAGCAATATTTCGAGAGAGAAGAACAAAAAATATAAACAAATCATGTATTGTTAATTTATATCCAATATTACTAGAGAAAACGTATTATTGAAATTAACATTTAATTTTATTTTATAAATATTTTATAATATTTTAACACATGTATATACAATATATGTATGTATTAATAGAAAAGCGTGTGCGATATATTTTTCTATTATTTTTTAAAATAAATTTACAAAGACATATAATTCTTTAAATTATTAAATGGTGTATTTATTATTTAATAGTGTATTTATTATATAATAGTGTATTTAATTATTATATAATATACTTTCTTTTAAATAATTCTATAAATAGCGAATGATTCTTTTGAACAGTTATATATTAAAAAGTTTATATTGTGAATTATATTGAGAGAAGAGTAAAATAACAAAAAAAAATAATCTTATATGTAAAACTCAATGTTAAAAATATATTTCGCGAGTATGATTTCTAGTTAGCTATTCAAGTATGTCAAAAATATATATAAAAAAAAAAAATATATATATATATATATATATATATATTTATTATTAATTCTGAAAGAAATATATAGAGACAGAAATATGTGGATTAGCTTACTAGGATTACAGTTTCACATCTAAACAGTTAGTTTGCACGTGGTTTGTGGTCGACATCGTGCAACCAGAGTTGGAAACATCTCGATGCTACACAAGGAGCAATCAAGGCGCGGTAGTGGATTTGTTATAAAGTTTCTGCTTTGTGTATGCGAGACAGCAAACTTTTGCATCCCTACCGTAGAAACTATAACGAATAGAGAGCGAAACAGGTTTCCGCGCATACTTTTGCGGAGTATCGTTAAAATCGATGCTCGCTTTAAGTTTCCAACCGACTTTGATGCGACCAATATTCTGCATCAGAGAGACGGTAGTATCAATCTCAGATTGATTACACGATTATAATTGCGAAAAAGTTACTTTTCATCAAAAAGTCGCACAAGATTCTTGCGCGTAAAGTATTAAAATTTCTAAAAAAATAATATAATGTTAAAATTGTTAATGTGTGCACTTTGCTTAAAAATTTGTTATAAATTATAATATGAGGAAATATGCATTTTATGCGAATTTTACAAAATTGTACTTTACATTTAATACATTCAGTTTATATTTATCGTGAAAAAAAATGGAAACACGTGTGATCTCAATATGTTAAAATTAAATTTTCCGTTATACTAGTTGCATATTGAAAAAGTTTCACATCCGAAATGAAATATACATATTTATTTATATTTATCGATTTATTGTTTGATCGCGATGGCGTCTAACGATATAAAAATCTATTGAAATAATGTATATAAGACTATATAATACAATATATATACAAATATGATGAATAGTAACTTTTTAAACTATTCTTTCATTATACATCAATTGCTATTATCAAAGTATAAACATCATTATAATTTATAGGCAAGAATATAATATAAATAATATTTTTATTTGTTTCATTCGTTTTTCTCGAGACCTCAAAAATTGATTTTGATTAATAATATCATATTATTAGACACTAATAATATCTTATTAAAAGAGAGAGTCCAACATTTTGAACATTTCGGATGTTATGAATTATATGATCAGCAATTTAGTTGTATGCGAGCAAATTTATGAAAAGCATTTTTAAATTTGCAAAATGCATTTTTTATTAGTCTATTTGGGAATAGACATCCCGTTATTAACTTATGGTCTTGGCATAAACTCTCTTCGAAGCATGTCGATAAGTTTTTGGAGTCAATTCGATCCATATAGAAGATATTGAATATTTCACTTTGTGAATCAAAAATAAAAAGTACAATCTCTAATAAATTCATGTCACTTCCTTTTACTGAACAATTTCCTGTCGAAAAGATTTTCAATATCGCGGGAAACCAAGAGAGACAATAGAGATCCGGACGACAGGGATCGCAAATGCGATTTCAATCATCTAGTTTCTTCCTATAGCGCGTTTAGTGAGTATCGATATTCTGAATTAAATAGCACATAATAGCATATGTTGCCCGTAAATTTATGTTAATAATTAAACGTGATCGATAAAATTCAATCTGTTTAGATTGAAATACATGCTCTTGAAATTACGAGGACAAATTTATATCGACATAATTTTTTAACGATGCAAGACGAAAACAAATAATATACGAAAATATACGATAATTAAATTATATCTGATAATTTTAAATTATATTTTTTAAATCATTGGATCGTAATGACGATTATCCAATAATTGTATTTTAGCCAAATTCGTGTACTTCTGTATGTTTTATTTTTTTCCGTTTTCATTTAAAATATATATGCGATAAAATCTTTGGGTATACAAAATAATAATTTAAAAAATAAAAATTAATCCAAACGTATTAGCGGGATATTTGATATATAGAACTAGAAATAACCTGAATATATTTAGATTTAGTTTTAGAACGTAATAACAAGTTCGTATTATTATACTTATAACAATCAAGCAAGCTACTTACAAGAATAATTGGACAAGTTTTGTGGCACGTATGCATATACGTGTGACGCTTACGTAAATATAAGATAAGTAATTTAAAAGAAAAGAGCGCATAAAATGTGCTTCAATGTATATTGCTTTAAAAAAAAAGCTACAACTTTTTGCATGTGCAATTGTAACTTTTCATCTGTTTTAAATATTAATAATTGATATATTTTATTAATCCTTTAATAATAATATTAATAGAGCATTTATTGAATTAATAAATGTGAATCATAATAAAAAAATTTCACTTTTAATTTAAGATATTAAAACAATTAATGCACAATTAAATTAATCTAATCATTGATCAAA